ATAAATGAACAAAAATCAATGCCACACATTCTGGATAGTAACAAATCAACAAAATACGTAAGGATAACAAACAAGCTCAATGACCTTATTTGAGCTCGACCTCAGAAGCAAAGATAACTATTGATGAATCACAAATTTTTAAACTAAGCTTCACACATAATTTATGAGAGAACAGTAAGCCTCAAAGTAATGATCAAAGGTTAATGCCATGCATTTTAGATAGTCTCATGTAAGTAAAATAAGTGGAGAAAATAATAAACTCAACAAATCTTATTTGAGCTCAACCTTGAAAGAAAAATATTTTTTTAATATATTATGAATCTTCAAATAAAATATCAAGGACAACTAACATGAGAATAGCAAACTTTGAACTCAAGAAAAAAAAAAAGTATAAGTCTAAATTTTTTAACATGCTAGATAGAATGACATTAGAGAATATAGATAGAAGAGTGAGAATAGTTTCAACAATATAATGATATTTTTATTTTACTATAGTATTTTGTTCTAGTGTTAGTAGACACAAAACTTTAATATTGCATTAAATATCATTTCAGTTGTATTATTCCCCTTCAATCTAATTGAGATGATGAATGGCAAACATCATATTTGTGCTTAAAAAGAAAATGTCAAAAGTATTTGCTAAAATTGTTGAGAAAAATTATGGCATAAAAATTGTAAAAGGAGAGGTGATAGAAGCATGTTCTAACATATCAGAGTTTATTAATTAAAAGGTTGCTTTTGATGTAGGAAACAATTAGATAAATGATAATTTGTGAACTTTTGAAAATTAACGAGTTATGAGTCAATTGAGCAAGTGATTGGTGATAGACGAATGAAACTTATTGATAATAGTAATTTTTATTTGAATTTTTTTCTAACATAACCTAGCATACCATATTGGAAGATATCCATATTCACAAACAATTGTGAGCGGTGCTAACTAGAATGGAAGAAAATAGTAGAGATCATCCTTAAAATACCCATGTAGAAGAACTTGGCTCAACATTCAATCATTCACAAGTTAGACAGATGAAATTTAAACATATTATTGTCAACTGTAAATTTATGAAATAAAGTAAATCCTGAGTGGTGTGAGGAATATAATTAGAGAGAATATGAAGGAGAATTAATGATTGTGAATATAAGAGAGGAATGGGTAGACCTTCACTATTTCTATCATGTAATTTGTAACAATTTATATAACTTGTAGAATCAAGTACAATGATATAATTTTGGCATGATGTTGTGGTGAGTAATGTCACTATCCATATACCATGATGTTGAGTAGCTTGTTGATGATACCACAGATGATGTGAGTAAAATACCATAAGCAATCAAGTAGGTAACTTCTATGTACGTTGCAAAATCATCAAATTCATTGGTGAAATATTCTGCATATTCAGAATTATAGTGTCCAAAATGAAGATAGATCTGGCAATATGATGTATGCTACATGCCACCATCTATGCCCCCACCATGATGGCCACTCTTATTATGGCTTATAGTAATGACCTTGGTCAAAGGATATTCATGAGTTTCTAAGAAATAACTTTTTTGTGTTAAGTCATGATCATCTTTGGCACAACAAAATGCCTAAGATCATATTCTAGAGTGAATGAACTTACTTGAGTGGTAATAATAGAAATTAAGACCTCATGATGTAGTCCTAATTCTATTAGAACTAATATAACAAGACCCTGGCCATCGTAGCAAGCTCCACAGTTATTATTTTAATAGACTGGACATACTCGTGAATTGATAACATCCTACAGCATACAACATGCACCTTAGTGCACAACAAAATTCAAGATTTAGAGGTAATGTAAAAACTATAGCTAAACCATCCTAAACATCTCTAGATGTGTGATAGTTGAATATCAATGGGAGGAATGACTTTGTTAAAGATGATGAAAGAATTATTTGGTCAATTATTTACCGAGCACTGAAGTCTGAATTTGACCATTTGACTTCCTTCTCATCAATGAGCATTTAGAGGTAATGGAATGGAGCCATTGACTATGGACAGGTCACCACTGACTCTTGTGGAGAGGGATGAATTGAGTTATCCATAACAAATAGTTTTCGTCTAACAACCTCAAAGGAAGGAAAGACATCATCACATTTGGGTGGACTACCATGGAATGGTATGTTGTTGTGTAAGGAATGTCTAATACTATATAAAATAAAAGGAGGAATATGAAGAGAAGGGAGAGAGGGATTTTAAGAGATAAGAGAGGAGAGAGGTAAAGATAGAGAAGAGATAAGCTCAACTTTATGAATCATAAAGGAGTCAGTTCTCGAGTCTTGGAGTCCCCCAAAAGATAAAAATGGGCATGCTGAAAAAGGCCGTCTGTTCCCGTGAGAAACGATCCAATTGTGGACCGTTTCTCACGACACCCAACTCTCTCTCTCTCTCTCTCTCTCTCTCTCCCCCGCTCGCTCCTATGGAGCGTATGACAGAGCACCCTTGAAGAACTTGCTTGATGTGGGCGGAGCTTTCATTCTTGCTCCGTACCTTGGTGATCGGATATTCGTCTACTCTTTTGCAACCTTTGCACAAAGAGAATCTTGATGTTTATGTGGGGATCCCGGCTTGTGCATACCTTCTTGCAGGTTAGTGGCCTGTTTATGGAGTTGGGTCAGTCAGTGGGTCAGATACGTTCAAGCTTTGACTCCAGGCTCCAAGTATGATGTCGTACAAGTCCAGGTTTGACCCTGACAGAGATAGGGCTACTGGGGTATCTCTTTAAAATAGGAAATACACTGATATGGTCGCAAAAAAGTACTCAAGTTCTTGACTATGTGATTTGGACCTGACCTCAGTGATTGAGAAATCGAGAAGTTATGACCCCTTCAGTATCTTCCAAGATACTCCACACAGAGGGAGTCCGGTCCGCCTGTTTTCTCCTTCTTCTGGCCTTGGTTAGGTTTCTCTGCCCTGGGGAAGAGGAAAGTGCTTCTTGGACGCATTCTCCGCCATTCAGATAAGTCAGGGACGGCGGCGCTACGTCGATATATGTTGACCGATATCAGCAAGCGACGGCAGTGGACCGGAGATCTCACCGATACCAGCAAGCGAAAAAGTAGAACAATGCATTCGCCGCCGCTTCCAATCCTCTCCCTCTTCCTTCTCCTCTTCCTCGCCGTTCACCCACGATGCGACGCAGCAGTTCCCCTCACAAAATACTGCGGCACCGACAGGAAGATCACCCGGGCCGCCTCCGCGAACATAGCTCGCGTCCTGGCCTCACTCCTGTCGGAGACTCCCTCCAAGGGCTTCTCCACCGCCTCCTACGGCAGCGGCCACGGGGACCGAGCATACGGTCTCGCCCAGTGTCGACAGGACGTCAGCGTCGAGGACTGCAGAACCTGCCTCAGGGACTCCGCCGCCCAGCTACCCAAACTCTGCCGCGGCGGGGCCGACGCCAGGGTGTGGTTTGACTACTGCTTCCTGCGCTATGGCACCAGACCCTTCGCCGGCGAGCTTGATACCGCGTATGGACTCTTCTACATCAACGTACAGAACGTGACGGAGGATGCGGCGGAGCAGCGCAGGTTCGACCGGGAGCTGGGGTCGCTGATGAGCAAGATTCAGACGCAGGCGCCGGCACGGGGCAGCCGGGGGCTGGCGAAGCTTCAGACCAAGTTCACACCCTTCGTCACCATCTACGCGCTGGCGCAGTGCACGCAGGATCTGCCGCCGCTGGCCTGCGCCCAATGCATCTCCATTGCGGTGGCCAACTTCCCCGTCCTCTGCCCGCACAGGAAGGGATGCCGGGCTCTCTACAGCAGCTGCTACGTCCGCTACGAGATCTATCCTTTCTTCTTCCCAGTCCCCGCCGGCTCCTCCGCTGCCGCTGCCGCCGCCGCCGCCGCCGCCGCCGCCGCGGCGTCCTCCGTTTCTGTGGTGGTTTACCCTTAGTGTCCTTTCCCCATGTTCCCCACTCTGGAAAAACTCAAATAACTGTGGAGGAAAAGCCAATAAATCAACGAGACTTGAATGTTCTCATCAGTGGAGTGTCGCCCAGGCAACTGAAGTCAAATTGTTCGGGAACAACACATATATTTTCAAAATCACTTCGGAAGAAAAGCGGAAACAAAAGTCAACCTACTCCATGTTCCCATGGAGGTCATTTGATGTCACCCAGATTTCCATAACTTTGCAAAGTCAATCTTAGGCCCAAGTTTCAGCTGGGTCGAACCCAAGAGGTTGAATCACCAACGTTGAGAAGAAAAATAAAAGCCCAGGTGACTGACTATCTTGCTATTTGATGAATGCACTTCAAATATCATAAGTCAATCCCACGGACTTACTAATGTGTATATAAATAAAACTTACTATCTATTCTCTCATACTCATTCGTCAAGGGAAGTTTAATTGTTGACCAATATCATATGTATTTGACTTAATATTTATGATTACACTATACAAATATATTGTACTTACTTTTATACAAATTCTGGAGGAAAATGGTTTTTTTTCCAAGGAGCTTAGAAAAATCATTAGCCCAACTGATATGGTTACATTTATTTTACTATTAGCTCGAGAATTATTTAACTATACGTGATAAATTTCACGTACCCTGACGATTCAGGGCATTTATTTTCTATGATTTTCAGGAAGAAATGATTTGTTCTCCAGGTTCTTGGCCTGGTGTTGATTGGAGAGGCGATGAACACGGAATTTATAGAGGAGAAGATCGTGTGGAGTTGGGGATCGTAGGGGTGTCAAGTTGAATTCTTTAATTGAGGATTACAGGGCCCAGCGCAGAGAGAGAGGGAGAGGGACTGCGGTGGCGGTGGCGCGCCTCGCCGTGGTGGATGGGGGAGAGGATGAAGAAGTAGATCTCACGAACAACTGCGTCTCCTCCAGGCCCGGCCTTGGGGTCTCGCGGGTCGACGGGGAAGTGATGAGGCGGAGGAAGCCCCGGCGGCGTCGCTGTAGCTGAGATTGGGGAGGAAGCGCCGGAGTCTGGATGAGCCTAACCGCGTCGTTCTCCATGAAGCACCACCCACAGGGATCCACGGCCGCGTCGGCGGCTGCGGAGGGATCCCCCGTGGGGGAGCCGGATGGGGACGCCCTGCGGCGGTGGGTGCTGGCCTTCTGCGTCATCAGGTTCGACCTGGAGCAGGGGCAGGTGGTGGAGGAGTGCTACCCACCGGGGGATCTCCCTCCGTCCGATGAGCTCTGCGTCGCATTCAGCTCCTTCCCCGATTCCATGTCTCACCACCAGCACCGGAGCCGGTCCAGCATCCACGACTCCATCTTCTTCTTCCGCATTCGCTCCGCGTCGGCGTCGACCTCCGGCGGCTTCTTGTACGGGTACGTCTTCAACCGACAGAGGCAGGACGAGCGGCTCAAGCGCGGAGGCGAGCAGAAGTCCGTGGTCATCCTCTCGCCTCGCCCCTATTCCAGCGTCTTCCGCCCTCTGCTCCAGATCCTGGGGCCGCTCTGCTTCGACATTGGGAAGAGGGCTCTTGAGCTTGTCGCCGCCCACGTCGCCTCTTGGCCGTCCCCAATACCCGGAAAACTGATGGAGCTCCCAATTGGGAGCGCCGTCCTCAAGGTTCACCTTCCCCCCCTGCTCAGTTTCCCGGCGAATGGCGATGGGGACGGCGACCGCTGTGATGGCGATGAACTGGCGCTTTCAGCAGCCATGGCTCCTTTCCCCCCCGCGAACCCTTCAATTCCTCAGGGGCTCTTCCATGACGCAGACCTCTTTGGGATATTTCGAGGAATTCTCTTGCAGCTCTGGGTGCTATGGGAGCTCCTAATTATTGGGGAGCCTCTCCTCGTGATAGCGCCCACTCCGCCCCAGTGCTCAGAGGCAGTTGCCGGGCTCGTCAGCCTGGTGGCGCCGCTCCTCTGTAGCATAGACTACCGGCCATACTTCACCATTCATGATCCCGACTTCGCTGCCCTCAATTCACTTCGGGAAGGCGATGCCTTCCCTCCCATGGTCCTCGGTGTGACCAATCTCTTCTTCTTGAAAGCGCTTCAGAATATTCCCCACATTGTTTCAGTGGGCAGTCCAAGCCCCAACTCCGGCAGATCCCTTCAAGTTGCTGCAAGGCCCTCCTCCACCAATGGGCCCGGGAAGAACCCTAGATTTGGTAAACTGAACCTCGAGCAACTGTCTCTGAACAAATTCTCTCCCACGAACTTGTTGAATGCTATGAAACTCAGAAGGGATGGACCCCTTTCTCTCATGACGGAACACAAGGAAGCCATATGGAGCACATACTCTGCGACAACCAAGCCTGATACATCAGTTCTTAACAGGCTTATCGATGCGGGCATGTCCCCAAGGATTGAGGAATCCATGTCTGTTGTGAATAATGAGATATTGCGACGACATTTCTTGGAGCTCACCACCAATTTCCTTGCTCCCTTTGGGCCCTATCTGAGGGCCACCATGCCTTTAGAAGGAAGCTCCCCTTTCGTGGAGCCGCCTGTCCTCCCTCCTTTCCATGCCGATGACTTCCTGAAGAGCTTGGCAGAAAGAGGTCCTGGGAAGTTTCTGTCCAAAAGGATGAGAGCCAACTGGTTGGACCTATATAGGTAATCTTTGTTCCATAGGTGATTTTGAGCCTATCATGATTTTCACTTTATGTTGCAGCAATGCCCATCTTTAATTTTTCTGATTTCAATCGACTAATACCTTTTTTTTCTCCCAGATGTTTCTTAAGGGGCCGCAACTTTATGCCATGGTTCCAGAGAAGGCGTGTTATTGCAGAACTGGAGCAGCAGAGGTTATGGCGACAGGCGAGGATGAATGCAGATATGAAGAAGTTGATCCTGAAAATGTCGGAATTAGAAGTTGTTGATTCTTTCAATGCTATTGAGCGCCATTTGCTTCGAGAGATGCAGGTAAATTTTCATTTTATTTCAGTATTTTTCCGTTTTTAGTACTCCAGAACACCTGAAATGGAAAAAATAGTTCATTTCACAGTGCTAAACTCTTCTCTCCCTTCTTTTTTTTTTGCCTCAATCAATGACTCCCCACAACTTTTCCTTGTTCTATGTGCTTCTAAATTGTTAACTATGAATGATTACTGCATTATTTGATTAATGTCCCCTTCTTCCTGAATGTAGAAGAAGTTGCTATGTTTTCTTAGTGTTGATATTGTAACTTCTACATGCTTATCTTGATTGACTGGCATGCCGAGTGAACAAAAAACATCGATCACTCCAGTCCCTTGCGGATTCAGGCAATGGATGAACTTAAAGGCATATATCTGAACAATCTTCAGGCATGTGACTACAGTCCGAGTGTGTAGATCAAAATTTCTTCATGAACTGGTCAATCTGACAGAAGCTTGATTAATTTCATTGCCTACTTAGAGTTGGGTGGATTTCTGGAGAATTTCGCTGTCGGAGATTATGTTAATCGAATCCGTAACATGGAGAGTGTGGTTTGAATGATCCCTTCTCATTCTTTTGACCTGGAATTTGAATCTTTAAGTGTTGTTAGACGATCCTATGCTTGGTGCGGGATAATATCCAGCTCAGGATCACATATGGCTATCTTTTGCTTTTGTGGGAATTCAAACTAAAATAAGGATTTGGCGTGCTTTGCATGAGCTCAAGGCCTTATGAGAAGTGTCTCTAGGATTAAATCTGTTTTCCAAGGTGTGATTTTTCTTATAACTCTTCGCCTGACTTGGGATGAGGCTTTTAGACTATTTTCCATATTCACCCTGAGCTAGTTGTGGTGGTGAACATTAATTTTGGTCCTACCTTTGCTTAGTGCGAAGAGAAAAAGGGTGAGGCCACGGAATAACTTTTTATTCTACTCCCCACCCCCTAATGTAAAAAAGGTGGAAGAGACTAGAAATTCTCAATTTCTTTCTTACTGGAATAGTGGTCAATCAGCATCTCCGTTTGGCCTTGAAACAGGAAAGTTGAGTCCTTTTGCGTTTAATGAAAACCCTTCAATCTGAGGAGAAGAATTACTTTGCCCCAAGCTGTACGAAGAGCAATCCTTGGATTGGTGGTGTTTGTTTGGTGTTACTCGTTACTTGCTTTCAAATTTTATTTGGGTTGGCATCTGACAAAGAAATAGCACGGCAAATTAAGACAACTGACGAAGGCAAATAAGAAGGTTTCTTTGTAACGGTGAAAGGGTAAAGTGAGCTTATGTTGATGCTCGTCATCTAAGAAATACTGACGTATTAACCTCTGTTTTCTAGAAGTAAATCGCCAAAAAAATTGAGCGCTTATTTGAGATGCAGTAGATTTTACGTGCAATAGAAGGAATGCTGTAACAGAGGTGGGTGAACCCTCATAGATATCCACTGCCCACACATATAGAGTCAAAAGATATATGGACTCCAATGGAGAGGGGGGTTTTCTCTGGGGCTTGAGAGATGGAATAGATGGGGCCTAAAAAGTGTATAGTCCCCAGATAGTATTATCAACTGTTTGCTTTTTTTGGGAGACCAATGATGCATTTGGATATAACAATGCTAACTACCCACAAGACCATTTGTATAGCCACAGAGTCAACCTTGGATTTTCCGCTAAAGGGCATGCTTTGCTTTCCTTGTTCCAGCCATGAAGGGTGTAGGTGGTTTATTAAGGTCAAGAGGATAGTAGGATTATGATCTCTTGTCAAATTCTACTTTCATCTGAAATGGAATTTCTTTATGAATATCTTATTCCATTTTCTGCTGTTTATAATTTAACTAATTTTGAATTTGTCACTTAATGTTCCTGAAAGACGTGGTCTGAAAGTAGATTGTATTCTTCGTTGATATTGGATATTAAGCCAGTCATACTTGAATCCTAATACTCTTGCTTATTGTTAAAATATACATTTGCTTTCCTGTAGTCTGTTTTTTATAATTTTGGCGGGGGGAACCATTTGAAAATGCTTTTCTTAAATTTAAATGCATTTAGCCTCCTGGCTTTCAAAGTTTTCTTGGTTGTTGCCTCTGTAGCGGCTAGTTGAGCCACCATTTTAAAGCCCCTTTCTGTGAAAGGGCTTTTCAATAACCGTGAATCACTTTTGAGTGAGATTCAGCAGTCCTCTGTCAGCACTTTGATATATTGGCGAAGCTGTGACTGACAACCGAAAGGTAGGTTGGAACCCAGGGTAGGATGGCAGAGAAAAGAGAATACCTGTGGAGAGATTGTTCCGAGGAACCCACAGGGGTGTTTGATGCAAGTGACGATTGGGTCGCTTTCACAGTTCTTGTTCCTGCTGCTACTTTGAAAGGGCTGGATAGATATCTGCTCATTTCTCAGTTGAATGGTAAGGGTCGAGCTTTGCAGAGTCTGTCCTTCCAGCCCTTGTATGCAGTTCTGAGCTCAACTGATCCATAAGATGTAGCCATTAAAGGAAGTGTCCCTTAAACTCCAGGTTGTTTTTGGTAATCAGGTTTGTGAATGAATTTAGCATGTTTTGGCTTCCAAAAACAAAATGGAAAAACAATGTGGAATGTAAGTTCTACTTTCCCAGCCCCCCAAATTTATGCTTGCGGGAACACTGATAGCAATTGACATCTGATCTCCTCTTCTGACTGGAAAGCGGGCTGTTTTTTCTGTAGTGGCTCGTATTTTGAGATTTCTCTCATTTGTCAAAGGCTCCTGGGAGGCAACCACCATTTGTAGATTTGGGAAGAAAATGAGTGGAGAAAGCCAACTTGGCCAGTTGTCCATTATCCCTTCAAAGTACCAAGTTACCTCATTCTGTCTCCCTGCCAAAGCTTCCCCCAACGATGAATTCCTATAACCTTTTTAAGAGGTGAGCACCTTCATGGGAGTCCATCATCCTACACCCAGTGGTGTCTGGGCTACTTCCTTCCGTTGGTGATGTCTGCCCGATTCCGGTTTGGCCAGAATTCAGAATCCTTGGCTACCTTAAAAGTAAGGGCTTTCTTAGACATATGGACCAAACATAATACGTGCAACAAGTTCGTTGTAATGCCCACTTAGTATAGTAAAGTAACCTCGTTTGTGAAGGTTGGTATCCCCATTAATTTGTGGTTCCAGATGATGGTTGGTCACCTTCATAACAAAGGATCCCTTTGTCCTACGGGAAGGACGTTTGAGTTATACACTCCTCTCCTACAACAGTAGGCTCAACTTGTTTGAGAAGACCGAAGTCCAATCAGTTTATGGTCAATTATTTCTCAGATTCTGACCTCCCTGCACCTGACCACCATTACTTTTGTAGCCATGGTGGTAATTGTGTCTTCCACTTCCTTAACGCACTGATCCCATTGTCCATCATGAATGGTTTTGAGTTGGGGAACTTAATCCAGTGCCATTCAATGTTTTCCTTGCCTGCCTCTCCTCTTCTCATTTCTTCATTATCATAAGCATCAACACGTTCATCGTATTCATTCCCTTGACTATATTTTGTTTCCCTTGCCTGCCTCTCTTGCTTGCTAGCCCTGGTGCTAAACTGTCTGCATTTTCTCCATGGAAGGGATATCTAGAGATACTGGTTGTGCCTGGTATGATGGTTTTCTTTCTTTGGTGACTAATTTTTCTTCATCATCTTGTCAACCCACCATTTACCGCATCTATGGCATTGAACTGTATTTTTGTATTCTCTGGCCTTTAAGGTGAGTTGAGCATTGATTAACTTTGATCATATGAAATGCCACCGTCATAGCCTTATTGGCGTTCCTCAGCTAAGTCTCCCTTTCTCTATTCTTACTACTGTTGAGGGAATATCCCCGCTTAACTTCCCTTCCTTCAGGATATCTAGATTGTAACTGTGGTTGCTACCATGCCTGTTGACGAAGGAAGGCGTTTGATTGGTGGGGATATTACTTCCTCGCATGCCATTCTCTTCTTTCTGCTTAACAGCTTGGAGAAGAAACCACAGGGTCTCCATGTACGAAGAAACAATTTCGCACAGATTTGTAGCAATTCAAATGTAGATTAACCTAACCAGTGTTTTTAAACGAGTGATACCCAAGGCAAATACCTATCGTTACAATGGGAGGCATAAATCAGCTTATCTTCAAACAAAAAAGCGACTGAAGTGTAAATAGATTCCTTTCCTTGTTCGGGACTGTTATTAAAAAACATTGTGAATCATAAGATAGAGATCACCATGCAGGAAATAAATCACCTCCTCTCCATACAAAAGTCTTACTGTAGTGTGTAAAGATTCGTTTCGTTGCTGTGGACTGTCATTTAAAAATATTGCGTCGTGTGAGGTAGAGATCTGCCTATCTTGTAACTATAGCTTGGATGAATTAATAGCAAAACTTGTAATAAGTTAATGGAAATTTCTAAAAATGAAAGCAGCAGAATCAATGCATTCTCCATTCAGTTTTTCCAAGCTGAAAATGTAATAGAAGAAACCCACATACAACATGAAGACCTAGATCACTTGCATGTTTAGAAGAGGTGTATTGAAGAAAACAATGACTAGGAAGAAAAAGGACCAAACTAAGGAATTTCACCCTATTCTTTTTTTAGACTTGCCACATGAAAGAATAAACTATGATCTTTCTGGGTTAGCTTGATCCATAGCATGGTAACAATCAAGAAAATTGAAAGCAGACAAAGGCATCATATACACTTTTTTTTACTAAATACAAGCCTTACACTAGCTTTGCTGAATAAGATGCTTCATTTTCAGGCCTGCGTGACCTTTTGGAGAGCAAAGTTTTATTAAATTTCTAAGTCTGATTCCACTGTTTACTTGCTGTGTGCTATTTTCCCATGTCAGCAAGTGCTATTTTCCTTTATTTCTCATTTAATTTATTTTAAGGAAAGAGTTTCGAATGGATTTGGACAAATTTTTCTTGATTATGAATCTTATCAAGTCACAAGCTTGTTTGAGAAATGAGTAATTCATGCTTTATTAAAAATAAATACAACTTCAGACCCATCTCCCTCAGATTGTTTAGGCTATAGGTTTCTATCCTTCCAAACTGTCTTCAGATTCTCTTAGGGATGCTCTTCCATGCTTGCATAAGGCTCGCATAAAAATTTCCTAGTCACACAGGCCAACACTTTGGGAAGATGTTATGAAGATTGAGGTTGCAGCCCAACTTTGACCCCTTCATGCTTATCAAAGTTGACTCCATCCCTTATTTATTGTCACTGTCACTATTGGGTCCACTGCTGACCATAAAGTTGTCTCATTTTTCCATCGGATCTGACTACTGTAGTGTCTATGCCATAAAGTTTGGAACAGCACTTAAAGCTGTTACTGACGGTTATTTCTATCGGTTGGCACTTTGAGGCAGTTGTTGACACTTGTTGCAATAAAAATCAGCAACTTTAAGAAATTATCATTTTTTGTTGACATCTGGACACAAGTATCAAGCCTGTGAATATCATCCTCATCTGTGAAATGGTTAGCACTTAATGATCTACTATATTTTAGAAGAGTTTTGACACCTTCAGAAGTGAAAGATGAGCATTTTATTCCCTGCTTGAAGAATTCGTGGTCGAATACCTTTCATGCGAGTTCATGTTATCAAAATTTTGTTTCATGGAAGTTTAACTATATGAATATCGATTTAATACAAATCTTATTCAAATTATGTATATGGACTTGCTGTATTCCTATTTGACTACTATCCCGATTTGTTGTATTTTTCTAGAATTTAAATGACGAACCCCAATGGATGCGATGGGTGCCCCTGCTTTCTATGCTGTGTTTTTGTTTGCGAGATATTGCGTTAAATCATTTTTCTCTATTTGACTTGATCAATCACGTGCCATATTTTAGAAAATTTCCATCTTCCTCAACAATCTTCATTGAAATGTCCTCTTAAAATAAAATCCAGAAAATGATTGTATTGCATGGCATATTGATGATGATCTTACCCTGTAATTGTGAGTTTAACATCTAATAAAATCCTTGAAAGTGGGCTTAAACTCTTAAGTTCATGCCTGAACTTATCTGGCATTAATTTCCTGTTTTAGTTGGAGCAGTCTGGAAGAGGGGGTGTAGACTCCGCTCAAGCATGCCAAAAGCTCAAGGGGGATCTGGAGGCAGTGTTCAATGTACTTCCAAAGGACACACAACAGCTTTTACTTTCCCACCCGCAAAGGGCATCTCTCCTTGGAGTTGGCCTTTGAATGGTCATACCATCAGGGCCCTGTTAATTAATGCCTCAAAGACAGCATCCTCTGCTCGCACATGCCATGGATTCATCACCCATTTTTAGAAGGTAATGAGCTACACAAAAACTAGGCATGTCTGCTTAATCAAACTGGAATTCGGCCCCCTGGGTCATTTTCTGGCTACAATCTATGGAAACTTCAAGAGTTCTGCCTCATCACCCCGTCACAGTTGGGCCTTGATCAGACCAGGGGAAGTCTTGAACAAGATTTCTTCTTGGTGCTTCTTAGCTTCTTGCTATCTTTCTGTCCTTTCTTTTTTTTTTTTTTTTTTTACACTGCAATTTAGGACAGTCTTTCGATTGTACATCCAGAAGATCAGGTCATTTAGAGAAAAAATATTGTTTAACGTTATTCTGTGGGTGATTTTCTCTACATGTTCATCTCTGATCAAGATGTAGTCTTTTCTTATTATTTATTCATACCCATGACTGTCACTGATTCTGGGTTCTCTGTACGTCTTCTATTTTTTACCCTGATATTCCTGATGTGAAGTGTCGCATTTGCATGAATCCCTCCCTTGATCTCTGAACAGGATAAACGGGCATAAAACCCCATACCAAAACTAAAATCTCTAGGGGGTTTTTCTCACCAATCTGAGGTTTCCCACGCCTCCGGCCCCAAGGATTTCCATTTTTGTATATGTTCTTGGGAACGCCTGTGGCCCCCTACTGGATTGTTCATCAAGAAAACATGATCTAGAATTAATGTTTAGTGACAATTTAGTTTTTAAAAAAAACATGATTTGCCTGAAATAAACACCGTTGGGCTGAATATGAGGTCACTTCTTCACTTTTTTTTTTGCACTAAAGGGTAACCTTTTTTTCCAAGCATGAAATGGAACTCATTTACATATATTCAGGCTGCAAGAACTGCTCATGGAATTAGAACAAACGATGGTGTAGGCAGCAAAAACAGCTTGCAAATCCTGAATTTTCTATTTTTAGGGTTGATTACTTGGCCTCCCTGGGCTACCTCCAAGTGGGTTGCTAATGGAAATAGAAAGTCCTGATGCCATCAACTTACCGGATACTGAGGTGACTACAGATACTTGGGACTGCTTTACAGGTAAAGGCTAGATTTTTATGAAGAGCTGGCAGAACAGGCGAGATTACTTGGTAAATCCCAAGCCACTATCGTTGGAGGCCACCAATATTCTGCCATGGACTTCATAGAAATCTTTCATACCATTCACCCGATTTGCCCAAAGAGTCATTTTCTAGACTAGGTTAGCATCTTTTAGGACCCCCGAAGACTAATCTACCCTCAGTTTACTTGATTAATTTGTCAATGTGCCCCATTGACAGAGGATGCAATGGGCACATTGACGGGGCAGAAGATTGACTTAAACATCATTGTTTAGAAACATTATGGCTTCAATTTGGCAGCATGAGGTGGTTGAGAGCACATAGAGGGTTGTAAAACCAAGGGGTCGAGAGAGAAAACTACTTATCAAAAATGTTACACAACTTTTATTCTATTTTATGGAAAATTTTACATCATTAATTTTCTAAAAAATTCCTATGATTCTATTTTACAAGAATCATATTACACCTTCCACACATAAATGACATTATAACATTAGATAATAGTCTTTTTTATTATCAATTTATATGTTTTATGCTTTGTTCCTATAAGGTTTACAAGAAAAACTATAATTAGGGGTGGTTTGGTCATTCTTGGATCCCAATCAAGTTTGGTATTTGAATCATGCAAACAAGGTCAACCATCTTGCAAGTTGACTCCCTTTGTAGGTAGATAATTCACCCAATTTTTGTGGTGATTCAGCATTCATTTGTCTTAGATTAATGGCTCTAAATTGGCCAAGTGGCATCAACACCTACTTATTAATGAGTACACTTAGGTTGACCCAAGCTTCCCCAATACTTACTTTCATGATTAGGACTATTTAACGAAAATTATACTATAAATGTATATTTATAATAGTTGACTCAAATCTTATCTAAGAGTATGAATTTTGATGCGGTAGTTAACTTGTGACGAGTGTTTGTCTCCAAAGGTGAAATTTTTATTCTATTAATTTTTAAGATTACGTCTATTTATCATGAGTTAAGGTTAAAATTATATTATTTATTAATTATTAACTCATGATAATAAAGACTTATCATAGATTTCACAAAACTATCAATAAATTATAATAGACTAAAGAAGACTTAAGTTCGAAAATATTAAAATATTTACAAACTGATGTTGGTATGAAATTGATGCTTGCTCCTAGATCTAATAGAACATTATAAAAGATATGTTCTCTTATGTTACAAGAGATAAGAAGTGCTTTTGAATCCTTCAACTTAGGAAGTAGATGGTGTAGAAGGAATACATTTGCTTGAGTAGATAATTTCTTGATTCTTAGTGCTCTCTTTGGGGTACACATCTCCTTTTAGATGTGACTCTAGTGTCTTAGGTAATGAGATAGAGGCTGGTTTGTCTTGTTGATGTTTCTCTTCTTTCTCCTTGCCTTATTTTGTCTCTTTCTCCAGCCTCTCCTTTTTTTCAACCTTCTCCTCCTCTTCACCTTCCTTTTCTTTTCTATTCAAGCACAATAGGGTTAGGAGTTAATGAGTAAGGATTGGCTAATACCTTTCCACTTCTCAAGATAGTGACAACTCTAATATGCTAATTGGACTTGTTTCTCTCTCCATGATGGAGCTCAGCATGTGGAGGTCGTGGGTTGGGCATAAGTTGACTAGGTAGCTGTCCTCTTTCTCTCTTGAGTAAGTTTGAGTTTGGATTTTTTTGCATCCTACTCAATTTACTAAAATTATTGTTAGGTCTGTTGTTGGAGTTGTTGAAATTGTTGTTGAGATTTTTGACACTCCTACATCATTTGTCTTATCATTTGCTACAAGTCATTCAAAGAAGAGTTAAAATGTCCAACCATAGGGTTAAGATTGAAGGTCGGTAGCTGATGGGGAGATCTAAATGTAATTTTAGAGGGTTTAAACCTATTTTGACTAGATTGTTGAGGATTCAATACATTCTCATTTTTTCTCCATGAAAACTTTGGGTGTTCCTAAAATTAGGATTATATGGGGCATTGTTCACTCTCCCAAATTTTTCATAGCCAAATGTGGCTTGCACCTCTTCATGCATAGATCCTTCCATCGTACACCTACCTTCATTATGAAATTGACCACATGAAGAACAATATGTGATATTAGGGTTAGCTTGGTTCATTGTCAACTTCTCCAATTATTTCTCTAGTTGTTATACCTTTGTTCACTAAATGAGATTTTCTATGGTTTCTTCCACTAAATCCACCTCCTCTGCTAGATGAATTTCTATCATAATTGGTAGAGTAAGCATGTTGTAAAGAGTTTTCGCTCGATATTTCAATCACCTCATAAGCTTCATCTTCACTTCTATTGAAAAAAATTCATCCACAAGCACCATCTAATAACTATCTAAATGTAGGCTGTAATCTATCATGAAATGTTTCTACTTATTGACTCTTAGGAAAACCATGGTGTGAACATTTATGCAACAACTCATTGAATCTACCCCATGCTTCATGAAAATCATCTCCAATTTTTTGGCTAAATTTAATGACAATTTTCCTTATAATCTTGCTCTTCCTCCTAGGATAGAATCTATTTAGAAAATCCTACAAAAGATTGAATTATGTTTTGTTGGTTATAGTACATGTGGACCACCAAAAACTATCCTCATCTTTTAGTGAGAATAGAAATAAAGCTAATCTCATAGAATCATCCATTTGTCTAATGGTGGAATATAGTTTCTAAAATTCTCTAATGTGGTTGTAAGGATCTTCATTCTATTTTGAGAGCATAAGAATAATACTATGCTTAATGTCCCTAGCACATGTAGGAGTTTGGAATAATTCTTCACATGCTAACGGAATGAAATTGTCCTTCAAAAGCAAAGGGGTTAGGTTAGGGGATCATGTTTTGTTGTATATCCTCCTCATAGTCCATCTCAATCTCACAAAATTTAAGTTTTGGACTTTCAAAAACCTCCTACAGTTCATAAAAAAAAGAGATAATAAGACTAATAAAATTAATAATAAAAATAAACAAAATATTTTTTTTACCAAACTATGTTGATGTCAACCCCTTACCTCCTAATTTTTTTCCTACAACACTAACAAACGAATCATATATATATATATATATATATATATATAGATATGACTTTTTTATATTTTTCTTAAAGAAAAATCTGATTTAAACAGAAATTCAGTAGATTATCCCCAAAAATAGAAGCCAAAATTTTCTTTAGTGCAGTCTTTGTTAAGTAATCTTAGAAATTTTAATTTTTAAATAGGACATACCTTTATTGGAATTTAAAAAATTAATTTTATGAAATATTATTTAATATAAAATCCAATGTAGCTCTGAAATTAGTGGGATTTCTCCAGAATAATTTTTATTTCTTGAAAAAAAATCAGATTTTCTTGATAACTATAATAATTTATACGAATTTGTCTTTGAAACAACCAATACTAATTTTTTTCTCTTCGGAATCGGCTGGCATCATTTGACGTCAGCTCGTGAAGAACAATTGACGGAATCGAGTTCCATTGATGGTTTTTGCGGGATCGATTAAGAAATGATTCCGAGATTTATTTTTTAAAAAAATGAAACGTGTCGTGGATAAAAGAAGATTCAACTAATCTAAAGATGCCCTAAAGTTACGCACAATAGATTTCATGAAAAATCAAAAGAAAAATCCTAGTCGCCTATCACACGATAGGTTAAAATCGAACAAATGTGTGCAATACAAGCCTCGTTTCCACATTTTTGCTCGCTGGAACGAAGATACGACGCTGTGGGATCAACCAGGAACGGCAGCGGCGTCGGCTGGTGGCTCTCCAATACCTCCAAAGCAAAGATTCAAAGACGAAATTGAAGAAGATGCCCTTTGTGGTTTCCATTCCCTGTTTTTATGTCTTCTCACCTCCATTTCATCGCCTACGATCCACGATTCCTCCTCAATTTGGCCCACGATCCAGCCCATTGGATTGCTACTCGGCGCCACTCAGTCCAGGCCTGCCACCTAGGCTGGCCCCCGCTGCCCCCTTGGATGGGCAATTTTACCTCTTTTTTTTTTTCTTTTTTACAGTTTTATCCATTGGTAAACTCTGAAGTTTGACCCTGCAAAAACCTCATCAAATGTGCTCTGATAATTCACAAAAATCAGAAAAAATCAGAAATGTTCATCTAAACGTATTGTTAAATTTCAGTCCAAAATTTAAACTATATAATAGTTAAATAATACACGATTAATTAAGTTTAAAATGACTTATTCCTAAGGTTTTCATACATTCAAAGTAAAATTCATATTTTCTAAATTAATGCTGATGACATGTTATTTAATATGAACTTATCATCATTTAATATCTAAAATATACTCATTAGTATGTAAGAATCACATGTTATCATTAATCAATGGTTGTGATCAGAAAATCAATGGTATTGAAACCAAAGGAAAGGTTCATTCCTAAAGAGTGGACATAAGTAATGAGTTAAACCATTATGAAAAGATAAAGCATTCTGAATGAACTAAGAAACCCACCTAACCATCTGCCTTACAGATGACTGATACTTTAGGGATATATCTAAGGAGAAAATGGAGAACAATTCAACTCCCTTATTCTTGGTCTTAGTGTAAGCCAAAACCCAAAATAAAGGAATTTTAGTGATCATGGAGGCAAATATTAAAAGAAAAAAAATTATGATCTATGTTATAATCATGAGAATAACTTTGATTAACACTCTTAAACCAACAAATAATTTACCAAAATATACTTTGAACTAAAGGTGTAAATAATCCTTGCTAAGTGTTAATGTGTCAATTTTTTAGGATAACAAAGGGTAAATGATCAAAAATTACCATTGGAACCTAAACCAAGGTTAATGAAATAGAACTAAAAATATCATAACAGATTTTAGAATCATTTCATAAATTTTTACTTAATTCACATGTTACCCTTGAGAAAAAAATGTTTGTCTTTTTATTTGAATTTAATGTAATATTCAAGGCATGGCCTTGGGGATTATACGGTCAAGCACATTGTAAATCATCTCCATCTTAACAAGAATGACAGAATTCTCCTTGCCACCTGCTCAAATCGCCAACATCTTGTCCCACTGTTTTTTCTACTAACAAGAGGAGAATAAGTATTTGAAAACAAGAAAAATAGTAAATAACATGAACAGTCAAAGGGAAATAAGTATTTGAAGACCAGAAAATATTAAATAATATGAACAGTCAAAGGGAAATAAGTATTTGAAGACCAGAAAATAGTAAAGAACATGAACAGTCAGAAGGGGAAAAACTTAGAGGAGAAACAATAGTTGAAGAAAAAAAGATGATATATTTTTAGAAGGTCACAGGGGAAAAAACTTATCAGAAGAGAAGCACTAGTTGAAGAACAAAAGAGGAGATATTTGATGGACAACAAAAGGGAAAACATAGAGAGAGAGAGAGAGAGAGAGAGAGAGAGAGGGAGGGAGAGAGAGAGAGAGAGAATTTAGTATCTAGATTATGCATGGTGCCATGTTGTACAAATTGAAACATTTTTTTATTTCATACTGATATTGTATTCTGTAAATTTTAATATTTATTGTAAAAAAAAATTATGACTTACTCTATACATGTTTTTAGCTCTCTCTCTCTCTCTCTCTCTCTCTCTCTCTCTCTCTCTCTCTCTCTCTCTCTCTCTCTCTCTATCCCTCCTTCCCAATCTCTCTCCCTCTCCCTCTCCTTCACTCTACCACTCTCTCTCTCTTTCTCAGAAAACACCACCACACCTGGGGAAACTCTTGGCAAATTGCACGGTTATCTGGTCATGAAACCCCAATTTTCGAGGTTCTTTTATATTCCAAATTGCCCCCGCACAAAACTAGAGACCAGGATGCAGGGCAGACTCTTATGAAGCCCAGGCTGCAACTGGGGGATTGGATACACGAGAGGGTTGCCTTCTGAGTGCTGCCAGTCAGGGTACCTTTCGAGGGGAACGGTGCCGATGGCGAGAGTGTATCGCACCACAGGATCAAGGGAATGTGCTGTGGGGTTCTCACCAGAGGAGGGATTCTGACGCCAATGTCGACAGTAAGGATGGTGGCGCTTTGCACCAGGGATCGGGGAGTGCAGCAAGAGGAAGAGGGAAGTGAGTAAACGGTTATAAGGGAGGATACGATGTAAGGCTATATGAGAGGAAGGAGATGGACGTCCACGGCAAAAAGTATGAAGGCAAAGAGGTGATCGCTAGAGGAAGGTGGGACAATGCTTGCAATGGAAGAGACGAGCACCTTGAAATTCTAACGGTGCCCACCCTAGGTCCTAAATAACCCAATGGACAGGAGAAAGAAGTGGAATCACAAGCACAAAGAGCCTAGCAACGTTAAATGGGATGTGCCCGCGCCTCTCCACCTTATTAAACATGAGATGCCAATAAGGGATTTAACCCATCAGCTGTGGCTGCCGCTTAGAGTTTTCCTTGGTTTTACCCGAAGTCCTTGTATTGTCCACTCACGCCACTTCCCAGCATATGTAAAATATGTGCGAATTAAAACTAAAATCAGCATAAATATTGTACTTATATAAACAATGATGGCTTTGAGGACAAATGTACGTACATCTGAGCATATAAAATTATCTGCTTCCAGCATTCTCCAACTACAACTGTTCCTTTGAGCACAGACCCTTCATTTTCACCAGAAAAGAAAGCATGTTATATACATTATCACTTAATTTAATGTTTTCGTACATATTCTCTCAACTTTGTTGACCATCCATTGATGAACTGCGAATATTTGATTAATTTAGTAGAATTAATCTATCGTGTATTCCTTATGTTCAACCGTGGATAATTATCGTCATGTCGATTGATTGATGCCATGGCATCACCTAGGGCCAAATTCGAAAATTAACAATTACCATCATTACGTCAAACGTCTGACAAGGATGATCAAATGATTTTAGTTTCGCTTCAATCAGTCTACAGAGTAAGTTTCGTTGCTCAAATTTACAATGATTATGGTGAATGTCTCGTCGTCATTCACTAGCTCTTACCTAAGATCATTAATATATGGATCTGCCATTTTACAGAATACGATGTTTTAAGTCTGGAATTATCAATTTAGAATATGGTAAATGATGTAAAGGTCATTACGTCACTTAATCACTAGAGCAAGGTTTCTTTACACCTTGGAGAGTCAATTTATTTATTACAGATGTTTGAGTTATCTAAAATCCTTATCTTAAATAGAGGTTAGTTCGTTATAAACAATTAGTTTTAAAATGAAATTTTAGTTATTTAAATACAAACTATGTAATTATTTTAAAATACAATTTCTACTGGAAATATCTTCATAACGAAGAAAAGATGATCAAATGTAAGAAATATCTAGAAAGTCCCAGAGTGTTGGCAAGGTGTCACCGGGGGTGTCTCTCCAAATCATCTGAACTTCGATTCAACGCTCTCCCCTCCGTCACAAACGGGACGGAACACGCCGCTCAACATCTCTCATTCTTCCTTATTCAGCAACAAACTTATAAGGAGGCCTCAGTAAGACAACATTACGAGCTTAGACTAAGAGAGAATTGATGATTTAGAGCATTTCAACAGCGATAAAAGAAGTTCGGGCGTTTACAGCCGCTCATCTTGCTGGTCCAAGAGAAGCATGTGAATACTTAATTAAAATAAAGTTCCTTCGACAATAAAGAATTATCGAGTAGTAGACATACAGATGTCTGGGTGTAGCCTTAAGATGGCCACCCGATCTGTGACAGAAAAAAGTATACATTAGGAGCTTCCAGGAATCAAGGTGCTCAGGCTTCACATGTGACAGAAGGGCCATGGGATCCGGTGGCGATTATCGAAGCTTCTCTAGATCTCTTCCTACTTAAGACTGCGAGAAAACAAAGGGAAATGGGCGGTCTACACCTCCCACTTGTGCCACATATTGAGACGGCTAAGAAAGAGAGAAGTAGAGAAGGAGAGAGAGAGAGAGAGAGAGAGACGGGAGGGAAAGTTTTCCTTCTTCGGCTCATGGTGCAGGCTTCTTGGGTTGAAGAAGAAAGGAGGGCGGTTTACAGCGGTGACGCGGTTTCTGCTGCAAGTGGAAGGCCATGGTGAAGACCTCGCGGTTGAGCACCAGGGCGAACAAGGGTTTTCCTCTTTCGATCGTCCTCGTGTTGATTATCATGCAGTGGAGTTCCTCCTCCTTCGGGGTCGTCAGGGCAGCTCGGCGTCATCCTGGCGAAGTTACCAGGGGCGGCTCTGTCGGCATGGCTACCCTTCCGACATCCGGCAGAACGGCGTTCGGCGGGCGCAACAAGGAGGTCACCGAGGAGGTGCTCGGCGACGACATGAGAAAGGTTCCCACTGGTGCCAATCCCCTTCACAATAGATAGAAGAAGCCAACCCATAGGCCGGCACGCCCTCATCTTCTCTCTCGAATCCCAGTTGTTTCTCAGTTGGACATCCAGACCTCCACACGCAGATCCTGGGCATTCAAGACAACCGTAGCCTTGGTGGAAGAAGCTTTCAATGCCCTTGATCCTGTAAAACCTGTTTACGCTTCTCCCTACATAGACTCTGATGTTCCCTGCTGACTTTAATCTGTTATAGTTGACTAATATTTATTGAGAGAAACGAATCTTGTAGTCAAACTCTGTGAACTAACTCGACTCGTTGCCTGAACTTCTACGACTGATTCACGAGATCATCATCATAACTCTGACGTAATTTTCTACCCTCAACAACGAAGCGATCGCAGAAGCAAGATGTATCTCCGTAAGTCGCCGGAGGCCGGTCGATGTTGACCCGGTAGAGTAGGACGAACTCCAACGTAGCAGCAGTCACCGCCGCCATTAATTTGCGTGAAGCTGCGTGATGCTGGAAGATAAAGCGACTGCGCCCCCGAGGAGGAGGGAGACTCCTCACCCTTTAAAGCTCAGGAAACGAAGACCTCTCTCTCTCTCTCTCTCTCTCTCTCTCTCTCTCTCTCTCTCTCTTCATTAAGTTCACTGAGTTCTCCCGGAATCCAAGAGATTCCAGGGCCTCGCCGGTGCGGAGACTAGTTTATGCGGCCGCGGTGGATGTCTCGCCCGCCGCAATCAATGCCCCGACGACACCGGCGCTCGATTCACCACGTAAAGAAGCTTAGTATTTACGTATCCGCTGATACTCCTGGAGATGTATTTTCTCCTGGATGAGTCCCACAAATGGTTAATTGCCCGGTAAAATATCTGATTTCCCCGTTAATGTCGATGGTAGGTTTCAATCTTAATTTAGTTTTTGTTGATATTTTTATTTCCATTTAATGATCTATTTAGCGGTTGTCATCGTCTATCTGATAAAAATTATAATTTTATGATGATAAATTTACACACATTACTTTTGCCAGAATTTAAAAGTCGAGAGTTGAGTCAGATAATAAATATTTTCCGATAATTATTCTCATTTATAATGGGAAATAGTTATTTATATTCCTATAAAATTAAGCTACATTGTATTCAAAGATACAATTAATCCCAGTGCATCTATATATTTCTTATTTAAAAAATTAAATTCGAGAATTTTATTGAATTAAATTTAGACCTCTATTGCAATTTCTAACGAGAAAAAATGATTTATATTCTTATAAATTAAAGCACACCGTATTTTAAAATTTATCATTATATATGCCATTAAAAGGAATATACTAGTATATTTAAAATAATTTAAACTATATATCATGTGTTTGAATAATATCTCTTTAGACCATTATTGTAATTTATAATACAGATACATTACTCAAATTGTACATTTATCTTTTAAAGAAAATCCAATGGATTGAATAATAAGTATATTTGGACTCTTTTATCATTTATAATAGGGTATAGTGATTTATATTCCTATTAAATTAAAATATATATATATATGACAATTAATATATTAGATTATCTGATGCAGATATATTTTACATTTAGGAGAATTATTTAAAACCCAATTATGTGGAATTAAATGTGTTTTTAGCCCGGATCTCTCTTTCTCGGGATCAAAAAGTTTTTGCGTGTTGATGGAACGCTGGTGAGGTGAAAATGCGACACGGTTTCGGGGGGATGGTGTGCTTGATCACGGCATAACGGATTTGGGGAGGGAGGCGACCGGCGGCCTTTGGAAGGGGCGATGTGCTTCACCGGGGATCTCAGTCAGGAGGAACTCGATTCCTTCCACTCCAATGGTGATGGAAGCTTTAATTTTTCTGCGAAGAACGGATTTCCGTGGAGGGTTTAAAAGCCAGGCAGATGTTCTGATCTATCTGTATTTCCATCGGTAGGATTTCTGGTGATCGAGTCGTTTGCAAGCGCGGAGGAGGTACGGTGCATGATGGAGCGGATGGAGGAGCTTCTGGAGGGGTTCGACTGCTCCTCGACCAATTCCATCTTCTCGACAACAAACCAGGTCTTTTCCCTATCTTTCTATCTATGTTTCTGTCCTTCTGTAATTGATTACAAATTTAGAGTTTTTAGTTTCACGATTTGTGCAGTTTTGAGAATCAGATCTTTGTCTTTGAATTCAGAGACGAACGACGGACGATTACTTCTTCGATAGCGCTGAGAAGATTTCGTTCTTCTTCGAAGGTGCGGTTGAAACCTATCCTTTTCTTTCCCTTCTGCCATCCTTCCTCGTTGCTGCAGTCTCTCATTCTTCCCTCCTGCTGTTCCTGGATGAAGAAGCCCTAGAGTCGGCTACTTGTACCTAATCGCATAATTTCTCTCTGCAAATTGATGTGATCGGGTACCTCGTGGTTCTATTAGAGAATGATTTCACGACGAAAGCTTGCCATTGATCCCACTATACTCCAAGAAGAGCCGAATTAAATATTTTTTTGTAAGTCTACCACTGGTAAAAGTATAGACTCTCAGAGTTACGAGCAGCATCAATGTGTTGAAGTTCTGTATGAATCCAAGGCTGTACATGAAGCTGAGGAAGCTTCAATCGTCTTCAATGTGGTGAGGAACAGGCCAACCTCTGACCGTCCCTCTTTGCAAGGATCAGTCATAACATTGTTTAAGTAAAAGATGTAGCTCTAAAAGTTGCCAGAATATTTTAGGATGTAACCTTATTCAGGATGGGTATATATCCCCAACTATTGTTGTACCGCCAATGCAGTTTGCAAGTCCCATTTATAGGCCTGCATTGAGGATCTGAATACAAGAATACCAAGAAAAGATATGGGCAACCATTGACCGCTGGCCTGGGTTTCTGAGTTTTATGAGGACAGTCAGAAAGTGACTCAATTCCTTGGAAATGAAAAACCATGAGCTAGAGGGTTGATCATCTAAATAATTGCTTTCTGATATCTTTCATCAATGGCTCTGCCTCTTGCTTGGAACATATGGTCTGTAGTTCTCCTTGGTCATAATTAGCACCTCTAAAATGACAGGGATCCGTGGCAAGACTTTGGCCAGTGTACAATGGTTGTAGTCCTTGTCCAGGTTGGGTCGTCCGTAGCACCAACCTAATGTGTTACTATCTATTCACCTGAGTGTGAACGTTCCAAATTACCAGCTGATAGAACTTCCTCAGGCATGGTTCATTTAGCCTACTCATTGGCAATGTATTGCAGAAGCAACTGATTCTTATCTAAACTGGCCAATTACTAAAATCAATCGCAGGTGGTCTAAACTCAGTAGAATCAGGATAATTTTCTATGTTAGCTACAGTTAATCGGGAATCAGGTCTGGGCTTAGAACACGGAAATGGCACTGCAGTGGGTCGTAATTCGTCGATTTTTTCCTAGAGAATTTATTAAATTAGCCAATTTGGGCCAAATATTCTGTTTGTGCCCGGTGTTAATAACCATCAATTCAGCTGCCCATGCCATTTTTTTCTCTACTGACATGGTATTTATTTTACCAAGTTTAGCCCCTTGTCCTAACTTAATAGTGCCATCTTGATTTCCCGTTCTTGAGAATCTTCCTATGCTCACAAATGTGCTCCTTAGAAGAGAGGCTTTCACTTTGTGTTTGGTGTTTAGCAATCATCAATTTAACTGCCCCTTCCAAAAACATTTCTCTACTAACGTGGTATTTATTTTCCCAACTTTAGGCCATTCCTCTTAACTTAATGGTGACCATATCGATCTCCCGTTCTTGAGCATCTCTCTATTCTCGCAAATGTGCTCCTTAGAAGAGAGGTTTTCACTTTGTGCTTGTTGTTTATAATCATCAATTCAACTACCATTCTAGTTTTTTTTTCTGCTACCGTGGTATTGCTTTGACCAAGTTTAGGCCCTTCTTCCAACTTAATATTGACCATATTGATCGCCTTGAGCATCGTTCTATGCTCACAAGTGCGCTCCTTAGAAGAGTGGTTTTCACTTATGATCTGCTGATTATTGGGAGCTTTTTCCTCTATTAGGCTATTGTAACTATCATTTCTTGGAGAAATAACGGGTGAAACGATTTAAACATATCTTTTTAACTGCTAGAAGATTTCCTCGCCTATCTAGATAAAAAGTTTAGCTGTAACTGAGCCATCAATGCCACTTGATCAGCGTGCACGTCTTTTTCTGGTTTTCTCCATTTAATACTGTGGCAGTGGTACATGAACGACATAAATTTTGAATCTCCAGGAAATATGCTCTTTCTGGTCTTGAGATATTGTTCTAGAATGATTTTTTTTTGGTTGGAGTTACCTCAAATGCTTTAGGATAAAGAATATATCTATTCAGCTTTAGTTTAGCTGCATAACATGAAAAATCGATATTTAATGTGTAAACTGCAGAGAAGGCATTTGGAGATGATGGAAGATTAAACCAGTCAAAGCAGCTGTCTATCAATAAAGTCGGCCATGGTTTGTTTCTGCTGTGCCCTTGATCTGTATTAATGGCATAAAGGAATACAGTATCTCTTCATACAAATGTTGACACCTGTATTTAATTGGTGGTCTGATTATGAATTGTTATGCCAATTTGCAGCACTGCACGAACTTGATCCTGTGTTTAAAAAATTTTGTTCATCTGAAAAAATTGCAAAGCTGCTCTTCTCACTGAGTTACAAGAGGCCTGCAATCATTCAATCTATGTATATATTTAAGGTACTTGATAACCTCTCTCTATCTCTCTCTCTCCAAGAAAATGCCATTTAAATTGTCACCCAATTTTATCCCACAGTATCTCTAGAGTATAGGGCTTCCGCCCTTATATGTATAGGGAACTTGGCCCATTTTCTCTCTCTCCTCCTCACCCCTATATGTATAGGACTTCCGCCCTTCTTTTCAATTGAATATTTTATTTTCTCTGTCCAGAAACTTGTCACCCAATTTTATCCCACAGTATCTCTAGAGTAGCTGATGCAGGATTGCACCCCAGAACTTAGTTTTGTCTTGCATCCCCCCCATAGCTTCTCTTATACAGAATTCTGGCAAAAGGATGGAACTTCATATGGAAAGCTTGATAAAGAATCATGTCAGTGAAAGGAAATAAACTTATGAATGCAGTTAGACCCTTCACAAAATAGTGGCAGTGCATCCCTTCAGTACACGCGAGAAAGGCAAAGGAATACTCATCCCATGATCAGTGGAATATCAGTGCATCCCGCCTCTATCTTCACTTGTTTTATGCTCACCTGAAAGTAGATTATATGATTCATGGGCTAGCAGACGCCAAGGCTCTTGCATGGAACCCGTGACAAAGATCAGGATTATGGTAGAAGGAATTAATGCCACATCATCCGATTCGTTGTACCTTGGCTGTCAATGCTATTTGATTAGTATCTCCATTAGTATTGATATGTTAAGTAAACGGTTTCTTATGTAAACCTCTCCAGATTTGTCTTTATTTTCATTGTCATTCAGTCTATTTGATGGGGCTTCGTCAAGTTGTGACACTTTGGCCTGAATTTAGTTCGTATACCTTACATATTTCCAATGTTCTGGGGAAAATTCATCTCTCCCTTTGTACAGCAACCGGGGATTGGTGGAGAAGTTGTGCCACACCAAGACAATTCATTTCTTTTCACAGAACCCCCCTCCTGTCTAGGGTTATGGCTGGCTCTAGAAGACGCCTCTGTTTCGAATGGATGCCTTTGGGCCATTCCTGGCTCCCAGAAGAGTAAGCGTGCATCTTGCTTGCACTGGTCATCTTTATTTGATGGGATTTTAATAATATTGATCCATTATTTCATGAGAAACCTTTCATTACATTATTTTATTTTCTGTGTATCTTCTAGATGGACTTGTGAGGAGGTTCATCAGAGATGATGATGGTGTTCACTTTGACAAACCCTCCCAAACTTACAACCGTGATGAGTTCATTCCATTGGAGGTCAGAGCGGGCTCTTTGGTGGTCATCCATGGAGATCTTGTGCATCAGAGGTCAACCCCACCCACCCTATCCTAGGTGCCATTACTGCTAAATATAGCTGTGGAATGCTGTCTGGCTTCAATCCCTCATATCGTCCATTAATTACAGTTTCGAGAACCAGTCCCGAAAGTCAAGGCATGCTCTCAGTTTACATGCAGTTGAAACCGATGGATGCACTTGGGCCGCGGACAACTGGTATGATGATTGCGTTGACCTTTAATAATCAGTTATAATTCTCATTTGATATTGGTGAGCCGAGGGTTTCTCGAAAAATTAAGTAGTATCTCTGTAGTTTTCACATGCCAATGCAGACTATTATTATCATCATCGTCATTGTCTAACCATTTGATGCTTCTCCAATGTACTCTTTCCACCAGGATAAGAAGAAAGAGAGCGCCAGAGCCTCTCCGTGCTTCTTGATCTGAAAAGGATGGCGGTGGCTTGCTCTCTGTCAACATCCTGGCGAGAATCTCGCTTCCGAGAAACGCAAGTCGGGCATGCAGGACAGATGAGCAAATGCTGAGTGGGATAACTTATGACTCTCACATTTCTCTCTCCCTCTCTCTCTCTAAAATAAAAAACAAGCTAAGTTCGCTGACGTACGTGGGGATATGCACATCCTGACAGCTACATATCAAAAGGGCATAATCTACAGACACGGCCGAGGAAGAACACAGGGGTCCTAGACGCCATCATCTCCAAGAGCATTGACGCGTTCACATTCGTCGATCCATTCGCTGTACCTGTGTAATTCAAGGAAGGAATCAATTGAAGTAGCAGAGAATAATTCCCACTTGGGGAAAGAAATAGATTGTAGAAATGGTTCAACTCACACGTCGATGGGCTCAGACAAAGCTGCAGAGGACAAGACGAGGGATTGGAGTCAGTAGTTTGCAACATGTATATTACTCAAAGTAGAACAAAAACAAACCAAGTGTGGAATAATCTATAATGAGAGACGAGGGTGAGGGCATACCAGTGACAGTAGTGCTGAAGCTCTCTTGGCAGATCCGGCAGGAGACTTCGCCGATCAGGTTCTTCATGTCTCTGAGTCAAGAGAAGAAATGTCAGAAAGTCCGATGACCCTGATTAGTTAAGTTAAAGAAAAGTATGTGTAAGGAGGAGGAAGCGACAGCATTCAGTATGAGAAGAGAACCAGCCATACATGCGGCATTCAACACTGGTCCCGTGGTTGCAGAATGGGCAGCTGAAGACCGTATCCAGCTTGTCCTTCCTCTTCTTGGGAGGCGGCTTCGATCTCGACTTCCTCTTTCCCATGGGATTAGATCAGGCCGCAGCTGGCGAACAGGAGTCAGCGGGAGCTTGTGAGCCTCTGAGAGGTCGATTGTACCAGCTTAGTCAACCACTTCACAGCTTGGGCAAAAGAAATCCCAGCGGGATTGGGAAAGAAACATCTGAACATCATGAGTGGTCACATCCCCTTTTGAAGAGCAAAAAGGGTGTAAAACCGTTCATCCCTAATGAATCTGCGAGCTAGAAAACTTTCCCATGACGAGATCGCAGCTTTATGATCGGTCTAACAGCCGTTAACAGCCGCACAAGCGCAGAGGGCTATTCTCGTATGGAGTGTGTAGAGAGCTGAACCCAAAGAGAGACAGAGAGGGAGAGAGAACAATAAAAGAACAAAAGAGCAGCTCCGAAGGGGAACCCATGGCAATAACTAATCACTCCAAGAACCGAAGAAGAGAAGAAGAAGAAGAGAGGAAGAAAAGGAGAGCAGGGAAGAAGAGGGAGAGGGAATCCTCCTACCTGCCGTAGAGACCTCGCGGAATCTGGTTGGCTCTGTTGTTGAAGCCCTAACCAGAAGAAAAAGGACGCCCATTTACCACAGCCGACCTCTAAGCTTGAAGCTGCACGTGTCACCGCTTGGCGACACCCGGCGAGGGGGGGGGACGTGAAGGCAGCATGCCGTGGAATTTTGACGAGGATTCCATAAAAAGGCGTTTGATTTCGCAGAAAAAAAGATATGGAACAAGATGAAAGGAAGAAACAAAGATATCGAGAGAAAAATGCGGGCTTTTAAGATGATCCGGGTGTCTCTTTCCTCGGCACGGTGCCGCCGGCCCCACCGCCCTACGCGACTCGGCCGAGCAACGCGCCGAGGACGGCCTCCCGCGACGGCAGTGCCGGGATGGCCCCCCGCTCGGTGACGGTCAGCGCCCCGCACGCGTTGGCGAAGCGCAGGGCCTCTCGCAGCCGCTCCTCGTCCTGTCATCCTCATCATCATCAGCATCAGGTCGAACATCTCGTCGTCATGAAATATGACAGGAAAAGATGCAGAAAAGAAAAAAAGGAAAAGATTAAAGACCAGAGTTGATACACCACAAATCAGGATGAGGACGATGTTGTGTCAAGAAACTATACTACTAAATTAGACAACATATATGGTTCATCATACACCACAAATCAGGATGTGGGTTATTTTTTCTTATCTATGTTTAGGAACCATAAACAGATAATGCCACGCTAACTAGACGATGTTGTTGTTTGGGATTCTGAACTACAGGAAGATGCCCGGGGAAATGGGGTAATATCGGGTCGTTGTTCTTTCCTGCCTTCCGGATGATGAGAGGAGCCTAACTGTTCTAAAGGAGGATTGCACCCGTAATGCTAAAGGTCCCGAGAAACTGGCGAGAATATTAGCAGAAATAGTACCTGGAGCAGTGAAAAGTCTGAGGCCAGTTGATATAGAAATCCCGCAACAAACGCATCCCCAGCGCCGGTGGTATCCACTGCGTTCACCTGCAGTCCGCCAACCCTCCCGCTAAAGCCCTGAAAAACGAACAACCCTTTAGGTCGCCCAGAGTTCTGTTCATCCATCTGGAAAAATGTCTGATTGTTCATTATTTAGATAACTAGTAATAGCACACCCAACCTCCCCTGAAGCGGGAAGAACTGACAGACAATCAACAAAATAAAAAAGCATGGCAGCGAAGTTGAAGAATAATGAGAAAGGAGAAGAACAGTTAGTTAGCAACTTCGGAAGGTGATTCAAATAAGGTATTTTATCCTATAGAAGAAATTGCAACTGTACCGTGGGAGAGCCTATCTAGATTAAGTAAGAAGAAGGCATTGATTTAGCAGGAGAACACTGCCAGTAACTTAAGGGTCCATTAGTAAACAGCAAACGAGCAAGAAGTAAAGGCATCTAGGGATAATTTGAAGAAAAGATGATTGGAGAATTCGAAAAACTTTAGACGATGGTGTTGCCCAAAACTGTAGAAAATTGCTTTAAAATGGGGGGACGCGGGTTCTCAGGAGAGACCAAGGGGACAAGAGAAACACAAATAGAAAAAGGTGGGAATACAAAGCCGTTCAATAAAACCTTAAACAGGAAAGACTTTAGTCACAGTTTAGTTGACAAAAGCATGCAAATGTAGTACCAGGAACGATGGAGGTCCTGAACCGAATGGTGACTACTGACGTTTAAACCCTGTAATAGTATATATCCTCATTGATATTTTTTATCAGTCGGATTTTTTAAAGACATGATAAGTGGATAGGCCAAGAGGTTAAAATGTGTAAAAGAGAAGTACGTTCGCAAGTCTTCTGATAGCAAGGACATAGAGTTCATGAATTATATCATGAGGTTAGAAAAATAAGGCAAAAATCACGAGTGTCAATGAATCAAACGACTTAAAGCGTTTAAAGTTATTTTTCTACAATGAAAACTGATGAAGGATTATGTAGAAAGCAGTCCTTAAATAATGTACATCCATTTGCATGAAATACGTGATAATAGAGCCTAAAGACATTATTTGGCCTCGAATAGAAACAATTCTCACTATAGTTGGTTTTGATTCAGAGTCATTTTTTAAACGCCAGCATCTATTTAATGCATTAGGGAAACATAATCTATCTGCCTATCTGGAAGCGAGGAAAATATTTAATAACATAATGGAGGCCAGACAATTATCAAATGGAAAAACACTAGCCAAGGAACCACACAAGATCAAATTTTAGCAGATGTGCCTAGAACGTAGAAAAAGGGGAGGGGAGGAAATATATGGGCTTGTTATCGTAATTGCTTGATGATGAAATCACGAAAATAATTATTTCAGATTTTCTTCATGATATATCTCTGGTTCGCTCACACCATTTGCATAAATAAATACAAAAAGACTGCTTATTTATCATGTGATATCATGGTAATATAGTACTCAATAATACATTCATGTTTGGGTTTATATTCAATGAGAAAACAATTATTTGACAGACATGAATTAGTCGAGCTAAAAGAATCACAATTTGAAAAAATAATTTAACAGGTACTAGATCATTTTTGCAGTTACTCAGGCTAAATGAATATAGCACTCCCATGTTCCCGAAACATTCTCTGGGATTCTGAGAAGTTGGGTTTCAGGTTAACCAGGTGTAGGCTGCATGTCCGGTGATCAACACACCAAATGAATATTCCTGGAATTTCATATTTTCTTTCATGTCAACAAAATAGGAGATAACTGAGTTTGAATGTAGATTTCTATTTACAAGGAACCAAGACTTGCAAGGATTCATCTTGTCAAGCTTTTCTATCATTGTACCCTTTCTATCATTCAAAAGTCACAAAATCATGATCCATTTCCCGTAGTAAAAAAAATGATGCAGCATTACCTAATAGCATAGTTAAGAAAAACGAAAAGCGATGACAAGGACGAGCTATCCTTCGATAAATCTGGGGATAGCTATAACATCTGTTTTCTACTGGGATGGGCTGGGAGGTCCGACCTGCTTCAACAAGGTCTTGGCTAACTTAGGTGGGCTTGAGGGTTCTACATCAGTGTTTACGGACCCAACAGCGAATGGAGTCGCCACTGGCTAATATACACAAATAAGAAAAGCAAACAGTTGAACCAAGCAGTCACAGAAAGAATCCAACTCATGATAAAGGACACTCCATGTCAAATACAGATGCGCCTATACGATGCATGATCAAGACAAGCAAAGTACAATATCATCAGTGACCATCGACACAAGCCAAGCTTGATGATCCATTCCATGAGTGAAGCCATACCTTTGAATAATACCTACAACCATCTGCACCCTCAGTTACAAGAAGTAACTTAAGATTAGGATGGAAAAGTTTGCGAACAACGGCATCATCATAGGGATCCTCTCCGTTAGTCAAAAACGAAATTTCCTCTTCACTAATCTGTTTCAAAGATTTCAGCAAAAAATCAAGAGCCGCTAACGACTGAGAACTGAAAATATTCCATGAAGTATTATCTTACCTTGATGATATCAGCAGTATCCCATACACTCAGGATTCCTTCCCTTGCACTCTCTGCAGATGGCCAAAGAGGAAGTCTAAGGTTTGGATCATAAGACAGAAGCACTCCAGCTTCCTTGGCAGCTTTTGATGCTGCTATGTGGGCAGACTTACATGGGTCTGTTATCAGACTTATTGATCCATAGTGGAAAATTTTTGCCTGCCAGAGAAAGTAGAAAATAACGTCAAGAATCGTTTCAGAAAATGTGAAATGGAAACACAGTCCCAAGGTCATTGCACAAGGATCATTGTCAAAACATGAAAACCGACCAAACCTTTGTAATGATATCGAAGTCAAGTTCAGACTCTTGCAGCAGCATGTCAGCACTTGGATTACGGTAGAACATAAATTCACGTTCACCATCATTCCTCAGAGTAACAAAAGCCAAAGCAGTCCGTGCCCCGGGATCAAAACGCATTCCCTCGCTATTCACATTGTTCTCTTTCAAAATATTGGCGAGCATATAACCAAACTCGTCTTCACCAACCTAAATATGTCATACGGAAAAAACTCACATGTAAGAAAGGGATGGATGATTGATTTCCAGAGACTCATTCATTAAGAAGTAAATGAGAAGAAACAATCATAATTGTCTGCAACATAATTAAATAATATTCTGCGATATAGAAGAACATGTCACACGTTGAGTCATTGAAATGTGCTCCAGACCACCCAAACAGAACATCAACGCTTAGTTTCCAATCAACTAAGTAGCACCTGTGTAATGCATGTTGATATTGCCAACTTTACATCTGAGAAAATGAGACCAACAACAAAATAGTAGATCACAAGGTTGTTAATTAAAATTAAGATCGCTCTCTTTGATTGACAAGTCTGTTGTAAGCATATGATGCATGCAGGAAAGATCCATCTCATTGAAGCAACGAAGATAAGAACAGAAATACTCTTTTTTTTCACGTTACAGAAGCAATTAATTAACTATCAGATTTTTAAAAAAAATACTACAGGCACCATAATGCGTAAATCTTCAAAATATTATGTTTGAAATTCAATCTACATATCATAAGAGCCCTTGGCCTTTCTACATGGAAACTACCAACGGAACTCAAAGCCCGGGGTAATCAAATAGTAGGTGATACCTTCCCAACAAACGCTGATGAACCACCAAGACGTGCAATACCAACAGCTACATTTGCTGGTGCACCGCCAGGAGCCTTTTTAAATGCAGGAGCCTCAGCCAATGAAACCCCACTGACAGTTGGGACAAAATCAATCAGCATTTCACCAAAGCAGACCACATCTGAATTACTTGAATCAAACGAGTCACCTTTTCCTGACACTCTAGCAAAGCCTGACATCATAAACAGAAGTTAAGATTAGAGCAGCATTATGCAAAATAAAATGCCAAGAATTACGTGAAAGATTTTTTGAGTGTAAATGAAGAGAGTCACTTTTTACTCATTCAGAATCCCAGAGAACTTGAAGTGCGCCTGAATTCAGATACAAATACATGATTTCTATACTATAAAAAAAACTAGACTTCTGATCAGAATAAATATCACCCAAAATAAGACACTTTCATTACACCAGTGAGTTTTACCAACAGAATCCTGTAGCCAAATGTACCACCAAGTTGAAATCAGTTCCAGCAATTTCACAACGCTCAAACCCACTTTCAATTTAGACAAACTACTCGAATGATATACATTTCACCAATATCTCCCTTCTTTAGTATTATAATAACAGAAAATATTTTATAAATAAATTAAAGACTATTCAATCCTGCAAATCAAAGAATATAGAGACAACAGTAAATAACCCTAAAATACCCAATATGAAAGCATTATGTAATCGACTCACACTCCCAATGAAACCAAAAACCCCACAAGCATACAACAATCTACATACATATGCCAATCCACTGATAAGACGGTCTCTTGTCAAATTCCTTTGCCTGAAGTCATACAATGTGTAACACTCTAAATAGAAATACAACCAAACAGTTCACATGATAAAGTTTTTTTTTCACAATTTATATTGAGTGTACCGCCTTAGTATTCGTGCATCTCCAAATATAATCCCTTTCCCTTCCTCCCATAGGGATAATGAAAATACTTCCAGACAATATTTGCTGGCGTCCATCGAAAATTAAATATATTTTTTTACGAAGTTTTTACATACCAAATCATTCTACTCAAGTTTTCTTCCAGAAAGAAGACTAAACTCCGTCTCTCCGAATCGCATCTGCATCAATCATAATCCTAATGTTTCTGTTATATTACCTACTTCTAAAACTGTAAGTTTTGCGGATTTTTCATCTATATTAAGCAAACTGTATTCACTAGTCAGTAGTCTACCAGAAATAAGATTGTTGACCATAAAATTATCAAAAAAGGTTCTACATTCAGTTCAAAGGGCATTGAAAAGTTGAATACTTGGTGTAAAAAACCTCCAAAATAATCCAAACCATAACATCGTAGGTCGTCCGCTAAGAGAATTCTGATCTCTGGTAATGAACAATGTGATTGAATCTTTAGACTATATAGCTCTGCTCTACTTATATCTATCCTCAGGAATCCCTTAAAATATTATAGCCCCGTGAAAATGATATCCATGCAACTCAAATCGGCATAATACATTGAGAATCGGAACTGGGAAGAACTGGATTGCATCTCTGGCAATTGAGACATGGAACCGTATAAAAACGTACCATGGTAGACATAACAGTCTTTTCAGCCAATGATTAATGTGCAAGCTGAGCACTAGCAAGACAATGTGCGAGCGAACACTAGCCATATGATAACCACAAATCTGAGAGAGAGAGAGAGAGAGAGAGAGAGAGAGAGAGAGAGAGTTTTCTCTAATACTTCTTCTTGTATGGTAGGTGTACCAATGTAGAGATAAATATGTCTTAAGGTGTACCAATGTACCAATTGTTAATGTTTGTTTATTCAGTGAAAGTTAATCAACACATGGAGACAGAAAACCTTTATGATGGCTCTGCGAGAGATATTCTATTGTCACATTTCCAACATTTCTGGTGAACTAAAGCAAAATAAACGGCGGTTGAGAAGAAAGGTATTTTTCACATGGAATAGTCCCCATAAGCGAGGCCAGAAGATTATTTCATTCTAGCAGCCCTTGGGTTCTACAAGCAAACAGCTACCTCAGGCTGTCTTCTTGAACTAATGCCTCACTCGATTCTAGCAAGATGGAGAGAAAACTCTTCCATCAACAGAGTCATAGCTAATTCTATAATTTTCCTCTTGTCATTCTCTTGGATCTTCAGAACAAGAAAAAAACGATGAGGACGGGGACAGCGACACGATTAAGAGAGTCATCGGAAAGGCAATGACAGAATGAGAATAAGAAACATGAACATCCTATATCAATCCAGCTGCCATTTCATCACATGAAAAATAAACTTCACAAAAGAAAAGTGAATACTCCTTTTGGATCTAAGAAGAAAAAAAAGGACAAACAAACTAAAGTGGTGCAGTACCTCCCCGAGCTTTTCGACCACTACAGTTGAAAAGCGAAGAAGAGGATGGATCACACGAAGGAGCACTCGCTGCCAAGTGGATAGGCTGTCGCTTGGGAGAAAACCAAGGCGCAGAGGAGGAGGAAGAGGAGCCAGCCGAGGAGGAGAGGGATCTGCCCTTCGCCGTCCCTAGACGAGGACTGCCAGAAGTCACGGGGCGCGCCCCGAGACAGGACCGAGGAACCACGGAGTTGTGAAGAGCCATCACCATGTCCATCACCGATTCGCAGACCAATCGATACCGACGAAGAGCAGAAAATCAAGCTTAACAAGGCCAAGAGTCTCCTCAGGAGGGATCAAGGTTTGAAGTACGGTTTGCAGAAGACCAACCCACTCCAAGATCAGACACTGTCCTCTTGCGTCTCTTGCAACAGACCCGAACGAGATCAGCGGAAAGGGTACGGCCAACAGAGAAACCCAAGAACAGAGATGGGAGGCAACTCACGGTTCACTTCTCGGTCTACTACCTTGATAGCTACTCATCTGCTGCTACAGAACGATGCCATTTGTTGGTAGCGAATCCAACACCTGATGCGATCCCACTCTCCTCGGACAAGACAAGCCACGGCGGATGGATGGTCCCAGCACCTCCCGGAAGATGATGCCGTCGACCTCCGGCAGGAAATTGCCGGATATCCTCCACAACCGGAAAGCAAGACCTGGAGATCTCCCTAACGGCCAGAGATCCACCGGATTTCCCCACTCCTTGAGATCCAGAGGAGAAGGCTCGGCCTCCACCCTCTTGCAGATTTACAGCGATCTCTCCACTTAGTGAGACCGATCGAGCGAGCACGATGGCGGGGAGTTCGACGCATAATGCCCACAGCCAATCATTCATCAACTATTTATCCTTTCAACTGTTACGTTCTAATGAAACACTCTAACGGTGAGGACGGATTGACAACGGTAAGGCATTGACTCCACATATCAAGATTCAGACCTTGTTATGAGGACAAGTCAACCTTAACAAAATTCCATCAACAGGGCAATCCAACTCCACTAAAAAGGGCAACGTTGACCATCTGAGCGACCAAAGGTCAACCCTAGTTGAAAGGGATGAATGAGTACTCTACTAACTATCATAGAGACCATCTTGAACTTGCTTCCTCGTCATCTCCATTATATACAGGCATTATCTTCTATTTAGAGGAATTTTCCTAATATGACGAACAAAACTATGCATGTATGGGGAATAACATCAATTAAACGCACAAGTTAATCTTGCATAATAGTTCTTGCCTAAATTGCAAACATGAGGCAAGTTTTCATTTTAAGAATGACATGAAAGTTATATCCAATAATTTATAATAAATATTGAGATTAATCATTGTATAAAAGTTTCACTCTTCTTTTTTTGTGTGTTTTGAATGGTCGAAAAAGTCAACTATTATCATTCTAACAACTACTTGATCTTTTCATGAATGTAGGTGACTCTTAAGTCAATTCAATTTTCCTAAAAGATAGATGGTAGAGAATTGTGCATGCATTTGACCAAGTACATTGTTAGTTAAATCAAGATATTGCTAATAAAAGTAGTAGCAACATAATCTCGGTGGTGGTGGCGGCAAACCATCAATATACCATAAAAAGTCTTTTTTTTAACAGCTAGATAAGGGTTAGCATCAAAAGTCAACAGCCATTGCTAAAAATATATATTTTCATAATAAGTCAAATAATTAAAAAAATATTTTACTTGAATAATCATCATGGGCATCACAATTTTTTTGTTTTCTGAGAGAATTTCTTGTTTATATAAAAGTGGGAAGTGAGTTTTTTAACATAGGCTTAATTTATACTCTCCCTAGGTTTTTATTTTTATGAGAATTTAATTATAAATATTAAATTATAAAAATGCTTAATTTATTTATTTATAGCTTATTAACTACCTTGATATTTTATCCTGATTTTTTATGGTTTTTTATCTTTACTTTAGTGAGGAATTTAAAATTGTCTAAGGGGACAAACATTGTGGTGGTCTTTACGCACGGATTCGACGGCTGAGATCGTGTTTGATTTAATCGTGGAGATGGCAGCATCGAACGGTAGAGCAGGACTCTCCGCTTTCCCAACGAACGGTGATTTTATCATGTAAATACCCCAGAAGGCCTTCTAGTACCATCGGTTCCTCCTTCCTTCCCCTCCTGCGAAACCAAGCGAAATAGTCCCGCAGTCTCTACCCTCCTCCCCCTTCCCTCCCTACCTCTGCGAAATCGCCGGAGGAAGACGCCGACGGTGGAGATGAAGCGATCCCAGGAAGAACGCAAGGCCGGAGAAGAGCCTCCGAAGCCCGTCTTCCTCACGAAGGCGGAGCGTGAGCGCCTCGCTCTCCAGCGGCGCCAGGAGGAAGTCACTGGCCAGAAGCGCCGGGCGAGTGAGTTGCTTCTACAGCCGCCGCCACCGCCACAGCAATCTCCCAGCGGCAACGGCCGCCCGCCGAAGCCTCCGTCCTCGGAGACGCCATCGGATGGTAATTCATATCGCGACCGTGATAGGGATCGAGATCGCGACCGTTATCGGGACCGCGACAGAGAGCGGGATCGCGACAGGGCGCGGGAGAGAGACCGTGACAGAGGGCGGGACCGGGAGAGGGAGCGGGAGGAGGACTCGAAGAGCCGGGAGAAGGCTCGTATGGAGAAGCAGGCCGAGCGGGAGAGGGAGAAGGAGTTGGATGCCATCAAGGAACAGTATCTGGGTTCGAAGAAACCTAAGAAGCGCGTCATAAAACCGAGTGAGAAGTTCCGCTTCTCCTTCGACTGGGAAAACACGGAGGACACCTCCCGGGACATGAACACTCTCTACCAAAACCCCCACGAGGCCCGCCTCCTATTTGGCCGCGGGTTCCGCGCAGGAATCGACCGGCGGGAGCAGAAGAAACTTGCCGTTCGCAATGAAAAGGAGACCCGCGAGGAGATTCGTCGCAAGGATGGTGTTGAGGAGGGCCCCGAGGAGGCAGCAGCCCAGCGTCAGAAGGAGGCAGCCGCTGAGCTTTACGATGCCTTTGACATGCGTGTTGACCGCCACTGGTCGGAGAAGAAGCTAGAGGAGATGACTGAACGCGACTGGCGTATCTTCCGTGAGGACTTCAACATTTCATACAAGGGCTCCCGTTTGCCCCGTCCCATGCGGAGCTGGGTCGAGAGCAAACTGAGTCCCGAACTCCTGAAGGCTGTGGAGAAGGTTGGATACAAGACCCCCTCCCCGATCCAGATGGCTTCCATCCCTCTTGGGCTACAGCAGCGGGATGTAATTGGGATTGCTGAGACTGGTTCGGGAAAAACAGCTGCCTTTGTCCTCCCCATGCTTACGTATATTACAAAGCTGCCTCCCATGAGTGAGGAGAATGAGGCCGAAGGGCCCTACGCCGTGGTCATGGCACCAACTCGGGAGCTTGCTCAGCAGATTGAAGATGAGACTGTCAAATTTGCTCGTTACCTGGGGATCAAGGTGGTCTCTATTGTTGGTGGGCAATCCATTGAGGAGCAGGGGTTTAAGCTGAGGCAGGGCTGTGAGGTTGTTATTGCAACACCAGGACGTCTTCTGGATTGTCTGGAGCGCCGCTATGCTGTCCTAAATCAGTGCAACTATGTGGTGCTTGATGAAGCTGATCGTATGATTGACATGGGTTTTGAGCCGCAAGTTGTAGGTGTGTTGGATGCAATGCCTTCCAGCAATTTAAAGCCAGAAAACGAGGAAGAAGAGCTTGATGAGAAGAAGATTTACAGGACAACATACATGTTCAGTGCAACCATGCCAACGGCTGTGGAACGTTTGGCCAGGAAATATCTGAGGAACCCTGTCGTTGTGACTATCGGTACTGCTGGAAAGGCCACTGAACTTATCACTCAGCATGTGATAATGGTGAAGCAACCAGAGAAAATGCCTAGGCTTCAAAAGCTGCTCGATGAGCTTGGTGAGAAGACTGCTATTGTCTTCTGTAACACGAAAAAGTCTGCAGATAATTGTGCCAAGGACTTGGATAGGTTGGGTTATAGAGTAACAACATTGCATGGAGGCAAATCGCAGGAGCAGCGAGAGATTAGCCTGGAAGGTTTCAGGAGCAGGAGGTTTAATGTTCTTGTTGCGACGGATGTGGCTGGACGTGGAATTGACATTCCTGACGTTGCACACGTCATAAACTATGAAATGCCCAATACTATTGACATGTATACTCATCGCATTGGACGGACAGGCCGTGCTGGGAAGACGGGTGTGGCAACTACGTTTTTGACTCTGCATGACACAGATGTGTTCTATGATCTTAAGCAGATGTTAATACAGAACAACAGCCCTGTACCACCTGAGCTGGCAAGGCATGAAGCTTCAAAGTTCAAGCCTGGAAGTATCCCTGACAGACCACCTAGACGGAATGAAACTTTATATGCTCACTAATGACTCTGGTCCTTTGGAGTTTCTTAGTACACAGGTCCTGTCTAATTGTGAAGGATTAATGTGGGATTTAGCAATCTCAGTAACATCTGCAGAATTCTATTTGTAATGGTAGGAATTAAGTACGGTATTTTCTGAGGTGCTTAAGAATTTTGATTTGTGAGAAATGAAATGCTTTCATTTTCAATCTGCTGTAAGTTCTTACCTGCTCTATGGTTGATAGTGATGCAGTCTCGAAGATATTTTGGCTGCCATTTCATTGGTGGGACTTATATATCTCAGATTGTTGACTTCTCTAGTACAACTAAGACATGCTTGATTGATTGTGTCTATTGGCCTTTGCGCAATTTGTCCTGGATGATGATGTTGATTTCTTACTTGATTCATGGGCATCTTAAATGCTGTATGCTAGTATTTCAGAGAAGATTTGTTTTTCTAATATTTTGTTTTGATATTTAGTGAGAGGTCATTGTGGAATAAAGTGAGAAACAATATTCTGGATAAATCCCAAACTCTAGACTTGTTTCTAAACTCTGAATGATCATCTCTACGGCCCAATCAATAGTTTCATGTTGCTATTTCAATTCATTTTCTCAAACACGAGAATAGGTGTGGTTTGCAAACAAGGTACTCCTGGCTTGTTTGGTCCTTGAGCCTAACGGAAAAGTGAATTATCACTCTACGAAAGTCTCTTAAGTTTCATAAAAGTTGATTGTTGCTGCAGACTTCCCTACTCAATACTCTTGTTGAATCGATTCCACATCTGTTGCTATGGGGTCATGTGGGACCATGATGATTTGACCTTTACGTTCATCTTTCTCCATTTAGGGTAATACAGGATGTTTTGAGATGCGTTGGTCACTGGCCAAACAAATGTGGAGGCAGATGCCTATTGATGCCATGACCTCAAGGGTTGCTGATAACGAGAGGATTGCACATAGAGAGGAAGTGAAGCAGTTCTCTTTGTGAATTGGTGTGATTCAGCCAAAACATTGCAGTTACTGAAATTTGAGAGAACGGATGCTGGGAAGTGCTTGATAGAAGACAATAGCAGGATATTAATTGCGTTGACGTAACTATGAGAAGGCAAGAATTTTAGAGCAAAATCATCCGTTAGTGTTGGATAGTAGAAAACAGCAGTAGATATTAGTTGGAAGAGCATAGCTGTTAGAAAGCAAAAACGTTCGGACAAGATCCTACGTTCGGACAAGTTTTGTATAGAAGAGAAAAAGCAACTGAATACTAGTTGGATGAACATGAGTTTAGAAGGCAAAGAATATTAGAACAAAACCATCCAAAGTGTTAGATAGAAGAAAAGTAGCTGATGGATATTACTTAAATGCGCACGTCTTAGAAAGCAAAAACTTTAGAAGAAGATCATCCAGAAGTATCGGATAGAAGAAGCTACCAGGAGAACACTAGTTGCATGCACAAAAACCTTAGAAGGCACGGACTTCAGAACAGAATCATCCAGAATTGTTAGATAGAGGAAAATATCTGCAGAACATTAGTTGGATGAACACGAGTTTTAGAGACAAAAACTTCAGGACAAAATAATCAAAATATTTGTTTGCATTATCATAAGGGTTAGAAGTCGATAACCTCGGAACAAAATTAGCCTGTCAATTTTTTTTTTATATATAAGATTATCCGCAAAGAACTGTGGCTCTTTGCTGAATTTATTGCTCTTCTAGTCTTCGTCTCCACTCTTGATTCTTCCTTCGACGTCAGCAACAACACAGCAGAGCTTTAAAAGGATTTAAACTCATTCCTGTCGAGTCAGCCCATTGTATATAGAAATTGGCTGTTCCTACCCACATAGCCGATCCTTTTGAAGATGATTCCTGTTGACTTGTGCCGTCCTCAGAGAGGGTGCTTGAATTTGATCCTCAAGAGCTCCTAGTTCTTTCTCAATGGCAATGGAATGGCATTTATTAGTACCACAACTCCTCGTCATATGGGGATTCATCACCTTGCATTTTTTCAAAACTGGTCTCTCCCTCTTTTTTCACATCTACCCACCTCCCCCTCTCTTCTTTCTCTCTCTAGTTATATATCAGACTTCACAAGGGTGAGACTCAGAGCTCTTATGCTGGGGCTTGGTGAGCTCAGGACCTTGGCCTGAGCCCAATGCGGCCTGTGGAGATCCTCGGTTTCCACAGTTCTACGGATCAGACGATCTACTGAAAAACATCAGGTAAACAACAGAGATTCCACACCCTCTCTCTTAAGGCACTATCATATTTGGGCATGCGCACATGAGGTTCCGTTTACTCTCAAGGCTGCGGCCGTGTTGGAAAAATGGAACTAAAAATAGATCATTTAATAGATTATTTGATAGCGAAACCAGAAAATTTTGATCTCTTGGGTCAGAAAAATGGAAGATTTCTGCGTGGGCACTTTAAAAGATGAGTTCTTCCTCTGTTTCTTGCAATAAAGCGTGCACGAGCGCATTCTCCAGGATATAAACCGAGGGCCGGTAAATGATTCGGATTGGCGACGGCGGCGGCGGCGTCCCGTTTCAGGAAAGACGGCAGCCCAGGTCTCAGGCGAGCCCGAGAGCTGCTTCCGGCGTGGCGGAGAACTTTGATGAGACCTCGATTTGTCTCCTCCGCCACTGGCCTCGTCTGCCCGTGTCTGCAACCTCCCGCCGGTATTGAGCTCGCCGCCGACCGCCTGGGACTGCTGCTGGACGGATGCGCGTCTCCTCTTCTTCTTCCCACCCTCCGCCGCATACACTCGCAGCTCCTCACCGGCGGGTTCCTCCCTCCCAACCCTTCCCTGGCGATCAAGCTCATGAGGGCGTACTGCGCCTGCGGCGACCCCACCGCCACCCGCAAGTTGTTCGACAAAAGTCCCCACCGGAATGTCATCTTCTTCAACGTCATGATCAGGAGCTACCTCAGCCATGGCCGCCACCGGGATGCCCTCTGCGTCTTCTCCAGCATGACCGCTCACGGAGTCAGGCCTGATCATTACACTTATCCCTGCCTCCTCAGCGCCTGCTCGGCTGCGGAGCAACTGCTCGGAGGTCTCCAGGTGCACGGCGCCGTCACCAAGATTGGGCTCGACTCCAATCTCTTCGTCGGCAACACGCTCATCACCATGTACTCGAGGTGTGGCCGGCTACGCGAGGCGGAGCAGGTCTTTGCCGGCATGGCCTACAGGGACGCGATCTCATGGAACTCGGTGATCGCGGGGTGCGCCCGGATGGGCGAACCCAGCAGAGCGTTGGAGGTCTGTAAAGAAATGGTTCGATCCGGCGGCGCGAGGCCGAACGCGGCCACCCTCGCGAGCCTCTTGTCGGCGGTGACCGACATCAGTACCGGCGACGTCACCTTTCTCCGGGAAATGTTCGACGATATGCCTCATAGAGGCTTGATCTCCTGGAACGCCATGATCGCCATATACGCCAACAACTCCATGGCCGCAGAGGCGGTGGAGCTTTATCGGCGGATGGAGCTGGAAGGGGTGGAGCCAGACGCCGTCACCTTCGTTAGCGTGCTCCCCGCCTGCGGCGACCTATCGGCGCTCGCCCTCGGGGCCCAGATTCACGATCTCGTCCGGAGGAAGAAGAACCTCTGCCCGAACCTGTTCCTGGAGAACGCGCTCGTCGACATGTACGCCAAATGCGGGCATCTGCGGGCCGCAAGAAGCGTCTTCGACGAAATGACGCAGCGAGACGTCGTCTCCTGGACCTCGATGGTCTCGGCCTACGGCATGCACGGCCTCGGCGCCGACGCCGTCGCCCTCTTCGAGAGCATGCGAGAATCGGGCCTGAAACCCGACCACATCGCATTCGTGGCGGTCCTTTCGGCGTGCAGCCACGCCGGCCTGCTGGAAGAAGGGAGGCGCTACTTCAGGTCCATGACGGACCAGTACCAGCTGACCCCCACGGTGGAGCACTTCACCTGCATGGTGGACCTTCTGGGGCGCGCCGGCCGGCTCGAGGAGGCCTACGGCTTCGTGAAGCAGATGCCCTTCAAACCAGACGAGCGGGTATGGGGCGCCCTGCTCAGCGCTTGCAGGCTCCACTCGAACATAGCCGTAGGGGTGGCGGCAGCTGACCATCTCTTCAAGCTTGCCCCCGCGCAGTCCGGCTACTATGTGCTTCTGTCGAACATCTACGCACGCGCCGGCCGGTGGGGCGGCGTCGCGGCGGTGCGGGCCGCCATGCGGCGGCGCGGGGTGAAGAAGACCCCCGGGTGGAGCAACGTGGAGCTCGAGGGCCGAGTCCACACCTTCCTGATGGGCGACCGGTCTCACATTCAGTCGCCGGATATTTACGCGGAGCTGGCGGCGCTGGTGGGGAGGTTGAAGGAGGCGGGGTACGTAGCGGAGACGGAGTCGGCCCTCCATGACGTGGAGGAGGAGGACAAGGAGGGCCACCTCGCCGTCCACAGCGAGAAGCTCGCCATCGCCTTCGCCCTTATCAACACGGCCCCGGGGACGCCCATCAGGATCACCAAGAACCTCCGCGTCTGTGGGGATTGTCACTCCGCTTCGAAGATCATCTCCAAGATAACTGGGAGGGAGATAATTCTCAGAGACGTCCACCGGTTCCATCACTTCGAGAATGGATTATGCTCCTGCAGAGATTACTGGTGAAGCGATTCACTGGCTTCTTCATGAATATTGTATAATAATACGCCTCGCGAGTGGAAACCCATCTCCTGAAGTCTTCCCACATGTTTATTTTTTTCATGATTTAATTGTCTTGGGGAGAACGAACGCAAGGTGTTCAGAGAGTCAACGTCCCAGGCCCGGGCCTCCCAAAGCCCACCCCTGAAGAGAGGAGGAAGCGGGGAGATGGACAGCCTAGGAGGGCGATCTCGGAGCAGTAACACGGCAGCCCGGAGTCTCGGCCTTCACCCCCGACAAAGACCGGATGACTTCAACGGGCCTCTCTTGAAGCTCGAAAGCCCGGAAACCAGCCCGACACAATTTTATAATTTGGACCTCATAATCGAGACCAGATTAAAAAAATGACCTTGGCTGTCATCTATTGGCGCACCGGTGCTCATCCCTGAGGTTAGTCAATGACAAGGGGGAGAGGTTTTTGGTAAGAATATTTGTGATTAATCCCCCGTTTATTATATTAGAGTGCCCGCTTAATCCCATTATGTGCTTGATAAAATGATACTCAAATCTTAGTCCGGATCGGACAATCTATTCAGTTTGAGGGAGTAGCATTTTCTTTACGCTAAGCTTTCCATGATCTACAGTTCATCTTCTCGACATAAATTATTTATCCTTGTGTTCTGACCTAAGATTAAGTAGGCAACATTAAGTGTATTAAGTTGTAGATATAATATTAGTGATGATAACCAAGCTTGGTCCGCCTGGTTGGTCGAGTCTGACCGGCTAACGATGGACATGCTCTGCCATTTGAGATTTCCTTACTCGGACATTGAATTGGTCAGTTCTCTCCCTCTCCCTCTCCTCCCCTTGGAGGTGCCTAATTGGAGTTCCGCGACGACAGGAGATCCCTTATTCGTCCAATCAATCTGCTCCGAGCTACCATTACGAGAACATGGCCCGCAGGAATGGCGAGGACGAGGATGCTTCCTCCTTTCTGTCTCTCTGGTTGCCGAGGTCAATGCGATCTCCAAAGCGTGATCCTCCATTGCGGGAAGGAGCTCCGAGAACGCGGAATCGGTCGGAGATCGTTCGAAAAGCCACATTATTTGTGGCCGTAGAAAGATGCATAGACCAGACTGCAGATTCCCTCTTTCGGTTGGTAGTACGGAAGTAGCCATTTCTTCCTCATATATACGCCTCTATGATCGATTGCTGTGGCCACAAGTGTAATGAAGGGCCCGCGGCACCTCCTCTCTCTCTCTCTCTCTACATCGCCTTTAATCATTGATAGAGTTGCAGCACGACGATGATCCTCTCGATGTGCGTGGTCCGCCGTCGCGCCAGACCATGGAGTAAGCCAAGCCACTCACTTCGCTGCTGTTCCGGTCGGCAGGCAATCCGTTGTGTCATCATTTGTGTGGAGCGAAGTAGGAAATTTGATTCGAGCATCTCTCTTTCTCTCTCTCTCTCTTCTCTTATTGATCCATCTATTATCTCTAGAGATGTACGTCGAACTCGGGGTGAAGCCTCTTTCTCTCTCTAGAATCTCTTTTCCGCGGCTTAAGCCAGTACTCTTCTATATCGAGGTCCCCTTTGGATGGCGCTGACGAAACGAGAAAGTGGAGATTCCATGGGAACATTCACTTTCTCCTTCGCGTCTTCCTCAGCCTCTCTGTGGGTCAGCTCTTTCGGCGTCTCACGGTCGGTAGACCTACCTTATTCCCTCATCAGTGAGGGGTCATTTTTCTCCACCTTTTGCATGGTCTCTGTCTCTTCAGCCAACTGGAACCCCTCATTCTCTCGATTCATCACGCAACGCGGGAGGTCGATAGATAGATAGATATGGAGAGAGATAGATAGAGATATATCTACATAGTGAGAGAGAGAGAGAGAGAGAGAGAGAGAGAGAGAGAGAGAGAGGAGGGACTCAGGCCGAGCTTCGGGCTCTCTCGGCACCCCGATACAGAGATAGTAATCCATGCCGAACAGCCTCCTGTTGACCCACCTCATCGTGAGGGAGACCCACCAATCCATATTATGACGTCATCGTTAGCATTTCTTGATGCGTAATATAAGCGGAGCATGTAGACTTACACCGTAATTCTTTTGATTATTATAAAATAAACACTGCTCACGGTATGAATCATTTACTAAATAGGTAAGTACCCAGGACATTGGACCGCTAAGCTGAATCTCATCTTCAGAGAAGATCTCGACGCTAAAAAGCTGACAAGATTTAGAAGCCGTAGCCTTTCTCCGAATTGGATTCGATTTCTTCGCGTTTGGAAACACGTTTTCATAGACCCTCCAAAAGCAGCTCTCAAGATCCCAAGGATATATGCTAATTAGGAAATTCCCATTAACATTTTCGTTGATATCGTTTCATATATAACCACCGTTCATATATTATTTTTGATGCAACTATCTTTTTGGGCTGATTTCGCACTTAATAACCCGATTCAGATCTGCATCGTGTTTAAATCAGAGGCTGGGATTTGATCGGATTATATCCCAGAAGACGGGAAGAAACGTATACCGGAATAGTAAGCACCATCTTGATTTCCAGACACGTGGCGGCAGACCTGTCGAAGTTACTTTACTATTTACACGCTTTTCCTAGTTAATGTGGCGCTTAAAGCTCTTTATATCGTTCGTGTCGGTCTCTTATTGGGAACAAGAATCCACCCCAAACTACTTGACCCATCTATCTCCTCTCTCTCTCTCTCTCTCTCTCTCTCTCTTTCCTCCCACCCAAGTCATTGAAAACGCGATTGACCAGATCACCGAGACTAGGGGAAGAATACCCCGGCAACTTCGAGAAGAGCATCCTACGTCCCTCCCTTTTCTCCGTTCCTCCCTCCACTTTGCAGCAGCCAGAGGCAGGATATCTGCAAAGATATCACACGTGCGACGGCAGAGGCACACTCGTCGAAGCCATGCATTAACTTGGGCGACCATGCTTCCCTTCCACCGCGGTAGCCCAGAACCGTCGCGTGTCCCTCGGGGGGAAAAGAAGCAGAAGGCTGGAGGAGACGGAGAAGAAGAAAGAGAGAGAGAGAGAGAGAGAGAGAGAGAGAGAGAGAGAGGGGGGGGGAGAAGGAGGAAAGACGGCAATTTTCTTGGCGTGGAGGGAGCGGGGTCGATGCCTCTCCCCTTCTCACGCCACCACTGTTCCGTCAGGGCATACTCAAGAAGGGATTAGCCGGCCGGTTCACGATAAGCCCGCTCATCTCTTCTGATCTCCCTCTCGCCCGCCCCCCCCCCCCTGGCCGCCCTCACCAGTCACATCTTCGCTTCACCCCTTTTACCTCATCTTTCCGCCTCTCCTTTTGTAGGGTCACCCCCGCCGGGGGCCCCCTGTTGTTCTCTAGTGGCCCCAGATGCATGCATAAATTGAAGAGAGAGCCAGGAGCGGAGTGCAAGTGCAGAAGCTTTCTCATCTGCGGAGCGATGGGGGAACTCAGCGGCGATGGGCCACTGCGGCTGGAAATGGGGTTTCCGGGGGTAGCGGCGCCCCCGCCGCGGGGCACGCTAGCCAAGCTCAAGATTCGGTTCAAGGAAACCTTCTTTCCGGACGACCCGTTCAGGCAGTTCAAGGGGCAGTCCCTCGGTGCCAAGTGGGCCCTCGCCGCGCAGTACGTGTTCCCCATCCTCCACTGGGCTCCGAAGTACAGTCTCAGCCTCTTCAAGTCGGACCTCGTCGCCGGCCTCACCATCGCCAGCTTGGCCATCCCACAGGTTCGGGATTCTCTGCTCCTCCACCGCCGCCGCCAACGACGTTATCGTAACCCCTAAACTTGTTTGCTCTCCCCTGGTCTTCTTTCGCAGGGTATAAGCTACGCCAAGCTCGCCAATTTGCCGCCCATCATAGGACTTTGTAAGAAGATTCCCACAATATTCTAGCTTTTAATCAAGCGATTAAATACATGAACATGTTGATCTGAACTTACGGGTTGTGTAACTGAACTCTACACCATCCAGACTCGAGTTTTGTGCCGCCGCTGGTGTACGCGGTCCTGGGCAGCTCGAGGGATCTCGCCGTGGGACCAGTCTCCATCGCCTCCCTCATCATGGGGTCAATGCTCCGGCAGGCGGTGTACCCTAACAATGATCCCTACCTCTTCCTGCAGCTTGCCTTCACTTCCACCTTGTTCGCCGGCCTCTTCCAAGCGAGTCTCGGCATCCTCAGGTAGAGTATGATTCCTTTGAGGCCATCTGGTCGCTGCTCTCCATCTAGCGCTTACGGATTCCGCATGTGGGTGATGGTCTCCAGGTTGGGTTTCATCATCGACTTCCTCTCAAAGGCCACCCTCATCGGCTTCATGGCGGGCGCTGCCATCATCGTCTCGCTCCAGCAGTTAAAGGCCCTCCTTGGTATCTCCCACTTCACCAAACAGATGAGCCTCATCCCTGTCCTCAGCTCTGTCTTCCATAAGACTGATGAGGTATCTCTCTCTCTATATATATCTATATATGTGTGTGTGTATATATATATATACACACACACCCAGGAAACTGACCATGTTGTGGGTTCCAGTGGTCTTGGCAGACGGTGCTGATGGGTATCTGCTTCTTGGTCTTCCTGCTGCTTGCAAGACACATCGTAAGTGCATAATTTCCCTTGATTAGCTTCACCGTAAAGTACAAAAAGGCCTGTCTTGTTGCGTTAAGTGAGAGTCGTCGACCGTTAGCTCTCTCTCCAGCTGGAAAGCCGACAGAGACCCCCCATTCTTGACTTCCGGTCCTTAGAAACCATTCCGACCATTTTCAACGGCCTTTCCATGGTGAAACAGCGACGGATTAGGCCGTGCTCTCATCTGCAGTCAAGAGAATCCACATGTCGCAAGACTCCAAGGACTAGGGTTTCGAAGGAGGAGCACTGTTCTTTTTGTCAGCTTGTTTATCAGGTCATACCTTGCCGGGAGCGAGGGGATAGAGAGAGAGAGAGAGAGAGAACATGGAGGGGTCACGGGATTGTTCACGTGAGTGAACAGAAGTAGGCAACATGTCCCTTGCACCTATCTTCGCTGACGTGTTTCTATCTTCTAACCCACCCTCATTTCGATTTCTACTTCTAATCTGTTAATCTAAAGAGTTAGGTTTTCAGAATCGGTGGTTACTGCAGCTTGGATTTATCGAATCGAACATCTGTTCTACTATATAGTAATATTTGTATTTTATACACTATTTTTTTTGTATTATGCATTCATTATTTAGGAGTTTTCTGGTAGGAAATGGCAGAAGACAGTGGCACAAATCCCTTAAAACCAAGCAATTTCTTGTCCAAAACATAGGATTCTTGGGAGCATATGACCAGAGCTCGATCCGATCTGAAAGAAGCTCTTGTGCTGATTTCAATCATCCGTCTGAGAGACAGATCTTACATCTTTCTTGGATCCTTTATCTGATCTTTTTCTCATGCTGCCTGGGTCAACCCTCCTGAATCTCCAGTTTCTAGATGGCAGTCGTCTGGGGCAACTACCATCTCGACCTTGCTTTCTCAAATCGAACGTGCAAGTAACATTTACTTTCACGCAATAGTTTAGAAAATAATTTTGCTAGTTTTGCTTTGCGGCGGACGATTTCGGAAGCCCAACGCAGGTGACTTGATAAGAACTGGGGTGGAACCGGCCCGGGCCCTGAGCTATGGCTTCGTTTACATGGCCCAGACTCGGATAAAAGTCTAAAAGTCTACCCTCCCCCAGACACCTACATTGCCCCGGCTTGGGTTATTGTCTTGACCAACCCCGCCCCCCTGAGCATCTAGAGAGAGAGAGAGAGAGAGAGTTGTTGACGCGTGAGCGTCTATGGAATAGACAGCAGGAAAATCAACTTTTGAGACGAGCCCTCCCTTTTGGGCCACCCTTTTAGACAAGTCTTATTTTTCTTCGCAAGATTTTGAGTACCACTCCGGGATCGAATGTGATTTCACTGTTTACACAGTTTCCACCAGGAAAACGATATAAATATGTAAAGAAGGATATACGATACACGACAAGAAATCGACCCCTTATTAGGGTTGGAATAACAGTAGATTGAATTTGCAAGGGGTGCTAGTGACCATATGAAACCTAGGGAGGGGAGAAGCTTATCCACAGCATGGGACTCCCTCACCAGAAGAAGCCAAGAACAGACATGATAACAGGCAGGAATACCAAAAAGCTGCCTGAATATGTAAAGGGTTATTACAACCTGCACTCTTTTGTCTTCGACGAACAGTCCCTGAACCGTGCGCTCCACCCTGGTTGAGTCCGTCTCCTTCCGTCTTTCAGAGCTATATAATTTATCTTTTTGCCAACGTACATACATTTACTCTCTCTCTCTCTCTCTCTCTCTCTCTCCCGCTCTCTTATATGATTAGGTGCCCTTGGATATGACAGACTAAAATCTGTAAGTCAACTCCGGTGCTGGAGAGTCACCAACAGGGGTCTGGAGTTATTCACAACCATGTGGTCTTTGAAGAGTGCTGAAACATTGATGAATGTAGAAAACACCAGATGGAAAGATATGGCAGGGCCAAAGATGGATCTCTCTCTATTTTAGTAGGCACAGATGATCGTCAAACTTTCGATTGATTTCCAAATATGTAGTGTTATCTTGTGGTCCGAGAGCCAGATTTATTCACGAATTCTCACTGTGGAACCTAACACTGGTGGTCCGGATGGAACAGAGCATGAGGAACCCCAAGCTATTCTGGATATCCGCTGGAGCTCCGTTGACCTCTGTGATAATCTCCACGGCCCTGGTCTTCGCGTTCAAGGCTCAACACCATGGCATCAGTGTGGTCAGTCCTCTCTCTCTCTCTCTCTCTCTCTCTCTCTCTCCCTCTCGATAGACACGTAAATAGATATATATATGTATATATATATATATATATGGATAGATAGGATTTGTTGGTAATGTTTTCGGTGCTTCGTGAAGATTGGAGAACTGAAGAAAGGGCTTAACCGTCCTTCTTGGGATATGTTGAGGTTCGACGGGCACTACCTGTCCGTCGCTATCAAGACGGGGCTGGTCACTGGGATCATCTCTCTCACTGTGAGTTCCCAGCCCAAGCACGCTTCTAAGGGAGGAGGAAGAAAGTCTTATCTCTCCTTAATCTGATTTATCTCCCTCTCTTTACAAACCCAGGAAGGGATCGCTGTGGGGAGAACATTCGCCTCACTCAAGGACTACCAGATTGACGGGAACAAGGAGATGATGGCCATCGGGCTGATGAACGCGGTGGGCTCCTGCACCTCCTGCTACGTAACCACAGGTAACGAATATCGCCGCTCACTATCATCTACTGAGACAGGAAGATCCTCTCATGACGGGGTCCTCTGACGACTTGCGCCATGAGCAGGGGCCTTCTCGAGGTCAGCGGTCAACTACAACGCCGGGTGCAAGACAGCGATGTCGAACGTCATCATGGCGTTGACGGTGATGGTGACCCTCCTCTTCCTGATGCCCCTTTTCGCCTACACGCCGAACGTCGTCCTCGGGGCCATCATAATCACCGCCGTCGTCGGCCTGATCGACCTCCCGGCGGCGTACCTCGTATGGAAGATGGACAAGATGGACTTCCTGGTCTGCGCATGCGCCTTCCTCGGCGTCGTCTTCATCTCCGTCCAAGACGGGCTCGCTGTCGCCGTAAGATCTCTCGTCGTCTCCTCTTCAATTCGTTTCACTGCTTGATATTCTTCTCATCCAGATGATAATCTACGCAGGTGGGGATATCGATATTTAGGGTTCTTCTGCAGATCACGAGGCCGAAGATGGAGGTGCTGGGCAACATCCCCGGGACGGACTTATACCGGGGCCTTCATCAGTACCAGACCGCCAGGAGGATCCCTGGGTTCCTCATCCTCGCCGTCGAAGCCCCCATCAACTTCGCCAACACCACCTATCTTAACGAAAGGTGATCGCCCTCATCAGAGAGAAACCACGCACATTTAATATCTGCCCTTGTCGCAGAACTCTACATGTTCATTAATTGCGCTCGCATGAAATCGTCTACCTGTTGAACAGGATCTCGAGGTTCATAGAAGAGGAGAATGCGGAAGCGGGGAAGCAGCACGCTCTTCGTTATCTCATCCTTGAGCTATCAGGTATTCTTGTCTTCTTGTTCCCTCCCTCCTTTCACATCGTCGACCGCTCGTCGTTTCATCGAACCATCGACAGGAAGAAGTAAATCCCATGAGAGGAGTTCAGATTAGGGTTTTTCACGTACTGATGTGGTTCCTTCTTGGGGGTTCGACAACCTCAGCCGTGAGCGCCGTGGACACGAGCGGCATCACGTTCTTCACCGATCTGAAGAAGTCCATGGCGAAGAGAGGCCTCGAGGTGAGAGAACAACAGACAAACAACGTAATCAGATTTCAGAACCAGTTGGTTGCTCCTCTTCATCATCCTCCTTCTCTCTGTGTGTAGGTGGCCTTCGTAAACCCAGTGGGGGAGGTGATGGAGAAGCTGCAGCGGGCCAACGAGGCCCATGGCTTTCTCGGCCCGGACTCCCTCTTCTTGACAGCCGGCCAGGCCGTTCTCTCCCTCTCTTCCCTGATCAAGGAGCCAACACCCACTCAAGTCTAGAAAGCTAGGCGGAAGAGAGAGACAAGCTCAGACTGGTGATGTCTTGGTACCCATTTTCCCTTGCTTCACATTGTCGACCTTTTTGAGTGCCCTAATTAGGTTAAAAGGAGCTCCTTGCACTAAGACAGCAAAGGGAGTTCAATAATACAACCGTTAGATTTTGTTGTTTGGGAATCCAACGGCCGAGATCAGTTCTGGTACCCCTCCTCGTCTACCGCTTCCCTTGTGAGTCGCCCGTTAGGGCTGGATCTTTATACTTTGGTTTCCGAGGTCATTTAATGGTGAATTTAATCTCTCTCTCTCTCGCTCGCTCTCTCTATCAGATGCCTTGTCATGTGAGGGGAAATTGAGGTGGCCCAAATTCCTTAATATTAAAAAAATATTTAATACTTCAAATACCCATTTCCTTTATTTATTAAATTGATGTGATGATTTTTAGAAAAAAAAATATAATTAATAAACATAGGAAAATAAACTTAGCATTCATACTACTAATAATAAAGATAAGATAGAATCTCTATATTCCGGCTATTTCTAGGCCTGATTTCTTTTCGGGCTTGGTTTCAGTTCCGCCCCGGCCCAAAAATGATTTGGGCTCGTGCACTCTACCAGCCCTCTCTCTCTCTCACCCTTCGGTTCATAACTAGGCCAAAAGAACCCAGTGATTATTGGGCTGGGCTAACGGACTCGGCCGGGCCCGCCCCATTGACCGGCAAGCAGTCGCCAACCCGGGGAGAACATGATGGTTGACCTAGTCATTCTTCCAATAACAGAACGGTCGCCCACTCAGTCAGTCAACTGTACTTTTCTGTACACGATGCTTCAGGACCCCCCGAAGGAAACCCCTCGGCGTCCAACTCAGGCGTCTTCACCGCCGCGCCGGCGACGATCGCCAGCTTCCTCGTCGGCGTCCGACACCCCGAGCATGGCCAGAGTCAGATGCCCTCGCATGTCGCTCTTCGCCTGTCGCAGGTCGCCGTCGCTGTCACTGGAGAAGGCGGCGCGCCGACCGCCGCCGGTGAGCTCCTCCTCTTCCGCCTCCCCTTGCAGGAGCATCCCCATCGCCCCTCCGATTGTGGGCCTCGCCGCCTCCTCCTCGCTCAGGCAGGCGGCCGCCGTCCTGACCATCCGGCAGAGCTTAACCCAGCTGACGGTGCCGCCCTTCAGCCTCGGATCGAGCAGCTCCTCGACAGCGACCTTTCCCCGCCGCAGGAGCGGCTTCGCCTGAGAAATCAATCATTTCATCAGATCTCAGAGACAGAAGAAGATGCCGTCGGCAAGAAGAAGGAAGAGGAAGAAGGCACGAACCCATTGAAGGAGATTCTCGTCTCCAGGAGGGCGGCTGCGATCGATGGGCTTCCTCCCCGTGATCAGCTCCAGGAGGAGGACCCCGAAGGCGAAGACGTCGGTCCTGTCGGAAAGCTTCCCGTGCTGGAAATATTCCGGCGCGAGGTACCTGCATCAGGGAGAACCAGAGAGGAGAAGATCAGAAATCCATGGCGGTGGTTGAGGGAGGCCCTCCTTCCCCTGTAGATCGGACTGTTGAGCTCACCCGAAGGTGCCCTCCACGGTCTTGCAGAAGATCGGCAGAGAATGGCGGTCCGTCCACGTCGCGAGTCCGAAATCGCTCAGCTGCAGGAGGAAACCCACCCCGTGAGAGACGGAAACCCTAGAAAACACGGGCCGAGTAGCAGACGAGGAAGGTATTCTGTCAGGGAGAGAAAGGAACGGCGAAGAGGAGAGAACGATGGAAACTAGAGAGAGAAAACACCATGGGGGTCTTCTTGGAGGAGAGGAGGATGTTGGAGGGCTTGATGTCCCTGTGGACGACGCACTTCTCGGTGCCCTGGTGGAGGTACTCCACTGCCCTCCCTATCCCCGTCGCCACCTTCCACCTCACTTCCCACGAAAGCCCTCTGCCGCCGCTGGCGCCGCCGTCGCCGCCGCTCCCCCGCCGGCCCCTCTGCTGCAATGTCCCCCGCTTCCCTTCCTCTTCTTCTGTCTCTTCGCCGCCGCCTGTTTCCATCACCCAGAACAGGGGAATCAACACCGACCCAGCGGCGATGGAGGACCAAAACGCACGAAAATCCGGATGGCGGCGCACCTGGGTGAAGGTGGCGATCGAGACTCCCGCGAGAGACGAGCTTGTAGACCAGGAAGAGGCCGCGTGGGTCAACGCAGAAGGCCAGAAGTGGGACGACGTTGGGGTGGCGCAGGCCGCCGGCGACCAGCTCCCTGTAAAACGCCTTGGCGCAATCCTTCTCCTCCCCCTGCAATCTCTTTATCGCCACCGCCGCCGCACTCCGCCGTCCCGTCCACAACGCCAGCTTCCCCTTGTAGACCCTGCTCATGGCCCCCCTCCCCAGCAGCCTCCCTTCAAACAGAAAGCAAGAGAATCAATCAGTACGAACGGTCGTTGCCATGGAAACCGGCGCGGGAGCTCTAGAACAAACCTGGGTGGAAGTCTCGGGTCGCCGAGCGGATATCGGAGTAACCCAGCCTGATGGGTCCGCCGGCGGCCGGAGGGATGCACCTCCCCGGGGAGGACTCAAGGCGGCGCCACCTGATCACCACCGTGCAGTCGGCGGCGGAGGCCGCCGCCGCCGCCGCCGCAGGTTCATCGCCCTCCGACGCCATTACCACGCCGAAGTGGATCAGAGAATGCAGCTGGTCTTCATCTCTCTGAACGTCGCCGGCGAGCAACCATGATCGATTGTTCTCCGCGCTTCCCCTTCCCCCGTCGGCGTTCCTCGTTCTTCCTGCGCTTCTCCCCAGCGTGAAGCTCAAACTCCGCCTGGCCTCCGAGAAGATGAAGTGCATCCTCCCGCGCGCAGTGGCGGCGCCGCCGGCGGTTCTCCCTTCGCTCTGAGGACGTTTCTCCCTCCCCTCATCGTCGCCGGGACCTTTCTCGGTGAGGACGGCCCTCCTCATCCGGCCGCCGCCCTCTCCCTCCTCGGAGCCGACGCTGCAGGTGCGGCAGCAACCCATCTGGAATCTTGCCTCCCCCATTCGACCGCTCTGCCAAGAAACCAGAAGCTTGAGAGAGAACAGCACGGTCGGTGCCAGTAGCCCACCTACATCCCCCCGTCTTTCTCTCTCTTTCTCTCTCTCTCTCTCTCTCTCCTCAACACGCTACAGAATAATAAACCAGTCTCTCAAGAAGGTATTCCGTGGCCTCACCGTCGTCGTTTTCGTCGTGGGCGGCGCCGGTGCCGGAGCAGTCTGCAGGCACAGCGGCGAGCCGAAACCGACGGACGGCGAACTCGGTCGCGGTCGTCGCCGTCGTCGGTCCTGCCGCTGCCGCTGCAAGGGGAGCCAGGGTTATCTCGGTCAACGTCGAGGTGGGGAACGCCTATCAACGGCGGGCTCGTCGCGAGTGGGCCCCACATCTAACCTCCCTCATCTGCCGGGATTTGGTGAGATTTTAATGCGGCTCTAGGCGCGAGATAGCCTACTTCAATAACTCCTAGGAAATGTATATTAAAAACCCTTAAACTATTTATAATTTTCAATTCCCTTTTATTAATGCCCTGAAGTCGCTTACCCTGTTGGTCTTGGCCCGATAAAGCGGTCATAATTGATCTACCCTTCACGAAAACGAGTACTCAAGGATCTCGAAAATGCCCCCTCCCCAAAAAATGCATGCTTTCAGGTGCAAAATGCTGTTGACGTAACTAAATAAATAAATCAAATAAAAGGTATATAATTAATTTTTAAAAATAAACTAGAGTCAACTCTCACGGGATGCGGCCAAGTCCCATCCAGGAATGTGCAGGTGGAGTCTTCTTTACTTAGCTTGAAGGAAAATTAACATAAAAATAATGATTTATTAATAAGGGTACTAATAATATGATGCCCATTAAAAAAAAAAAAGACGGTCTTTGAGGAAACCCACTTCCGATCACCTCGGCTTCGGTTCGTCGCAGTGAAAGAAATGAGGAAGGGAGAAAAGCTGAAGTTGTCCGTGGTTCTAGCTCTGATACATTCCTCCGATACTATAATTTTAGCGTATATTTAGGCATATTTATATGATTACTATGTATAAACTTTAAGGAGGACCTAAGTTAGGGGTGGTGCTCTACATATATTTCCAACGATAGAAGCTCTCTCTCTCTCTCTCCCTCGCTCGTCACTCTATCGTGCTGGCGGAGAGCGCCACCAGAAAAAACCAGCATAATTAGAAGATGTATCACCGGAGAAGAATCAGATCAACCGGAGCAGCAGGTCGGTTTTCTGGTAGCGGAGACCTCGTCGGTGACGAGCAGCACCCGGCCGGGGTCCGGCTGGGGGGCGGCGCCCCCGCCGGGTCCAGAGTCAAGAGCCCGCTGTGCAACGGTGGCCTCGAGAATGCGGGTGACCATCGCCATGAAGGCGTCCTCGACGTTGCTGTTGGTGAGGGCGGAGGTCTCCATGAAGCAGAGGCCCTCCTGCTCCGCGAGCCGGCGGCCGTCCTCCGCCGGTACCTCCCTCGCGTGCTGAAGATCGGACTTGTTGCCAACGAGGATGATGACCATCTCGCCGCTGCCGAACTGCCTCATCTCCCGCAGCCACTTGGTGGCGCTGTCGAAGGTCGCCTGCCGGGTGATGTCGTAGACCAGCAGCGCCCCCAGCGCCCCCCGGTAGTAGGAGCTCGTTATGGCCCTGAACCTGCGTATCATCATCGGCTCACTGTTAGTCACACCACGCAATAATTTCCCCAACCTTGTGGTCAATTGAAAATTCTATATCTTGTGGAGGATCATTTTCAAATTTCTCCATGAACATCTCTCAACAGCGTTATAATGGGGCAGAAACCTGTTCCTGGCTCAAAACTAGGCCAAAAAGAAGTAACCTGGCCGGCTTCGTCCTCATCTCTCTCTCTCTCTCTCTCTCTCCAAAAAAACCCTCAAGAAAACAATAATATCCACGTTAGTCTATTATCACAAGTATGATAATTATATGATTGCATTTTTAAAATATATAATTTAATTACACTAATTGTTATATTTTGCGTTTGTCCTAGCATAAAACCAGAGTTGAAGCTATTTAAACTTATTTTAAATATACTAGTATAGGTACACTAGCCACTTAATATTAGCACGTCAAGAAAGATATACACTAAAGTTTGGGCTGTTTGATTTGAGCTCATGCAGTTATACACAAATTAATTTATCACAATAAATATGCTGATTATTATATTTTGTGTTTGTTAAGATAGCTGACCAAAGTTGCAACTACAAGAGCTGGGCAATAATATCTATAGTAAGATGTCACTCTGACGATCTCATAGTCTTGTGTAGATCCCACACCTCATCAGATGTATTCATGTCTGAAAACTCGCTCTCCAGGGAATTTAATTCACCAAAAATTTCAATATTCTCCGAAGGGCGTGTAGATTATTGACCCGAAAATAATGGGCCTCTTTGGGTTGCCCACCCATTGAAGAAAGATGAGGATACATGGATTTAGCTGGCCGACCCACTTGGAATAATTCCGGGGACGATCGATGAACAAGTTCGTTCATCGCCTGTTCTACCCAAATCCCCGAGAAGAACAAAAATCTTCAGGATTCGACCTGTCTAGGTAAAGAAAGTGAAATTCAGGGTCTACACCCTGAAGGGAAGTCGGGGAGGAGAGATTAGGGTTTCGTGCATGGTGTGATCTCCTGTTTCCATGGCCGGGGGGAGCGGGAACAGAGGAGGGGGGAAGGGGGGGGGGGGGGGGAGGAAGAAGAAGAAGACTGACCGCTCCTGGCCGGCGGTGTCCCAGAGCTGGGCCTTGACGAGACTGCCGCCGACCTTCACGTCCCGGTAGGCAAACTCCACCCCGATCGTGGGCTTCGAGTCCAACCGGAACTCGCCGCCGGCGATCCTCCACAGCAGGTTTGACTTCCCCACGGCGGCGTCCCCCACCAGCACCGCCTTGAACAAATAGTCGCAGTCCTCCCCCGACATCCCCGCAGAGAGAGAGAGAGAGAGAGAAGGGGGATGGGATTAACAGAGAGAAGGAGAATTAGATAGAGAAGGGCAGGCTAAGGAGAGAAGGCTTTAAACGGAACCCATCAAGCCCTCTCCCGCGACGTCCGCCGTGTTTCTCCGCCGCCGCCATGCCATCACGCACGGTGAAAGGACCTACGTTGATGCCGACCGTCATCGTAAGCATTCTGCTGGACCCCCTCGTGTCTTTAACCATTTTCTTGCACTTGGAATTTTCTCTCTCGTCCCTCTCCACGTACATACACACACACATAGAAAGAGAGAGAGAAAGAGAAAGTTGGGGGTGGTGACAGTGCTCGACGGGGTCCACCGAGGTGTTTCCTTCTCTCTCTAGGGTTGGGGTGTCTCCCTCAGCTAGCTGGGCTGCCTCGTTGCTTTGGGAAGGAACATCTCCAGCTGAAGTCCCCTGGTTGGGGCTTTAGGTCGAACACTTTCCCCGCACATAGGCCGCCGGGCCAGGCCCAAATTTCCACATGGATCCAATTTTCTTCTCATAATCTTCTTTTCAACCCCCTCTGGCAACGTTTTTACTTTTTAGCCTCGTCGTCCTGTCTTATTGCCAGTAAATGCAATTGAGGACATTGAATTTTACGTCAGTACTCTTCCTTTCCGTGGAATTGGGTTACTAAACCTCGTCTTTAAGTTATTTAATTATTGCCCCTCACATCCCCACATAGTACGGGAATTTATTCTCACCACTAAACTGGATACGCAAAATTGATTGTCCTTTCATTTCCAAGTATCATAAGTTGTGATGGTAATGGACACAAAGGTAATATTACGCAACTTATTAATTATACAAGACAAACACATAACACTTGGATTTCTCTCTCTACCCTTATGTAAATATATCAATGTGTCCACAAATTCAGGGCCATTATATAAATACTCCCCTTTGTTCCCCTTGACTTCCCACCCAAGTCCTCCGCCTACTCCATGTCCTATTCAGCTTCTGTGCTACTCAAAGTGGAGTACTCCACCTCCAACCCCCCTCCCCCACCTCTCATCGGTACTATGGTGATCACTTATCTTCACTTACAACCAACAGTCCTGATGTTGACTAAATATATTTTTTAAGGATAAAATAACCATTTTTGACACTCATTCTTTCATATATTGCACATAATAATATATCTTCGTTGATAGTTTGGGGCAATCTCAAGGAGTTGACTCGGTCTTTTGTAAGATAAACCCTTCAGGGAAAAAAATAAAATAAAAATAAATCGCTATGATATTGTAGGCTAAGAAATTGCTACTAGTAGTTGTCCGCTAATGCTATTTTTAAGGGCATTTTTACTCGATGGTGGTGATTAGATGACCCCATTAGATGCGTTGACTTAAGTAGCTTACTCATTAAGTTAGTGAATTCAGAAATTACTCCGGACTGTTTGTGAAAAAGACGAGGTCAACCCCTCTCTCGCTTTGTATTGTTTCTCTTGGGCCAAAACCATGCCAATCTCAGCCCGAACTTTTAGAAAGAGATCCGTAAAACGGGCCGAGCCCGACGGCTGTCTCCAGGCCCGAACCCGCCGAGTCTTTATTTTATTTTAATTTGAAGGGATGCAATAAATAAATATATTAAATGTTTATGAAAAGTCGAGCCAAGGCGCCACGGGAATGGTGGGGTCGCCGCGGGTTCTACGCGTCGAGAAAGCGCGTTGATGCCGTCATCCGTGTCCTTCGATTTCTCGCTGAGCCTCCCAAAGGATATCTATAAGAAGTTCGACCAGGCAGAGAGAGAGAGGGTCGTTTCGATAAATTAATCGGCGGAGTAACGTTCGGTGGGGGAAGCAACTTGACTTCGGATCAGGAGAGCGGGGAGGAGGGAGGAGCTCGGGGGGTCATTCCATGGATGGCGGCGTCGAGGTTTCCAGCAACGGGGGGACGGCCACCGGACTGGTGGATGCGGGAGAAGTGGAGAAGGTGTTCCGCCGCTTCGACGCCAACGGAGACGGGAAGATCTCCTCGTCCGAGCTCGCGGACGTGGTCCGCGCTCTCTCCGGATCGAAAGCTGCCTCCGAGGCGGAGATCCGGCGGATGATGGAGGAGATGGACACGGACGGCGACGGATACGTCGACCTAGCGGAGTTCGTCGCCTTCCACGGTGACGGCGCCGGTGGCGGCACGACAGCCGGCTCGGAGAAGGATCTGGAGGAGGCGTTCCAGATCTACGATCTGAACGGGGACGGGCTGATCTCCCCCAAGGAGCTTCATCAGGTGCTGAAAAAGCTCGGCGAGACTTGCTCCCTCCGGGACTGCTCCCGCATGATCAGCTCCGTCGACGCCGACGGCGACGGCAAAGTCAACTTCCAAGAGTTCAAGAAGATGATGAACCACACCGGCAGCAAGAATCGCCATCATTCCAAGTAGATCAAATCTGACTTCCCGGGAGACAACAGATTAATCAGCGTAGCTCCCTCTCTCTCTCATCGAACTGTTCCTGAATCGCGCCTTCGTTGTAATGGAAGTGGACGCTGATGAACTAATCGAACAGGATATCTAGATAGTCTTTGCTCCACTCATCAACTCCCCTATTGCAATTTCTCATCTACTCCTCTCTCGCTCAACCTCCAGTTCGTACAGGATCGCCTTCTCATCAACTCTCTCTCTCTCTCTCTGTTTGTTTGTGTGTGTTTGCAATTTCTCATCTACTCCTCTGTCCGTCGCATGTTCGTCTTCAATTTAAGTTACCCTCTCTCATATTTCCAGTGTTTCCAGCATCCAGATCTGCGACCGTCTATCTTCCTCCTAGTGCAGCGTGTAATATTCATGAAATTTAATGGGCAAAATATTGGAAAATATCATTGGACAAAGTGTAACTATGCTTGTTGCACCTCTATCTTTATATTTTCATTTTAAATGCCGCAATTTAATAAAAATCAGAGGAGGATAAGAAAGGAGAGGGTCCGATCGATCGCCGCTGTGTGCCCGCCATGGCAGCTTTCCTGGGATCGTCCGTCGCCCTCCTCCCCCACCCTCTCCGGAGGATCAAGATCGCCAACTCTCAGGCACCCCGCACGCCGCCGCCGCCGCCGCCGCCGGAAGAACCGTCGCGAGCTACTCCGGTGGTGGCGACGCCATCCTCCCCCTCTGTCACCGAGCCCAAGCAGAGGCCCCGAGCTGCGGCGGAATCCACAGACTGGATAGCCTCCTCTCTGAGCAGGAGGTTCGGCCTCGGCGCCGGCCTCGCCTGGGCCGGCTTCCTCGCCGTCGGCGTCGTCTCCGAACAGATCAAGACCCGCCTCGAAGCCTCCCAGCAGGAAGCCGACACCAGGTACCCTCTTCTTCCCCCCTTCCTCCTCCCTCTATCATCCTCTCCTCCTCGTCTGAAACTCCTCTGCAGGGAGATTGAGAAGGAGGTGGAGGTCCTGCTGCCCAACGGCATCAAGTACTACGAGATGAGGGTCGGCGGCGGCGCCACCCCCGTGCCGGGGGATCTGGTGGTGGTGGACCTGAAGGGGAGCGTGGAGGGCAGTGGGGAGGTCTTCGTGGACACGTTCGGCGATGGGGGGAAGCCGTTGGCGCTGGTGCTGGGTTCCAGGCCCTACACCAGAGGGATGTGCGAGGGTTTGGAGCTTGCCCTGCGGAGGATGAAGGCCGGGGGGAAGGCGAGGGTGGTCATCCCCGCCAATTTAGGGTTTCGGGATGAAGGCGCCGACTTGGGCTCCGGCGTGCTGGTTCCCCCTTCCTCCACCTTGGACTTCATCGTTCAGCTCGACAAGGTCTCCATTGCCCCCGCTTGATCCAATCAACGGGAACATCTCCAGAAGAAAAGAGGAAGAGAGGCCGATTTCAAATCAGCTTCTTCTAAGACTGTGCTCGGCGTAATTCATTCTCAACATGCAATGAGTTAGAATGCATTTCTTGATAAGTGCAGATAGGGTGGTCGAGAGTTGACCGGGGAGAGAGAGAGAGAGAGAGAGAGAGACTGAGGGTAGGGGAGAGGAAGCGGTTATCCAACCGCTTCAACGAAAGCTATTTATTTTTGTCTTGGAATTTTCCACTTAAATAATACTGATTAAACTATAACTAATGCTGACATTTTAAACTATTTATGAGAACATAAATAATTATGATAATGTCCATAATATTAACGGGTGTCAGCGGGCCAGACTCTACAGCAGCCTGGCCCGGTTCTGGGCCTCTATAGGACGCGCTGATTGCGACGGGCCGCGGTGAGGCCCCCCCATTATCAGCCCGTACTCTCTACTTGGCTTGGGGATCTCAGAAGGGAATACTGGAAGAACGGTCAGAATTTCAAAATCGAGAGATCTACGTGGCTCCGACGTGGACGAGCGTGGGGGAGAGTGGCTTCTGCTATCCTGATCCGTCGTCTCCCTCGCCCCGCTTCCCGCGGTGCCTTTGGGTGGTGTCTGGTCTGGCGATGGAGGCCACGCCTGCAACCTGCTGCTCCCGTCTCTTGGGGGGAGAGGGATCGGTTGCTGCTTCTGGGCGGCGGCGTGCTCTCTCCCTCTCCACCGCTTGTAGGAAGTTCCGCGAGACTGCAGATGCCCGGCCTCGCGCTCGGAGAGCAGGATCAGCGGTCGTCCTCGCGGCCTCCTCGTCTCCTTCCTTCGATCTCTCCCCTCCACCCATCGACTACGATGGAGATGATCTCCAGGTACGACTGTTTCTTCTCTCTCTCGCCATCACTTCAGATAATTTCCGTTTAGCGTCTACGATTCCCTCTAGACTTTAACCGCGGGAGATGAAATTCGCCGCGTCATATCGCAGTAGTGTTGCGAGAAATGTGCAGTCATGTATCTTTTTCAGGATATTTTATGACCGTAAGAAGGCTCCTGACATTTTCGGCGCCTGCTCCCCGGTGCGGACTTTGAGTCGTCGACGCCTTCTGTGCCACTCAATTTCCCCTTTTTATAGAGAGGCTTAGGCGAAAATAACAGTGCAGGAGATGAAATCTTGGTGTATCGTTCTGGAACTCTTTGAGAATTCTCCCAAACGTTGTCAGCAACTATGTTGTAAAAAAAAGCAAATATCTGAAGCAATTGATTGCTTTGAATTGCACAAACCAGTCAATGGTCCATAACATATGCTAGACATGCTGTCGTTTAAAAGTACTCACTTTTTGCGAAACTCATACGAATGAGTGAAAGCGAATTTTTTCAAAGGAAGAAACTCCTCTCTCGTCCTTGAAGTCACATAGCTAGATGGCTAATATGTATTCTATAATTGTAGGGGCTTTATTTCACCGATTTAATCTTTACGTTGATCTTCAAGCCTTACAGAATCTTCAAGCTTTATTTCAAGCCTTAATTCTATATATCTGATAATGGCTTGTAACTTGAGACTGCGTTCCCTAAAGATTTAAGTTGATCGTCTTTTCCACATTTGATGCGCCAAAATAGGTGCGACACTCTTTAAATCTGGTGGTTGAGAATGGTTGGTAGCTGGTTGGCAGAGGAAGGTGCCAGGTTCTTTGCTTTGACTAATTGTTGGTTGTCTTTATAGGTTCATAAATTAGTGACGGAGATATGGACTCTTAAGTGTAGAGACAAATTATGCAGCATAATCTATGGCACTATTCTCACAAGATACAATGTTCATGTGTATGTGCAGCGCGATAGGCCTCTAATCAGGCCATATTAGCATTGATATTTTATTGATGGTTGTATTGAGATCTATTAGAAAAACTTTTGATCAAACCAGCGCCAGATAGCAATCTGTTTCTATTTTGGCGTTGATAAATATAGTTTATTCTAACATCGACGTGGAAATAATTTTTTTTTCGGAATAGTAATTGATGTTCATCAATTCCATTTTCTTCACTTCATGATTAAGAAAAACATGTTCTTGAACCAGAAACTTCACTTCACTGATACGTAGTTCACTTTTAACTAGTTTAACGTAGGGTGGATTTGTCTCAAACTCGAGCACAGTTCATCGTCACTTCGGTCAATTGACAAAGGCTTGTAGAGAGTCAAGGAAGGAGACATAGTCTTAGGGGTGGAAAAGTTTACAGGATATCTAATTTGAGGGACCATACTCATTCCTTCTTATTCATAATTAAGTAGACTACATTCGCCTTTTATTAGGTCATTTGGTATAAAGGCTTAGACTTTTTGTTTGTATGATAGGAATGGATCCTGTGCAGCAAGCAGTAGAGAAAAGGGGGATAATTGACAGTGGATGGGTCCTTGATTACGGATGGTCAAATAAATCAGCATTTTTTACTCTAGGATAAAAACCTTGTCGCCAAAGATTGTAGTCATTCCAAGTTCAGACTTTAGGGCTAGGGAAAAACCTGTTCGACTTATTGTCTCATTGCACTCATTTTAAGGTGACAGATATACTGCCTTACAGGTATAAGAGAGCCACCTCCGCCAGAAATACTTGATTGCCACATTTCTGCATCCTCAGTGTCAAGTCAATCTTTTCCCAAAACCCATAGTCTAAGGACTTGCTTAAATGTTACCTTCTGTTATTTTATTCTCATTTCTTGAGGTATTGGTGTACAAAGTGTAGAACCGAAAATTTTCCGTTCATTTTTTTGCAGTTTGGTCCGTCACCTTCAGGAGCAGAAGATTTGCCAGATACTGCTATTGGATCATTTGCAGATGACAATACGGCCCTTAATGCAGCATATGATGGAGTTGCGGTATTTTAAAAATACCTTTAGTATTATTCAAATCTTTGTTTCCCAATTCAAATTGATAGTTTCCTTTCTTTTCAGTTTTGGACATTCAAAAGTTTATTGGTGTAATCCTTGAATATCTTTTTCCCTAAAAAATAATGTTGAAACCCAGACAGCTACTCGTTGACTTTGGAAATATGCGCATCCTGTGTAATTTCCCTAGAGTCAAAAATATGAAAAATCATTCGAGTTTATGTGCATTATATTGTATTGAAACTGGTGCTATCACATGTTCATCATTATTTTCTCGTTTATGAGAGTCACTCAAATTTAATTCATCATCCTGGTCGAGGAATACCACATTCTGCTCTACAACATTGCAGGTATCTCATCATGAGCGTTCGTGGATGTACATAGAGATACATGTATTTTTTACCCAGTTGATTTAGAACTGATATCTGTATTTTATAGACATGAGTGTGTAGAGATGACTTGATTTACTGGGAAGATAAAAACGTTGAGTCTTCTGATTGTTGGTGATGTAATGAACGTCATTGGTCCTGAGTGTTTCTTATTCTAAAACATATACGTCATTCTGATATGATATTAATAACTGGCATACTTTTCAATTTATACTTTTTTCATGCATTATGGATTGTCTTTATCAAATTTTGCTCTCTATTCAATATTTCCTTATATGTATTTACTTTATTTTTAGTATACTTTTAATTGAGGGAAGAAATGTGGATATATATATTAGTAAATTTGGGAGTTCAATATTCAAAAGTCTCAAGTTTTCAAAGAATCTCCACCCATGTTGAACAAACCTCGTGACTCTTTGTCCCAACCCATTGGCATCGATCTCTAAGGACAGTGAATTACTGCTACATTCTCAAAACTAATACAGTCAGTAACCTTGGTTTAATTCGCGCAACAAACTTTTGACATGATATTTATTTTACCCATTTTCCATTTTTCATTTTCCTTGGTTTTTCTTTCTTATGTTCTCTTCGTTCTGAATTCTTCTTCTGTGAATCTAATTTTTACTGACCCTCCTTTTGGCTTGCCCAAAGGAGGGTCAGTAATGGTCTGTTTTTTTGAGTGGAGAGTATGAATAATTTGGTCTGTTTACCCATTCGTCTCTAGGATGACTATCATGTGCTTATACCATTTTTTTATTCTACCATAATTGTTTATTAATGACTCCCAATGGACAAACTCGGGAAATTTATTTTTATTGAAGAGGATTATGCTATGCACATGGTGTAACCAAATATTTGATGATAAGGTGAGTATGGCTTGTTCTTTTGGTGGGAGAAGTGCATTGCAGTGGGATTACCCTATACCGAGCTATGTTTAAATATTTAGTTAATGTCGAATCATTTTCCTTTTCATTTGGTAATTTATTCTTTTATTTTCTCCTTGTATCAGTTCTTTTTTTTTGCATTTTTCCTTTATTTCATATTTTTCTCTGAAGCTATGATCTTGAATATTTATTTGGAAATGATTTTTGGTGAGCTAATGATAAATAGCTTGGTGGGTTCTAGGCATGGGGGGCAATGAATCAGTACAAGGATTACCGTTATCAGAGAAAACCTCCAATAACGCGACCAATTTTGCTTTCAGAAGACACTTCCCACGAAAGTACTGAGCCTTGTGGGTCATGCTGAATTTTAGTGGCATCGTCTCACTTTTGTGTCTGAGAAGAAGAAAATTCCTTTTCGTCATTCATTGTTGTATGTTGTGAGACATTTGGGGAATATATGATTGGACTGTACTCAAGTAAGTCGACATATTTAGGGTCTCATATCTCTGGGTATGTATTCCCGAGAATAGATACCGGAAATATGTGACTACATATGTTAATCCTGGGCAATATATCATCTACAAAAATCATTGTCGGAGCAGTAAACAGACTTTCAACGTAGTAGTTGTTTTCTTACATCTTCACTTGAAATGTTCTCAACTTTTTGGTATTCTTAATAGGTAACTAGAGATAATTATCTTGTCTTTTTTATATTTTATCATTTATTTTTCTTTCTCGAGATGATTTTTTATGCGTAATCTAATAAGCCTTAAGTTAGTGAAAAATAGCATATTCATGAATCTGCTTGCTTTGCGAAAGCCAGTGCTTTCAACAATCCATTTACAAAATGTGTTCAGTGTTTTTTCCTCTATTGATCAATAGATTGATAAAAATTGCAATCAAAGTGAGCACTGTTGCATCTTCCATCTTTGCAGGTAATAGACCTAACACATTTTGGCCGCATTCGAGGTACATTTTGCTTCATTAAACTTGTAGAGATATGTTATGTTTGATAATTGAGCTGTATCAACTTAAAATCAATTAGCTGTGTGAAGTAGTTAAAGATCAACCATCATAACCAGCGTATCTTGTTTATTTGAGTCTGAGATTATATTAGCACGTATCCACATATGAAAGCCAGGTTTTGGGTTTTTAATAACTTCAGTAGAAATGACATATATGTTGGAAGAAACCATCGTTTTTGGTATTATGCTGGAATTTCGGGGCATTCAACTGAAAACAAATTGGGGTTGACCAAAGCACGCCTATATATAACCACAATTATTTCTATTTTTTATTTTTCCATGACCAGGACTGTTATCTTGTTCACTGGAATAAGTCATGCATGTATCAAGTAGCCTTTGAAAATTAACGCATTTTATTCTGTTTGGACTGGTTTTAAACCAATACGGCTAAAGATCCTCATCAAAACTTATTTTCACTTCTAAATTATATTATTAATATTTATATATTAAGGTTTGTGCATCTAAATGATTTAGCAAGCATACCTAGTTAATAAAGTGCAAGAGAAAGAGTGGACTAAAACATGATAAAGTGCATTGGGATTTAACTGATAAGGAAAACATAAAAAATGAAGATGTCATTTGTTATAATGATAATGTGTATTCAAGAAAATTAGTACAACAGCCTACAATAGCTTGATTAATGAAAAGCATTCTGTCTTTGAGGGATCATTCCTGACATCAGGAATATGGTAAAATATTGAGTTTGAAATTGTGTTAATAATTAATTTTAAAAATATTATCATCCTTTTTGGGATCAATTTTTTTTAAAAGTTGCATCGTTTTATCCATTTTATAATTCATGTATGCAGATAAATATGGATAGTAGTCATGTGTCTTAGTGCATTACATTAACCATTCAATTCTGTATTTTTTGATTTTATAAATATAGAAATCCTTAAAATCGTCGGTGATATCCACTATTTTAATGAAATTTCTTTAAAATTATTTCCAATCTTACTGGGAAATTTGATCAAAAAAATACAGAGATTGATTCAGGAAAGTGGATAGATAGAATCGTTTATTTGTAAAATGCCATATGACTTCAAGTGACTATATTCGTTTTCGCTGCTGTTCAATACATTGAAAATGAATAATACCCACTTGTTTGTATCTTAACAGTCAGACCATGAAGTAAAAACACGAAATTGAACGGCACTCCATATTATGTATCATAAGAATCAATCCAGGTGGAGACTTTTGTTACAAGTGAATTCATATTATTAAATTCAAGAGGGAGTTTTTAAATTTATATTTGATATTGATGTAAGAGAGCCCTAAGGTTTTTAGTGAAGACTTCTAACTAATGAACTTGTGGCTACGTCACATATTAACATTCGAAGGAATGCACCAATAGTGGGACGAAGGTAAAGAATCAGAGCAGCTAATCAGGGAATGTAAATTTACATATGTTTATATTTATATATGTATAAAAATGGATACTACTCACACTCATATAAAAATAGTGTGTAGTCTTTCATCGTCAAGATTGCTGAATCACTTCCTCATACAATACGAAGAGAAAAAGCTACATTCAACAACCCCACGATAAATGAATCACTTCCTCACACAGAAGCCTCACTCACTCAGCATGTCACAAGCCCGCATAAAAGCCTTCTTTTGTAAAGGCGCTTTCCTCTTTAAAAATATATTGATTTTTCACTCCGAAATCCAAAGAGTGACATCTGGAGTAACACGTTATTGAATTCCACCAAGACAATTGGTCTGATTAACTTGACAGGGTGTTTTAGTTAGTCAGCGCTTAGAACCTGATGACAACTTCTTGTGTTTTTGGGCCTTTTCAGGTATAGTGTCTTTTGGAGAGACTAGTTTTTTTAGAAACTCAGTAATTCTGGTGTTGTCTTTTATTGGGGTTGAGCAGTATACTGCTTTGTGATCGTATAAAGATGCTCTGCGTCTATTATTTCTTTTGCCCTCTTTTCATTCAGGTCACCAGGGTTTTCCTTTGAATTAGTTTCTTTTAGGGCTTTGAATTGTAAATATTATGGTTATGTTCAGTTTTTCGTCAAAATGTTTTTACTCATCACAACCTAAGTATTTGTACGTTGGTAAAGATACTGCTGGAGTGATAGTGCAACTCCTTTGGAGTGTATACGGTGATATCCAGTGCCCAGAAGGATTGTGATAAATTGAATCAGTTACGTGCCACCTGGTTTTAAGTTATTTTTCTCGCAAAGGAATCCTCCAATAGGGGTTTTGAATAAGCATCAACAATGAATAAATCCGCCCGTAACCTGATTTTACAAGATTGCGTAAAATCACAATTTCAACTTCGTCAAAATTTTCCACAGATTTTCTTTATGTCTCGCTATATTTTGTTTTCCGGTTATATTTTTGTCACATGTAATTTTTTTTTTCTTAGTCAGTGGAGAAGATCGAGTTCAGTTTCTTCACAATCAGAGCACTGCAAACTTCCAATCCCTGTCTGAAGGGCAGGTGTGTCAAGCCTAAGCCATCCTTTTAATTTTTCTGTTACTCTGTTTCCATTGTCTGGCTTTACTAGTGCTGATCCACAGAAGCTGCAGGGGTGTGATACAGTTCTTGTTACTCCAACTGCTCGTACTATTGATATACCTCATGCTTGGGTTATGGTAAAGTTTCTTTCCTGGATTGACCATTTTTCTGAAGAGATATTGGATCTAGTTGCATCTATTTTTCTGAAAGGGATTGGACACTTGTTGAATTGATGGTTTAAAGATCTATAGTTCCATTTGGCGTTGGATTTACAATACTTAATTTTTGTGCATGCAGAAAAATGCCATTATGTTGCTGGTCTCGCCCACAACCTGCAAAACTATCGTTGATATGCTCTCCAGGTCCGTTTGCAAACCTATGTCTCTTCTCTTCTTCCTGTTAATCTTATAAAATTTGTCATTTTTTGTCTTTTGAACCATTCTTGTTTTCTTTCTTACCTAATCTTCGCTGTTTCTTTCCCTTTAATTATTACTCAATTTTCATGATGTTTGTGACATCATGCTCATAATCCTTCATCACATGTTGTTTTTTAGTTTCTAAAAATGTTGAGAATGTTTGTACTGTTATCTTAAAGATCTATTGGGTGATTTCACTCAAACCAGCTCGACCAAGTTTAATGACTTAAGTTGATACCCTGGGGTTCTTAATAGAATGTATTTTTTAATATAAACACAATTTTTTGTCTTTAAAAAGGATTTTAAGAGTTAAGAATTTGTAGAAGATGAGATTTTATAAAAAAAATAACTAATTGAACTCAATCCTAGACATTTGAAGCTTCCAGGTGTAGGCGGACGCACTGGCTAATCCGGTTAGTTGAATGGGGAATAGAAATGGCTAAGGGCAGCAGAGACAGGAAGAGAATGAAGATGTGGATGATGGCAGGGGTAGGGAAAAGCAACAGATAACTTTTTAAACCATATTTGAATAGACCAGTCGTTTCACTGGAGATTGACTGATTTTGAGGAATCTTTATCCCCGTTTTAAATTTGTTGAAATATATTCGTATATCAGGGCTAAGCAAAGAACATGACGTGGGCTCTGTGATTGTTGAAAACTTGTAAACACACCTTGAGCTGTCTCGTTTGTGTGTTATACTCCATTCTCCATATTTCTTCATGGTAATAAGGTAGTACACGAATTTCTGAGAAAAGACCAGTATCTAATGAATACCTTATCAAGCTCACTTAGCATATTTCTTCATGGTAATAAGCTCACTACTGAAGAGAGGAAAAGAGGAAGGTTGTTTGATCGGAAGCCATAAGCATAGACAAGGAGAATACCTCACTTCAGATTACTCGAATAAAGCTTACTGAAGATAATTTCTTGATATGGTCTAAAGCTACCTAGGATATAGGAAGGCATAGAAATATCAACTTTATGAATAGGAAGATCAAAGGTCCAGACGATGTCAGTCATCATAGACTAGTTGATTGATGTGCTCGATAGTCAGCACCAAAGTATTCTGAAGTGAGGTAAAGCTACCTAGTATTCTGAAGTGAGTATTATATATATCTTTGTCGCCATTACGACCCTTTTACACTTGGGACACTGAATGCCATTATCCACTAAAATTTCATACATACTTTTAGTTTTTCCGAAATGTTTAATTTCAAGTATATTGATGTGCTACATTTTTTTCTTACCTGTTTCATGTTTTAGGTACATATTCTTTTCTGATAAGGTGGAAATCAATGATATCACAGGAAAGACGTGCTTCTTTGCACTTATGGGGCCTAAAAGTTTCCAAGTTAAGGATATTTTATTGCATCCTGGATTTGCTTTTGTGCATTCCTAAGAATTTAGTATGCTCTTGTACTGATTCTGGTCGAAGTTTTGTGGTTGTTGTGTTCAAGGTGATGGAAGCTTTGAAACTTCATGATATCATTGGGAAGCCATATGGTACTCATCATCATTACAGGGTAAATATCTACCTTTACCCTTTTCCTTTTCACTTGACTCATCCTGATTTTCAATTTCTCCGACTCAGGCCCTATTTTTCTTTATTTCCGGCATTATGGTAGTTCTTGCGGCTGTTTTCTTCTTCCTCACCTCTAAGGCTGTAAGACAACCTTTCACCAATCAATCTTAGGATATGAACAACCTTTCCTTCCGACCATCAATTTTCTTCTTGCCGCTGGTCAGGCTCCCATTTGATAAATGAAAGGGGGGGGAGCTACCCAAGTTGAAAAATCGACCAAAAATATTATGTATGTTGAAACTATCAAGATACTATCAATCTAATGTCTGAATCTCCATGTCTGGGATATTTCAAGTTAGGCAGATGACAATTGCATGCCAAGAGGTGTGGAGCTACTAAGCTTGGTTAACCGAGCAGTTTGGAAAATTATGATCAAATAATAATGAAATACTATTATAATGAAAACCATGCTCAGGACGAAGAGAGAGAAATAATGAAGAATGTTGAAAGCCGAAGTTGGAACCAAAATCTGAAGTGTTTATATCTAGTGCTAACAGAATTTCTTAATGAAAGGGCGGTATAAAGGGCTTTATGATGCTCATTTTGTCCATCTTAAGAACCAAGTTAATTCTCCAGACAGCGAGAATAATAGATACACCAATGTCCTGTCAGCATCTTCAACTAAATTCTTCGAGGCTCTAGCGGTTGGAAGATCAAGAAAATCAGTAGGATATAGTTGTGGAAACAGTTGAAGATACCAAGTAACAGATTTTATTTTATTTTTTCCTGAAAAGGAGAAGTTCGCTGGCATTTGTAGCAGTTTATGACCTCTGAAGAAGACATGTAGACAAGAAGGTTCCAGTTGTACATGAATCGGTGTCCTCGTAAATGTGAGGTTTCTTTTCTGATAGATATATAGTTTTTCACTTTGCATTGAAGTTGATTAGTGTTCCATTGTCTTTTTTCCTCTGTAATCATCTGTTTCCTTCTATTGTTCTCTTTCTCCCATTGTTGCTCGGAGATGTTTTACATAGCCTCTACACACTATGAAAAAAATAAAGGAAATATTCTCATTGAGCTCTATTGTGCAGACCATTCCCGGCTCAGTTGAGATTTAGGATATTTTCCTCCGTTATCCCCCCTCCTTACTCTCTCTCTCTCTCTCTCTCTCTCTCTCTCATTCTCACTGGTCACTTATAGCCTCTACCATCTGCTTTCTACCTTGGGAAGGGGAAACTGGACAGCTAACGAGTACAATGCAATGTCAGCTACTCATGAGGTTTTCTAGACTGTCCTCAGGCTGAAACCTCTTTCTTTCAAGGGTCAAACTTCTTCCTCATCCCATTCTGCGGCCTCGCTGCTTCCATTTCCCATGATACATCTCATTGGTGGAACTCACTCATTGCCTCACTCTGCATGCAGGTGAATGACATGCCGGTCACTGTAGGAGTAGGAAGCCTCCTCTCCAAGGAGGGATTCTCCCTGCTGATGTCGCCCGAATCAGCCGAACCCATTTGGAGAACTCTCCTGCGCCATGGGGCCGTACCGATGGGTAACAGCGCCTGGGAAAGACTGAGGATCCTCAAAGGTCATAGTCCTACATCTCATCAGAAGTAGCTCGCCCAAAATCCATTAATGGAAGAACTCTATAAAATATGAACATTTTTTTTTAAAAAAAAGAATAGGAAAAAGGGTCTTAATGACCTCCTCCGTGGATTTTTTTCTTTAAATTTAAATACTAAGGTGCTCTATTCTGCGCAGGAAGGCCAGCCCCTGGCAAGGAGCTCACCAATGACTACAACATCCTGGAGGCAGGCCTGTGGATGACCATCTCCCTAGACAAGGGTCTCCTCTCCTCCCCTTCACCTCTCCCAAGGGAGCTATAAAAACACTGATTACTATTCACAGTCACTTACTACAAGATACTTACAGGGTGCTATAAGGGTCAAGAGACGGTCTCCAGACTCATCACCTATGACGGGGTGAAGCAAAGCTTGAGGGGGCTCCGCCTGGCGGGGCCAGCTGAGCCCGGCAGCCCCATTACTGTGGACGGCGAAAAGGTCTGTTCTTCATCATTTTTCAAACCCTAAAATGATGGCAGCGAAAAGGTCCGTTCTTGCAGTCTGGGAAGTAATGAGATCTGTTTGTGAACAGGTGGGTGTGCTGACAAGCTACGCTATGGGGAGAGACGCCGGGGAGCATGTGGGGTTAGGGTATATCAAGAGGAAGGCTGCTGCTTCAGCAGGGTTGCAGGTCACCGTTGGCGACGTCCAAGGAACCGTCGTTGACGCCCCGTTCCTGTGTTACTCACTGCAGACATGAAGCAGACAGACTGCGGTAATAACAGATAAATCTGTGATCCTATGCCCACCCTATTGTTTATTTTCTCGATTAATTTGTAATTTTTGAGCTGTATAAATGGATTATCTAGAATTTTAAAACTGAATAAAATAGCCCGAGAATTCCAAAAACTGAATAAAAGTTTTTTATTAATATTTCTAAGCATATTCTAAGCTCTTCTTGAGAGACTCTCCTCGCTACTAATTAATGTGCTCGCTTTTATTGATAAAGAAAAAATAATTAAAATTACATGTGGAGACATTTAAAATTATTTGAATGAAACCTTCTCTTCAAACTAGAATTGGAATTTGGGCTTGATTTTTCGTAAAACTTCGCTTAAATAATTTCCATAAATTCACATTGCTCAAGGCAGTCAGTCAGTCAGTCAATCCCTCTTAGCAACACGAGGGACGTACGCATGGCGGTAGGTGTAGGTGTTATGTTAATTATCCTGAACCTGTCTTCAGCAGGTGCAGCTCACCAGTAGCCGTTGCAGGAGCACTCGCCGCCGGCGAAATGGTGGAAGCGGGTGGCGTCCCGGACGGTGATCTCCCTGCCGACCACCGCGCTGACCCGCCGGAGGAACATGTGGCAGTCTTCGCACACTCTCAGGTTCTTGATCACCACCAGTTTTTCCCCCGGTTCCGAGTTCATCAACGCAAACGCGACGGCGAGTCTCTCGCTGTGCCGTCCAGCTCCTCCGCCGCCGCCGACGAGGGCCTCCAGCTCCCCCACCAGCCGGTGGATCTCCCCTGCCTGAGGGTGCGACCCGTCGTCGGCGAAGAAGGTGTGGACACTCCCGCCGTGCTCCACGTAGCTTACCCCGGGCTCCTTCCTCAGCCCCCTCCGCCGCATCATCACCCGGACCCTGGCGGCGCCGTCGAGCCTGCCAGCGTCGGAGTAGATGTTGGCCATCAGCACGTAGTACCCGACGTTCCCCGGCTCGAGGGCCACAACGTTGCGGAAGGCCAGCTCCGCCGTCTCCACGTCGCGGTGGATCTTGCAGGCCCCGAGAAGCGCCCCCCACACGGCGCCATCGGGTGCCACCGGCATGGAGCTGATCACCCGCTGCGCCTCCTGCAGGCGGCCGGCGCGCCCCAGCAGGTCGACTACGCAGGCATAGTGCTCCGTGCCGGGGGCCAGGCCGTGGGCGCCCTCCATGCGCCGGAAATGGCGTAGCCCCTCCTCCGTCAGCCCGGCGTGGCTGCACGCCGCGAGGACGCTCACCATGACAACCCCGTCCGGCCGGACGCCGGCGGCGAGCATCTTGTCGAAGAGTTCCGCAGCCTTCCTCCCCTCGCCGTGGATGCCGTACCCGGAGATGATGGCGGTCCAGGAGACCACAGTTCTATGGGGCATTTCGTCGAACAGCTTCTGGGCGCGGGGAAGATTGCCGCACCGAGCGTTCATGTTTATCAGTGCATTAAGCAGGAAGGTGTTGGTGGAAAAGGAGGGGTCGCCGGAGATTCTCTGCTCCACCTCGCGCGCCACCGCCGGCGCGCCGAGGTTGGCGCAGCAGGAGAGGACCCCCACCATGGTGACGGCGTCGGGCTCCACGCCGGCCCGCTCCACCATCTCCTGGTATAGCTCGAGGGCCTCCGCCGCCAGGCCGTTCTGGGCGTAGGCGGAGACCATGGAGTTCCACCGGACAAGGGCGTGGGCGTCCCTCTCCCCAGTCGGCAGCGGCGGTGCCGCCGCCGCCGCCGCCGCCGCCGCCGAGTTTGCGCAGTCGAAGACCCGGCGGGCGAGGTCGACGGCGCCGCAGCGGGCGTACATCGTGATGAGGCAGTTCGCGACGGCGGGGTCGACGTCGGTGCCGGCCTTGACGTTGCAAGCGTGGAGGGCGGAGCAGCCGGAGAGGGGACGAAGAGGGAGATGAGGACCGCAGGGGAGGAGCCCGAGCATAGTGATGGAGTTGAAGGAAGCGCCGCAACGGAGCATCCGCCGGAAAAGGGAGAGGGCTGAGATATGTAGGCCATTGACGGCGAAACCAGAGATAAGCGCGTTGTAGCACACCGTCAAGGTGGAGGAGGAAGAGGAAGATGCTGGGGGGAGCAGGACGGCGGCGAGGTGGGGGAGGGAGAGGCGGGCGTAGGTGGAGATGAGGGAGGTGAGGACGAAGGGATGGGAGTGGCAGCCGGAGCGGACGGCGCGGGCGTGGAGCTGGGCGACGGCGGAGGGCAGGGAGAGGGCGGCGCAGGACTTGAGCACCGCGGGGAAGGCGAAGAATGGGTCGACTGGACAAGACGACGCAGAAGAACGAAGAGCATCACGGTAGCGGAGGAGCGCGTCCAGATGCCGGCCCTCCATGGCAGACACTTCCTCCGCTCCGCCTTCCCATGGGAGCGAGCAGACGGAAACCAGCTAGCCACACGTTTTTTTTTCTCTTCTTCGCATGTTTCGCCCCCGGGCTTCGCCAGAAATACTTACACAATCGAATCGAGCCAAGGCGGGGATACAAAGTAGTTAAATTTCCTGGCAGAACATGAGAAATAACAGCCGGGTGGCTCACCAACCACCGCCGCCACCACCTTCGCCGGCAGCGCCACCGCTGGCGCTGGTCCAGCCAGGCCCAGCTCCCGCATGGGCAGAGACCAGTTTCTCCGACGAGCTGCTCCACCCAGAGCTCCGGGCATTGCCGGCGTCCGTCTCCACCCCATCCGTAGCTCCTCTAGAGCCACCGCCGCCCCAACCGCCGGCATCACCATTACCTCCGCCGCTGCCACCGCCGCCGGACCAACCTCCAGAACTCCCCCTGCCGGCACTTCCCCAGCCAGAGCCGTTGTTGTCCCGTGAGCCCGACGACGCCCATCGGGAGGAGTCCTGCTGGCCTTCCCTCCTCCCATTTCCTCCGCCACGGTCGTACGCCTTTGGCAGCCCGCTCGGATGCCCATCCCGAGAGCCACCGCTGCCGCCGCTCCGGTGATCATATCTTCCACCTGGACCACCGAACGAGAAAAAAAACAGATAAGAGCACAAATGTCAGCTCGTTAAAAATATACAGAGAAAGAATTAGCTCGGAGACAGACGAGCAGCCGCGTACCAGCTCGGGACCTCTCCCTCTCGGTGGCGGCGCCGCCACCGACGGCGGGGCTTCTCATGGGGACGACGGCGGCGAGGGAGCGGATGGAAGGGGCGGAGTCGTGGATAGCCTCGTCGATGTGCCTCTGGAAGTAGGAGACGAGGCGGTCGATGTCGTCAAAGTCCCTTTTGCGGAAGCGGAAGCCCTTGGGGTAGACGCCGATGTACTCGTGGTGGGGATTCGAGCTCCGGATGTAGGTCAAGATGAAGCTCCCCGGGTGCTCGTAAGAGATGCCGAAGCCGTAGACTATCCTCATCGGGTTCTCCGCCTTCTCCGCCCTCAGCAGGTCGTCCACCTCCGCCTTGGTCCCCCTCCTGAACTTCCGGTACGACAGCATGCTCCTCATGTGTGTCACCAAAGGGTCAACGTACCGATCCATCACCTGCAGACATTCGATGAACGAAGAAAGTCAGCGATCCGTGGAACATGATGATGAAGATGATCCACACAGTGGACGGAGAAAGTCAAGGGTTTGAATCTCCTGGGTCAAAACGAGTCTGCGGTTGGGCTGAGTTGACCTCCCGGAGGAAGAGACCAGATGCAACGAACCTCATCGAGATCCTCGAAGGTGTCGTCCCCGATGGTCAGCTTCTTCCCGAGACGAAGCAAACTGGTGATGTCCTTGTGATCCTTGTCGCCCTCAGTGATCTCCTTGTGAGAATACACACCGTCGCAGACTTTTATCGTCAGGATCAGATAGGACGGTCCCCTCGAACTCGGCCGGACTATGCTCTCCCCAGGATCTTTGTCCGAGAGGAACTGCCCACATAAAAAATATAAGAAAAAAAATCAAGACAAGAACTTTACTTAAATTAGCAACACTGATCACGATGAATTCAGACAAAAACCCATGTCAAGATCAAAACTTTCCAAGGGACGGAAACAACCCACCTCCACCGCTTCGTCGGACGTGATGTTCTGAAACCGGGGATGAACGATCATCCTCGGCCTGAAGCGCTTCCGGGCGATTTCCCTCTCTTTCTGGGCCTTTCCCTGCTCACCCAGGTTGCTGATCTCGCTCTCAATGTAGTACTCGTCCCGAGGGAAGCTGTGCAGCTGCCGCTTCAAGTCGCTCTCCCTGCACGTCAGATAAACCTGGCACCTGTGCTTGTGGATAGCCTTTATCTTGCAGGTGAGTACGTCTCCTTCATGAACCCTGTCCTGGACGTTATTGATGTCGTCACGGTTGTCGGAGAACTCATCGTTGATGGATATCACCCCTTTCAAGCCGGAGTCGAAGGTGCAGACGATGCGCTGATCCTGCACCCACCGGACGGTCACCTGCACGATCTTCCCGACCGAGAGGGTCTCGTCCGTCTCGCCGGAGATGAGATAAAACTCCTCATCCTGATTGGGCTCGGTGAAGGGGTTGCGCCAATCCTTGAATCCATGCAGGAGCTCCATCTTGATGTCGAGGAGGGTCTCCCTCTTCCGGGTCCCAAGCCGCTTCTCGACGTCCTCTGCGTACTTGCCGATGTGGAGGGTACTAAGGACCTGGGGCTTCTCCCTCACATGCTCAATGGCCATCTCCTGCGCGTCGTCGTCCATGTCGTTCATGTCCTCGTCCGTGTCGTGAGCATAGACGACCTTGGCCATGTTCTTCGCCAGATCGTACGACTCCGGGTGGATTCTCGTGTCGTCCAACAGGTCTATGATGTGGCTGACGCTGGCGGCCGCCGCCCCGCTCCGGCGAACACGAAGGAAACCGACGCAGTTAATGAAGACCTTCTTCCTCAGCACTCCCATGGTGATCTCCTTCCGACTGAAAACAGATCCGGCCCGGGCCAAGGCCTTCTGGAGAGCAGATGCCTTCCTGGGGCCGAGCCCTGAGACGAACTGCAGAGGGGCAAAGAGCCACTCGTGACTAGCAGCCAGATTGATGTCCACGCCGACCTGGTTGGTCACGTCGACCATTATCTGCTCCACCATCTCGTACTTCTCGTCAGGGGTAAGGAAGTACTCCAGAGGACAGAGCTTCCAAGACAAAATCTCTTTCCCCGGCCCACACAGCGTGGCGACCATCGCCAAAGGGTTTTGAAGGTACCGCCCGAGAGCCACAGCCCGCTTCTCAATTCCTGGTGAAAAAATGGCATACGATTTGCGACATCAAAGAGAGTAGGCAAATCCACAGGAAAATAGCAACGCAGTGCTGTGCTTACCGGTTTGCGTAGGTAGCTGATCTGAAGATTCCCGAGAAGTTTCGAATAGACGAGGCAAAGATTCATCCCCAAAAACAGGCGAAGTTCCATCAAATCCTGGGCCAACGTCTCTGGGATGATGCTCTACAATGTTGTATATGATCTGAATGAAACCAAAGTAATAGATATCAAGCATTGTCGACCGCATAAGTAACAGAAATTCTTGTCAAAGTACCACTAGTACTTTGTTTAGAGTAAGGCGACCAATAGTATAAAATTGTGAAGGCCTCTTTCCAGATGTATGATGCATCCATGGGCACTGCCTAAGATAATGAAAGAACATCGCATTTTTAGAACAAGTAACAGGCCCACTGGTCGTTCACGACTCAGACCAACTTGAGTAATGACAAACTGTTTAGGTACGGAGTGCTAAATGATTTAATTATTTTTGTCTGCAAGGATCAAGAATGTGTTGATACGATTTTAGCTTGAAAGAACAATGTTTTTCAGCTTTATTCTTTTGGGCCACAACTGCAGAGAGAAGACTATGTACTTCTCTAATGAGAAAATATTATCACAGATTTTTTGAGGCAACTAGGGTTCTTAGCATGGTCTACATCATGTCGACACAAAATAAAATGCTGTTGGACGGTGGATGGAGCCGTTTTAGAGAGGACAATGGGAATCATGTTATACCTCCATCATAGTTTTGAATATGCAGCGTTCCCCACTTTCAGAACATACAGAGATAAGGTTCAAAGGCAAATTGATGCAGACAGGGTTCACTAGCTAAGAAACTACTGGACCTTGACTTTTGTTTGAGGTTATGGGTGAATTTTGTTCATCATTCAGATTAACTTGTTCTGACATATCGTAGGTTTTGTGGACTAATCCAGAGAGCCGACTTTTGCCACCAAATATTTTAACCAGGACGGCACCTAATCACTTTGCAATAATTACTTGGGGCTTCAAACTCATCATTTATCGGAGGTATTGACAATAAATTGCTCCTCAACGCACTCCTACAGAAACTCCCTGGCTCCCTTGGGAAATAGCATAACGTCGACTTTTGCAGGAACCAGTACGATAATTACTTATCATGGCCCTCTCCTTGAGAATTAACTTAACCACTACACGGATGAATTCAGCTGTGCTCGCATGACATTGTTATGGCCTCCCATCTGAAGTCTTCTGCTTCATGAAGCTTGGATAATGCTAAATTGCAGCACAATGCACATTAAACAGGATCGATGAAAGAGTCAACAGACTATTCCTTTCAAAAATGATTTGCTTCCGAATGCAAATTCATAACTAATGAAAAATGACCACAGACATCAGTAACTCGACACCTTGTGTCTATGAGAGAAACTTGAATCTCATTTGATGCATGATGAAAGAGTGAAGATACAGTGACCATATTTCCATCCGAAAAAGAGTATAAAAGACAAAATAAATCCGTTTGCCATCTTCGTAGCTGGGAAGAGTTATAAGATTATTAATCCATCGTTCATTACTAATTTCCATTGATTCCTATTTGTGGCTGCAGTAACTGTGAATCACACTGATATGCCGGTCGTTCCTGCAAATTCCATGGTAAGTTTCCAAGAGTGGACTGGACCTAATTAGGAAAAGAGAAGGCTGATAGAGAAGGATAAAGTGGGCCTTGGGAAGGGTGCGGGTGAGGATAGTTGCGCTGGATGATGGGGTTATGTTCATGTTTCGTGGTGGGAACGTGGGGTTTCAGCTTAATCGCACAGAATAGGCTGCAGTGTGAGGAGCGTGAATTTACAACCTGAGCCTGATTAAGAAAATTTTGGAATGTCTGGCCATTTTTTTCTCCCTATGGTTTTGTTTTGATCCCAAACCAGGTTAGAAACAGGACAAGCTAGGTTGGTGACTTGGGAAGTGCCTCAAGGCGACAAACCTGGACGTAACTGTAACCTTCACATTTTCTCATGAATTTTCTCATGTCTGGAGTAGTCTTAATCCCCTTGCATCGCACCAAAACTCTAGCGGTTATTTTTCTGCATTTAAAATCATTTCAATCGTATCACCTTTAAAGACCTATAAATTTTGTAAAGCCATTAACCTGAAATAATCCATATGCAGATTTAATTTTTTATGATACGTTCAATTAAGTATGATTGTTCTTTACATCTAATTAATATACACAGGCCATCCACAGCTACAGAAGTTGGCTCCAAACATTCAGTATATAACTTCATTTCTTATGACAGTAATCAAACCTGTTGAACGTCAAAACCTGAGTTTCGTAAACAGCAGCAATTAAGGAATCATAATCACACGGTATTAGCACCTAAATTCCATGCTACATTTTTTTTCATGCATAGGCGACATTATTCATCTTTCATTCACATGCAGTAAATCATATGAGTAGATAAACTATTATTAACAAAAACACCAGATAAAAAAATGCGTTAAAACAAGGCACAAACCTCATTAATTTCATCCTTTAAGGTCTTACAGGTCATGTTTGCTGCTCCCACGCAAACAGCGTACGGTTGATGATCGATCATGAACTTGAGGACCCTCTGCTGGTCATTTTTTTTCCTCTGCTGCTCATTAGCACCTGAGGACCTAATACTGATTGAACTCGCATGTAATACATCTAGCAATTCCCCCGCTGAATCCAACATTACAAAGGTAGTCGGTGGTTTTCCAGGACCCCAACAACAAGCCATAACCTTTTGAGAAGCTTCTTCATCTTCTTCAGAGTCTGGACGCTGATAAGGTGCAACAGAAACCTTACTCCACAAATGCTTCCCATATTCCACTAACAGCCAACTTTTTGCCTTAGCAGTTAATAAAGCCCGGGTTTCCTTCTCCATTGATGGAAGTATATGGTTGAAAAAAGAATCCTCTAATATCAACCTGCGTTGTTCATTCCATAATTGTGCAGATTTGCTGACACACTCACTAAGATAATTATCTTTCGCCTCAGATATCAGTTTCTTCAGTGCTCTTTCTGGCATTTTTATGGTAACTTGAAGAAGCTTCTCTTCTTCAGCTTTTTGAATCAGAAGCCATTGAGCATCCCCAAACTTAGATAGTGGCTTGTCGCGCAGCCACTTCGCACCTGCAACCGGATGAAAAGGATCTATGGCGGAATTCCCTTCCTGAGTTGGGTTTGTCGATACAACAGCTTCGTCCATATAGACACCACGGACATACTTCCTCACAATGGGCTCACAGCTGATCTCTACCGCAGCCTGTACAAAGCTATCTCCGTCAAGAATTAGAAAAATGAGCAAATTGAGCTGATACCAGATGCCTTAGAATAAAATACACGGCATTGTATACTCACCATATGCCGGGCACCTTTGAGTACATCTTGAGGCGTTTCAAACATTGCACATGTAAAATTGGCAGCCACTTCATCAGGGGTTTCCTTCGCGTCTTCTAGTTCATCCAGTCTCTGAAGCACAAAATTTGAAAGCAGGAGAAACAATAAAGCACAAAATGTTATAAAAATTTAAGTAAGAATGAGAAAAAATAAAGTACCATCTTTTCTAGCGCCAGATGCAAGCCGAATTGTTCTGAACTAAACCCAAACTTTTTGGCAACCTCCCATAACCCAGCCTTGCAGCAGACACTGTACAAGGATTTCCTCTTGGGCCTTTTAAACTGTCCTTCGTCCACATCAACTTCACCCGGCGGAAAATGCAAATTGAATTTCATGTCAACATCATCAACCTCTCTTTCTGATTTAGCATCATTAAGTGCCTCAATAATTGATTTATAGATCTGATGGATCAAAGCAAGCCTTGTTTCATCATCTACCCTTCGAGCTTCCTCTTCAAAGCGCTTCTCATAATAAACTTTAAGAGCACCTTTCCGCTTTCGCAGAAGCAACCATTTCCGATCCAAATTTTGAACAGCCCACAGTGCCTGCAACAGAACGGTGTGTGCATCACTGGTACCTTTTCAATACTTTTGGAAAAACATACAATGAGAAACAAGATTGTGGTGAACAAGATATAATAACCTTGTGCCATCTCAATTTTGGTTTTCTTTCAGCATTATCAATTTCTTCATTCGCTGTCGTTTCCTGACTTGGATCTCTTAATAAACTAAGACAAAGCTCCTTTCGATACATTGCAATGAATGGAATCTAGAAGAAGAAAAATATTTTGGAATGATTACTAATATGCATGCATTAATATGATAGTTAATAAAAAAATAAAAGAAAAAAACAGAAAAAAAACTTTTACATCAAGCTTTTGAACGTGAAGCATCCCCAAAACATTCCCAATATCCTCTTTGTTAATTCCCCTGACCACTTGGTTCTCAACAAACAGCGGAGATACACCACCAGTAGTAAGCTGCGTGTATATCCAAGCACTTTCCTCCTCTATGCTCTTGTCATCAACAGGGGGAGGACCTGTAATCTCTTCAGAGAGCTGAAAGAAAAATGTAAAAATAAATAGCATCACTAAACTGGAAGAATATTTATAGATAATTCAAGACTCAAAGCATTTGCAAATGCCAACGTATTATCTTCTTCTTCTTTTTTTCAAAGAATCCCAATGGAAGCGATGAGAAGCCAGTGACAAAAGACCTGTATTCTTTCAGGAACATCAGTTTCTCGGATAATGTTATCCTTTGGCGTCATATACTTCTCTTCAAGGATCAATGGCTCGAACTCATCTTCCAGCCTCTTTTCTCCCCAGCCAGGCTCAGTACTGCCTCTGGCAAGCCCCTCCTTTCTAAGTGCTAAAAGCTCATCCACATCCCCGAATATTTCATGAGCTTCCTGTAAAGCTGATGATGATACACCAAATGCTTGCCTCAACTTCTTTTTCTTCGTTTTCTTCCTCCTGTTTTCAGAAACTAATCAGTTATCAAAGAAATTTGTTCTGAAACTTCATGCTTATCAAAAAACAGAGGCTGTAATCTTCAAAAAGACATGCACCTCACAGGAGCACCATTCTCATCCACATCTTCCTCATCAACGATGAAGTCTGCCATTTCATCTTCTTCTCCAATATCTACATCTTCCTCTTCCAATTGCTCCTCCTCCTCAGCAATATCCTCAAGAGGAGCAGCTGGGAGATTTTAAATTCAAAAGGGTCAATGGCACACTCGCCGATGGGGAAAATAGTTCAACTATTGAAATGGGAATATACCTTCATCATCTCCAAATAAGCTACGCTTGAGTTTTTCCTCAGCAGTACGCCCACTGCGGCCATCCTTATCAGATTCCTCTTCGTCAGAGAAGCCTGACCTCTCTTCCTCATTGCCCCTACCGGCCTTCTTAAGACGCTTGAACTTTGTGCTTCCCTGCTCACAATTTTACAAACATGATATCATGCTTAAACCCCACCAGATCTAACTGAGTCAGAGCACCAAAACTTGACGGACAAAAATAATATATCAAAACTTACGGGCTTGGGCCGATGAAAGCCAGTGATGTTATTATCCTGAAGCAACTCGTAATCGTCCTCATCAAGAACATAGTGTTTTTCAGATTCTCTGGCCCATGAAAAAAAGTGAAAATTAAACAGATATTCGAGAGAATACAAATAAGAAAAAAAGAAGCTTCTTTTTTCTCCCAGAACCTCTTCTTCCTCTTCTTTTTTTTGTGCCTCTCTTCGTCACTCTCGTCCCTATCCTCTTCTTCCTCATCCTGCTCTTCTTCCTCGTCATCGTCCACTATAAAGCCGTCTTTCTCATATTCGTCCTGGCCCTCGTCTTCTCAGAAAAAAGAAACAACACAAACATTAGACCAGCTTTACGAATTTCTTCCTAGGTGACTACAAGAATGAGTAAACAAGGGAAAATATTTCGGATACGATAAAAGATCCCGAAAAAGAAAAAAAATGAAGGAAAACGGAAGTGAACATCTGCTAGGTCAAATTGTTGAAACCCTAACTAGATTTTCTTTAATTTAAAACGTAGCGTCGATAAAAACCATAGGGGGGGGAGAAACCTTCTTCGTCTTCTTCGTCTTCATCGTCGGCTCTCACCCTCACGTTGTCATCTTCAACAGCATCGCCGTCCACTAGCCTCACGTCCTCCTCTTCTCCGACCTCATCTGCGGGAATTCTCAAATTAGGATATCGAAGATGAACGACGAGAGAAACAACCAACGCCTACGCATAGTCGATAAGTAAGAAACTCGACTTCTCACCTTCCTCGTCGGATACGACCCTTCCGCCCATGACGAACCCGGCAGGCGCTGCGACCGTAAGAGACTTTCAGACAAAACCCTAGCCAAGCCTCTTATTGGGGGAAGGACGAACCACACCGGATTGTCTGCAATGCTCTTCCCAGAACCACGCAAGCGGGAAAACCTAGCGCGCAACAGCGGACCGGCGGGAGGAGGGGAGCCGTTTCCAGAGGCTGTGCGGGGGACTGGAGGAGCAGACGACGGGGCGCCGTCCAGGGACGTCAGGCGGTGACGATTTCCGCTCTCCCGATGGCGGGGAGGAGCAGCAAGTAGACAACGAGCGCCGATCCACACCGAGGCCCACAAACGATCAAAGAAATTATATGAAAACATAGGTATGCCTCCTTAAGTAACTTTAATATCACCCAAGACCTTGACTAAAACATATTTTTATGTATGACCTCGTTAATTGTCCTTCCCCGAGCTCATTATTTTCATATTTGAATTCAGACTTCAGATGGCCAAAAGTCTACAGCTTTATGGGAACATTTTTATTAAAATTAATGCTTGAGATGAAACTCAACAAGCCCAACCATAAAACGTATATATATATATGTCTTTCAAAGAGAGATATATGTATATATATGTTATTGTAAAAGAAAATAAAATATTTAAAATCATATTTTTAACCATTATCAAAAAAATCAATGATTTTGTATAATTGTAATTCATTGTATCCTTTTTATATAAAAAAATCGTTTTTTATTACTTTTTTGGATTAAAAAGCAAACTAAGGACTGAATAGTACAATAAACTTGACACAAAACTTAAGTAGAAGGTCATTGACAGCTATTACTCCTCACATTCTTCCATTGGCAATATACACACCATCATAGTTATATACTTGTTGAGAACTTAGCCTAGGATAGTGTTGGACCCCTAATATGCATTATATACTTAGGATGAAAGAATTGATCCCCAAATACCAATGCCATACATATGTCAACCCATTACATCCTTTGTAGTAAAACTAAATCAAGCTTAGGTGAGGGTGAAAGGGGTAAATTCCTTTGTAAGAGAGCTAGGTATTAGGGTTTAGAGGAAAGGTTAAAGGAGACATCAGAGAATCTTTAGAGTGTTGCAGAGGAAGAACATGACCTCTCAAACATTCCCACAAGCCTTAAGGTTCTTCAAAGCCTAAACTCTTATTTCTTTTGGTTTTGAATTCATCTCATTTTTGTTTATTATTGATTATTCCTTTTGAGAGCTTTGGGGGCCAATCATATAATATCAAAGCCTCATATGGTACCAAAGCTTCAAGATAATAGCCTCAAAGCATGGGAGAAGAGCATATCATAGGTGAAGAGCAAACTAGTAGAAATGAAGGCAAACATAGATGATGTACACCAAGGAATGACACATTTACTGCCCACAATAAATGACATATGAGGAAATAAGGAAACATCCCTTAGAGATAAAGTTAAACAAAAAGAATGAGAAACTAATCAAGTGGAATGTGATTTAGGATGAGAAGAAGGTTTCTTGACAAAGCACCCTAGGTATCAAGCACCAATGGGTATCATAGATACCCATAAAGGAGGGGGTCAAGGTTTAGAGCTTCTTGTATTAAGGGGAAATAATCCATAAGGATGAATCTTTGGAGTGAAGTTATTTTTTACAAGATGCCAAATGATTGAAGTGGAAAAGATGTGGGCAATAAGACCAAATTTCAAGGAAGAAGGCTATGTGAGTATCATTAGACAGATGCCAAGGGTGTCTTTTCATGAACTAACAAGATCTCAAGCATTAGCTGGTGGAAAAGTTTAGATCCACATAGTCAAGCAATCTTTGCAAATGATTCTTGAGCATTAAACAATTAGGATTGATTTTAAAATATAGAAAGGATTTTGAACTCATGTCATTGTCCATATAAGGCTATTTGAAGAAGTATTTGAAAGTAAATTCATCAAAAGACTAAAGCATAAAATTCACATATAAGTCAAGCTACACAATCACAAAGGCTTGAAAGCTATTATGAGGATGGTCCAATTTATCAAAAAGAGGAATGATGTATTCTAGCCCACTAGGGAGACATCAGGGTTGAAGACCTTGAGGCTAAACATCTATAGGGGTAAAAGTTTGAGATTGTACAAAAGTTCAATAAAAAAACATGACTAAAATATGGGACTAGTAACCATAAGAAGTGTAGGTAAATCAACCCAATATGGGGTCATGAACACCATTGTTAGGAGCATTTCCTCATTGATGTGAAAGAGTAAAAGGGAGCCTCAACCTCATGAAAATAAAGATTCAAGTTAGAAGACTCAAGTCCCTCTATTTTTGGTGCAATGAGAAGTTGACACCCAAAAATATTTGTAAGTAGGAATTGTAAATCTTCAATCTATGAAGATGATTTAAAGACAGATTTATTTGGAGCATGGATTGAAGCCAAAGGCAAAAAGGAAGAGATAAACAAAAAGGAAAAGTTGTAGTATTAGAAAACATTAAGTTGTCACTAAATCAATATTGGGTTTGACTAATTTTGGAATATCAAAATTCCAAAGGAAGGTAGGTGACACTAAAATAATAGTCTTAGTAAACTATGAAGCTGCCCACAATTTCATATTCACTTAATCCACTACCACAACACATTACAATGCGGTTAGATGCACGTGTTTTAGTGAGGGACAAAGACATCTATAAGGACATGCTTCTAAAACTTCCTGAATTCACAAAGCAAGAAAATTTTCTTCCTTTAAACTTAGGTAGCATTAACTTAATTATCATCATACAATGGCTCAAGTCTTTGGAGCCCACAAATATCGATTGAAACAAATTCACCATACACTTCAACAAAGGGGGAACCAAGTCCATACTCAAGGGTGCTTTCAATCTTGACAATGCAAGCATTTCCTAAAATTCCCTTGCAAATGAACTATTAAATGAGGATGGCTTCTTAATAGAGCCCTTCCAACTTTTATTAAAGGGTGACAAGGCATCACACCTGCCTATCTTTAATTTGACTCAAGATCTACTTCAATTATTGCAAAAAGTACACAAAATTTATAGGGGCATTCTCCATCATTATAACTTTCCTTCTAGCAAGGGACATGATCACTATATTACTTTTCAACTATTCTGAAAGTGATAAACTAATTAAAGAGGTGTGTGCAATAAGAATAGTTTGACCCTCTAACAATCCTTTCACTAGCTTAAATTCTATTGGACAAAAAAAAATACACAAGTCAATGGTTTTTGGACTATCATGTATTAAATTGAATCACCATCCTTAACTAATCTCTCATTTCAGTCATAAAAGAGCTATTAGATAATCTACATGGGTTATTAGTTTTCTAAAAATTGTACATGAAGTTAGGATACTGATGTGTTTATTATTGTGAGTTAATGATGATTTAAGTATTTCTTTTATGAATTAACTCATGATAAATATATACTTATTTATTTAAAATGATGAAAATGAGTTTTTAGTTGACTAATGTGATTTTTTTTACTAATTATGTGATTTTGTGTGAATTTATATTATATTTATATTCATGCTCTTAAGATAAAATGAAGAATAAATAAATAAATAAATAAATAAAAATGAGAAAAAAAATAAAGGACAATGCACAAAGGCCAGAAGCATAGTTAGGGGAGTCACAAGCTAGGGGCTCAAGTGGCTAACAGCCCATGTAGAGCATGTGTGCATCACTTCCCTTCCACTATTAGGGAACAACTGATGTGGGAATAAACCCACATCAACACTCCCTAGTGATGTTTTAAATATTTTAACCAAAAATACTCTTATATTATTAGAAGAAAAATACACTCATGACGTCACTAGGCCAAAGGTATGTAGGTAATTTACTAACCCTCATAGCAAGGTAACTAATGAAGGTTCAAATCTCACAAGAGTCAAAATTTCTATTTTATTTATTTAACTTGTGATTTACCAATAGAGTGCAAGTTAATGATCAAACTATTGAAATCACTCAATCATCAATAGAAATGTTGTCAATATGATTCACAAAATGTCATGACAAGCCTCATCTTGTGAACCAAAGTAAACCAGATGCAATACAAGCCTCATCTTGTTGCATGGACTTGAGAAAGAAGCTCCTTGTGATGCACCCTAGTTTTGTCCAACTTGTATCCACTAGGTGATAGCTGTCAAAGATGTTTCATTGACTCATCTTTAATTTATAGACTACAAGATGATTTAAAGATTACCCTCATTGTGCATGTCCAAGGAGAGCTTATAGGGTAAAGGACATTGCATGAAAAATCATCTCAAAAGTTCAGAACTTTGGTGATTATTGTCACAATATTAAAAATCTATCTTTCATGTTTTAACCTTAATTATTTTTTAAATTAGTGAAACTTGACATGATTTTAAGTTTTAAAACTATTCTTTAGTCAATTATGATTATTTAATTTTGCATATTTGAATTTAATTAATTAAATCATTTATAATTATTTACACAAGAGACAAGAGTCACTTGGTGAAACTATACCCTTGTGCAGGAAAATAAATAAGACTTTTTAGTTGGGGCAAAAGAAGTAAATGCTTTATGTAAGATAGTCAGGTATTAGGGTTTGGGGGAAAGAGGAAGGAGTATATTGGAGAATCTTTAGAGAGCTGCAGTGGGATAGTGGGGCCTCTCAAACATCCCCACAAGCCTTGGGATTATCTGGAGCCCAAACTCATCCCTTTTGGTTTTTAATCCATCTCCTTTTCATTCACTACCAATTGTTCCTTTTAGGAACCTACGGGGTCCATCTGATGGTCTCCATAAAAGATTACTAGCTGATTAACAACAGCCAACTCTATTTTCCTACAAAAAATCTCTTTACGTGGTATTTCTGGAAACGTCATTTGAACCAACGACTGTCTTTAATCTCCATAAGTCATGGAATATGAGCATCTTGGATCACGAAAACATCTGGAAGTGTCCTAGAAAAAGACTGATTCACTACGGTCGATCAAAAAGTGATTCAATATTACCGCGCAGCACTTACCCGGAGACCAGCAAAGATCTCAAATCGGAGATAGAGAGAATCATTTATCAGGTACTGGCCTCCTATTCCCATAGACAGGGCCCACCCATCATCCCTCTGACTCTCAGAGAGAGAAAGAGAGGGGAAACAGCGTAGTCCCCCATCTTTACTTCACTTGAGCAGCTCGAAATGCCGAGCATGACACATCTGAGAGAATCATCGCGGAGCCAATGGGGAGAGGGAGGTCGTTTACTGCTGACGGAGAGAATCATCTGGTTGGTTGCTGGGGTGTGACTTTGTTCAATCTCGCTGCCAGTCGAGGAAGGAATCGGCGGGTACCTGGCCGAAGATGTCGGGGCAGGAGCTCCAGTCGCCGCGCTCCCGCGCCTCCCAGTAGCCGCCGACGTAACGGTATGTGTCCCCACCCTTGTCCCTGGCGAACCACCGGGGCTTCCACCCCCTCTCCTGCATCTTCCTCGCCTGCGCGCGCCAACCATTCAATCACACATTGGCCCTGCCTGTCAGCCACCACGCCGAGAGACCTCACGTCATCCCATGCCAATCTAAACGCTTACCTGACGCTGCCTCTGCTCCAGCCTCAGCTTCTCCGCGTTGGCCGTCATGTACTCTCCCTTCTCCAGGCACCTCTGGTCCGGCCTCCGCCGCGAGTCCGTCGGCGGCAGCTTCTCCTGCGCGTCCCCACGCCATCCTCAGAAAGATATATATAATATATACAGAGAGATAGAGAGAGAAAGGAGGAGGGGGGGGAGTGGCGGCTGACCTTGAGCTCGGGGGTGAGCTCGTTGAGGGTGATGGCGAAGCGGGTCAGGTTGTATCTGGTTGGGTGGGGGCCCGGCTTGGAGCGCCGCCACAGGAGGGGGGCAGTCTCGGAGAGGAGGGGCGGCTCCGGTGGCCCCTTGCCCTTGGAGGAGAAGCCCTCTCCCACCATTGCGTACCGCATGCTCTCGTCCCACTTCCCAAACAGCGTCGCCACAGTCCTCCCGCTCCTGTCCTGGACTATCCCCTGTACCTGCAAGTAGAGAGAGATAGAGCTAGAGACAGAGCAAGAGATAGAGAGAGAAACACTGTCTATCGCCGCCGTCAATAATCGACACCCACCTGATGCGGATTGCGGTCGATGATAGACTGCTCCTTGAACTTGATCTTGCAGGAGTACTGGCGGCTCCCCTGGATGCGCATGGTGCCGTAGTGGTCGCAGTAGAGCTTCCCCAGGATGAGGTTGTAGATGGAGGTCGTCACCTGAGGAGGAGGAGGAGGAGGTGGAGGATGGAGGGAGGAAGAAGGCTCTCAGTTCTCCATTAAGGTTTATTTTACTGCCGCCAAGACATGGATGGGGGTGCCTCTACCTTGCTCCACTGGAAGATCTCCCCGTCGTCGAACTCCAAGGTCAGAACGCCGACAGGATCGAGCTGAATGGAGCGGCCCCAGAACTTGCTCTTGAGATTGCTGTCCCCCCACAATCGCCATCCCCGCCCCTCGCAGTGGCACGCGACGACCATCGGATGGTGACTAACCTGGAAGCACCACCACGAGGGCGGGTGAGTGGAATCGGAGGACTAGGCGAGCTTGAATCACCAGAGTCCTTCACCATACGGGTTTGTATAAAGGAAACTCAGCTGCCATCTTAGTTAGTAATGCATTTTTTAAAAATAGTCGCCAATACTGTTGCCAGATCCATTTAGATATACAACAGCGAGAAATCCAAAAACGGCGTCAATAGATAAACAAGAAACACATGATGTGCATGTTGGAAACCTTTTCTGAGATGAATCGGATGCCTTTATCAGGGTAATCAGCCTCATACGTCTCGCCCAACAACGGATTGAAAGGCTTGCAGCTTCTTCCTCCAGTCGATGCATACCCAGATACAGCAAAGGCTGCTAGATTAAGAATCCTCATAAGACCATTGCCCTACAGAATTCCATCAAAATATTACAAAACTAATAAAGAGCACCAAATCTGAGGACTTTTGAAGAAGTTTACAACAATTAAATGACCATGAAGGAATTCATTCTAGATAAAACAAATGCATGTAGTCTCATAATTCAAATAAAAAAGAGTATGGATAATATAAATTCATGTAAGTCAATTTTCACCAAAAAACACAATCGCCGATGAATTAATAACTCATGAGCCTATGTGTGTTGAAAACTTAATATAAAGGGTTAGATAATCTTGAAGACCGCCACAAGAAACAAAAATGTTTAATTAACTATAAACACTGGGACTATCAAATCAATGGTTCGGTAACAAAGATGGAAGAAACATGAACATCATAGTTAGAAGAGCATATGGCAGAACGAGATTCAGATGCTGACGCAATGGAAAGAACTTCAATCAGTTGGCGATAGCATTTGCACTCGTGACAAATAAAATCAGGGCATATAGATTATATAATTCACTCAGAAACAATATCAAAGAAAGACGAAATTAAAATTACCTTTTTCCCCCATTCATATGCTCGGTCAATAAGGTAAGAATACTCAAGATCTTCAAAGCACTTTTGTAGAGAAGAAAGAGGTTCATTGAAAAACACAGGAAGACAAACTTTCGTGAGATCCTTTCCAATGTTATCTTTAATCATCGACCACAGACTCACACCCTTCTCCTTTTCAATTGGGACAGGCAATTTCCGACGCCTTCGAACATATGGATAGTTAGCACATCCAGTCATTAGGGAAGTATCTTTATCATCGACAAAATGAATTCCATAAATATCATCCTCGTCAGAACCAACTGATGATAGCTGTTGTTCAGATTCTGTGCTCTTAAAGGAACCTGAAGAGAGAAAATCATGTGTATCAAAAAATGCATTCCCGTCATTTTCAGTTTCTTCATCTGCAGCATCATGTATTTCATTCTCGTCGTCGGATTCAGATTCACTTCCATCTACAAAGCATCAATATCCAAGCATCAGTGGTATTAACACACATGTAAGCTCTAATACACCAGCTTTGCTAGATAAATTAAAGCATCTAATAAAAACTAAAGTCGACAAGAAACCAGACAATCTACAATACGTTTTTTTCCTAGAAAAAAACGTCAAATGGCCCGCTCAAAAAGAATTCAGTCCCGTGAAAGACCAAGTCATTCAACAGTGTTCACTCCCCAAAATACTTTTGTAAGAATGTTCAATTGCAGCTTCTTTTTGAAGCAGTAGATATTTCGTAACATGAATATAATTCGTCTCTTAAAGGCTATCATATACAGGCCATTTTTCCATCCTCCAATGTATCACATGGGTCAGTGTACATTTACCACCAATTTAATTATTTCATTTACATTTTTTCGTCACAGATTAGAAGATGCTACTGTCTGTTTGATGAAAATAATCTGTAGGAATCTGGCTTGAAAAATCGCAAGGTGAGTAGGAAACAACAGAAAAGCTGAGTAGGAAAACAGCATTGTACCTGCAACGAAATAATGAATGAATAACATTAAGTTTTCGTCAAATATCATACCACTGTCTTTTTCAAGCCTGGACCTAGATGAAAGCTCATCTTCCTTTAACTGTCTTTGGCTCTCGTCAACAAATGTATTCTCCAGGTCTACTTTTTCTGTCTAGAAGACAAAGAATAAAATAAAATTTCTGTAACAATCAACCAGGAACATTCAAATAAAAACATGATAAATATTTGCCAACATTGATGTCAATGGATACACGCATTCAACACAGTTGATACGATACATGTTCATTATAGTCCGGCACCTATGAAGAGCTAGCAGGTCAAGCAGAACGGATAAAGTTTCTTCTTTGATAACAGATGATATTTAGCAGAAAAGAAAAACCCTATTAATGAAAAAAAATCTAACCAAAAGAAATGCACCAATAAAAGATGGGGAAAATTCACAGAACGAATGGGGAAGGTATACCTTACCTTATAGGACAGTATAGTACAACAAGTGTGAATGGCAATGTTTCAACACCATGGCAGGTTCATTTCAGCTGCTCTGTATGAATAAATCTACGTGCAATTTTTCTCTCGACTGGACTCCAAATAGAGACAGGAAGAAAGGAGCTGGGAGAAAAAAGTTTAGCTCCCCCTCCCGACAGTATTTGGCTATACTTACTGCACGCAGATATTTGTTGCTTATATCTATGGTTAAAAGAACAGTTCTATAATTTAAATTAGACTCATCGACATGTCCATGTTGCGCACAACAATAAAATATGTCAATACATTTCAAACATCATAGTCAGACATGCCGACAAGTCCAGAATGAACACATCTAACAAATGTGTCAATACTTGTTTATCGGATTACTTCTTCCAGTGGCTGCCAACATGGTGGAAGACTATGATTGCATGATTTGGAAATATCCCGGAAACCAAGAGTGATGGACTCCCCACTTTATGTAATCACTGTCTTCTACTTAAATACTTGTCTCGTCCAACCCATGTGCATGTCAGGTAAAATTATCTTGAATGAAATTAACAAAATATGAAATGGTGCACTTCTCTTTTGATTATAAATGTCGGAAAATTGGCTGAGGGGATCAAATAAAGTGCCATGGTAACGCTGAAAATTTGATTGTATAAATTTAATGTCCATGTCTCGGTACTCTTTCCAATGAGCACCAGAAAAGTAGTAAGCTGGGAAATAACGACTATTTATTCAATCCAAGTATCAAATTTCCGGGATAATTTTGTAGTCAATACGTTGGAGATTGTCCAGAATGAGGTCTCGAAGGTACAATTAAATCAATTTTGCTTAGTTTCTCTTAACTAGACTTTATAGAAAAACTACTTACGATTCTAGATGTCCTACTGCAATCCTGGCGTGAGATGATAACATGTTAACCATTATAACAAAAATCATTTGTAGGTCTCCTAACTAAATGGTCCTCAGGAATCATCTAATATTATCAAAGGACGCTTCGGCAATTTAAAAGTTTGCTATGCTGTTCTCCAAAAGGTTTCCTCTTCCCATGTTCAAGAAAAGTATCAGGTGACGATACGTGCATGGAAATTTACACGAATATCTGCACTAGAATTTTTGTAAAGTTGTTAAAATAATGGTATCTCAGAGACAATCGCCACTACGGATAAAAAAAATTAGCTGAATGCAAGGTTACAGCAACCATAATTTGTGTATTTTATTGGAAAAACGAAATATAAAGGTCTAAAAGAACAATTTAACAGGAAACACATGCTAAAATAAAAGAACGAAAGCAGGTTCCATACCTCCAGTTGACGGAGGGTTTCACGGAGGAAGTCATGCTTTTGCTTGAGAATAACTAGTTGGTCCTGCAAGACGGAAAATTCACTCCTCATGATCTGCTCGCAATCCTGGATAGTCGTTTCTGTGACGTTTTCCTCCAGAAGCCGCTTTCGCAGCCTCTCGGTCAACACGTCGATGTCGTCTATAGGGGCCAACAGCTCGCTGTTTGACATCCTTGGGAACATTTCCTTGACGGCCCGCAGGGCGTCCATCCACACGATGCGGTCATCCCTAGTCTCTGCCCTCAGGTGGAGCCTCTTGGTTCCGGTGAAGATTGAGAATCTCTTGTCATCAGATCGGCTCTCTCTGATGGAAGAAACCTAGATAACGTGGAGTGCGGTTGGGCAGAAAGGAGAATTAAATAATTGTCCAAGAAGGTACTACCAATATGATGCGGATTTCTTATTCTCGGACGCTATATGAAACCTTTACTTGCCTTGAGGTGCACTTCCCCGATAGGCTTGCGGCGCTGATGGGAATAGCATTGGCGACGACGCGACAGCAAACGGATTGACAGCTCGCCGATGACCCTAGAGCCGTTATTAGTCTCGCTGTTGACCTCGATCCCGTCCGGGCCATGGATCTTGAAGTATGAGAGAACTCCATCCTGGAGAATGAACCACCGTGGTCTCCAGCCCTTACCGTAGTTCACCCATTTGTACAGGATCCCGGAGATGCCGTTTCCGACGATGTCGTTGAGTTTCACCTCCCACAAATAATCTCCGCCATGATTCCGCGTCGACATCCCTTCCTGGAGGGAGGACCCCAAAGACGACGACTCCGGCGGCGACAACTCTGACGCCGCAGAACCGCGGTTGACTTGGTGGCTGCTGCGGCCGTGGCTGCTGGTCCTGGCGCCGCTGCAACCGTTCTTGCTATTGCTGCTCGGCCACGATAACTCGTTGCGGTTGCCGTCGTTGCTCCCGCCGGCACTGTTCTCAAGCTCAGTCGGTGGAGGCGAGGAACCGCGGCTGCCGGAGGTGGACCGGACGCTCGGTGTCCGCATTCCGCCAAGGTCCGATGCCGCCGGCGTCGGCAACAGGATGACTCATCCAGCAGAAGATCGGCCTCTCCGTTGAGCGGCGGCGAGGGATTAGCCGCCGCCGAGCGGAGGAGGCCTTCCCCACTCCCAGGCGCTCACCAAGGCATCAGAGATATCCGGCAGCTCCGATCGCCACCGCCGCCCTCCCATCTCTCCGTTCTTTCTCTCCCCCTTCCTCTCCCTCCGGTGGCGGTTGCTTCGGTTGTGGTCTTGACCTCTCCCGGGGGGGAGACGGTAGTTGCGTTGGAGGGAGAGGCGGGGCGGATCGCCCCGACTCGGACTCGGAGGCATCCGAGTTGCCCCTCGAGTCGGTCACCGCGACGATCGACTTAGCCGACCCCTACCACGTCAGTTATTATTCTCAAGACGCGCACCTTGGACTTGACGAATGCCGGAATCTTGGGTCCCACATTTACAATGAGAGAGATACTGAGAGAGAGAGAAAGAGCGAATCGTTGGGGCAGCAGCTAAGAGGACGAGGCTGTTTCCACACGGGCCCACAGTGAACGGTACTCTGTAGAGAGAGAGGACGGGGGAAGGGCACCGACATGGAATCAGAGTGATTGAGGTGTGCAACTATTACTGTCACTGTTTCGAGCCAAGTGGACAAACTAGGCTCAGAATGCTCAGAGAGTAGATACATACATAGAGAGAGAGAGAGAACAGAATAATAAAGCACAGCAGGCGCCCACAACCGATACTCGAGGGTAAGAAGAGTTCTCCGCCTTCAACCCAGCTTCCTCCTCACCAGACCCTGGAAGAAGTCCAAGCTGCATTCACGTGAAACAAAAGGAAGGTAACTCAGTTACTCAGAAGTAACTTCCCCTCAGTCCATACTCTCACATCTCTCTCTCTCTCTCTCATGAATTCCGGTTTTATCAGCAGAACAGAGTGTCTCAATCGCCCATGAACACTTTCTTGATGATGTTCAAGAAGGTTTATGTGACTCAAGGGAGAATCACCTGTTGCCGTCAGGGTGAAGCTCATACAAGTTGTCGGCATCATCAGCGGCCAGTAGATATCCAGAGGGTGTCAAGCCCTGGATCGATTCTTGCAGTCAGTACAGAGAAAGCCTAAACCAGCAGCTGCCTCTCATCTGATTTACCTGGATTGTCACAGCCGTATCCCCCCGTTCCTCCTTTATCACCACCTTCTGTCCACTGCATATGAGAATCCATACCGCTCAATCGTCATCTAGGAATTTCTAGCCTTCGAAACGAACGAAACCATAGCCTTCGGTCAAATCGAGCACAGCGATTCTGATGGGTTTACTGAAACCTACCCGGTACCGTCATGAACCCCAAGATCAAGGTTTTTCATTGAAACAATATGTTGCTTATGGAATAAAAATTTGGTGAGGAACGTGAGGCTCAAATCTCTGTTTTTAGATGATTTTATTATAAGCAACTCCAGCATTGCCAGACAAGTGTCACAGTTCTGAAGGGTATTCAGTCTGATGGTCAAGCTCTAAGATTGATTGCTGAACCAGAAGAGGATAGTCGTAGCTAATGCCACATGACGAGTAGAATTTCCCTTTTTATGGATTCGTCCGAAGACTTTCCTCTTCTAGGATTAGTATAAAAATGAATTATGGAGAAAAATGAGCAGTTGTACCCATAATCACAACTAAACTTCTTCAAGAAAGCAACGCCAGCAAGAAGGATTAAACACGAGTACAAAAAAAAAAAAAAAAAAAAACACACACACACACACAAAGCACTATTTCAGGGTAGATGTCAAATTGACGGAATACTTATGGGAAAGAGTATGAAAATCTTTACATAAAACCCATTTCATGGTATCCTGAGACAATGACAATAGAATCCCAAAATGTTGACCTAAATTTTCATGTCGGAATTAGGGGGCAAAAAAAATCAACTGGGAAGTATGGTGGGCCTCAAAGTCAACCAGGAGAATTAATGAGCAGCCTGGATAAGATACATGGCAATTGAGCATCATGAAAAAAGATTACCACTGCCTTGACTTAAAACTTTCAAGCAGCACCATATCTGCATAATGCACAGATCGGCATGCTGCAATTAAATATGAGAGTAGAGAAATGCTAGAAAAAGGTAACTGGGTCTTGCCTGTGCAGCCACGTTCTGTAGTATAGCTCTTCAAGAGCTTGAAAGCCTGGATTATAAACAGGAATAAGATATTATTATATTATTTTAACTAGATTCCGTGGCATATCAAGAGAAATTAGCCCTGCCCTTTCAATCAAAACAATACCACTAACATAATAAAAGAGCTGACGAAAATAATAGGGAGTAGGCCTACGTTAAACTTGCAAAATTACCTAATTCCTGGCTCAACACTTCTATATAAAAGATATTTAAGTTAAATATTCAACCTCTTTATAATTGTGTTCTAGTTATCATGTGAATTCTTGGGTTTCATGGGATTCCTGAGTTTTACCTTTTATTACAGATTGCTGACAAGCATGATAGAAGATATGAGTGAGACAATGCATTTTAATGGTTAAGACTTTCTGGGAGATGAAAGAAGGCCCCACTAATGAGAATCATCAATCGTAAAGAGCAATAAACTTCAACGGTTCCTAGAAGATGAGGGAGATGCGGGCAAGAAAAGCCACGTACTGCTCTTATTTCCTTTTCAGCGTTCCAGACATGGTCACATAGCAGAACTCAGACGTTCTCACACAGTAAATCAGACTCAAGGTACCAATGGTAGAGCACATGGCCAAATCATAATATCCATTCTACACCCACTAAAAAAAATTAGCACGTTTTAATGTAAGAGCGAGTAAGAAAGACGAATTTAAGAAAATTGTTTACCTTCATTCAAAAATTTCTCAAAAAGATGGTCAAAATTATTAAAAAAATATGCGAGGATTTCTTCTCTCTGTAGTTGGTGTGAGACAGAAGTTATTCCTCTTAAAACTGCATTCAAAGATGTGGTCGGCTTCTCATTATCCAGGTTCAATCCAACGCCTACAAAATATCCAGGTTCCTTCATTAGAAAAATTCCAGAGATTTTTTTTAACGAGATCAAGTTTTCAAAGACAGGACATCCACACATAAATCAGAAAATAAAATAGTTATGGGAATACAGAAATCCGTGTATCCAACAAACGAGATGTTCATTACAGTGAAAAGTAAAACATGCGAATGTTAGCATTAAAGTTTTCTGCAAATTTAGTTCATATGGGTACCAACAAAGAGACCGTTTTACCAGCACTGACACTGAACTTCTTTGATTTATACGTTGAGGTGCATAGGACGCCTCCAATCTTAAGACCATTTAAATAAAGATCATTTGGCCACTTGATTTTAACGTCAAGTGGTGGCAAACCCTGAAATTTAATAAATTTTACAACCAAAGTTAGATTATAAGGATTAGAGAGAGAGCGTGAGAGAAAAAGAGAAGAAAAAAAGGCTGAGAAACTGATTTATGTAATAAAAGCAAAAAAAATAGACCTTCAGCTGTTTTCAATGACCCAGATCATTAAGCAATCATGTCAAGATTTAAGAGGGCAGAAAGAGAAACGTGATAGGGGCAGCTAACAACTTACTTTCGCCCGGCAGATCTCCTTCGTCGCTTCGCTTACAGCGAGGGATATTACGTACTGTAAGAGTGGAACAACGCGCCCGTCTTCCATCTCCACGGTGAATGAGAACATGAGGCAACCAGCGGGTGACTCCCACACATTCTTCGTCCGGCCTACAGAACGTTCGGCGAGAAAAATGACCTAAAATATTTCTAAGAGAGATGAAAATAATCAACAGAACTTTGGCTGTTAGCGACGAACTACATACCTCTGCCCCTTGATTGAAAGTCAGCAACACACACTGCCCCGATGGGAAGCTCACCAAAATTCCTATTGGCAACCCATTATGATCACAAAGAAGTACGAGGAAAGATAACAAATACAGTGAGGGAGGCTTGACTCACTGGGAGACGACATCCTGAGTGGAGGGCAGGCACGGGGACCAGAGGAGGAACCCCCCGAAGCGGCTTGTGGAGAGGGCTCCCATATACATCTGCGTCCTGAATGTCTCTTCCGGCGAGGCCAGAGAGCTTTCTTCCCCCTCCGCGGCGCGCAGGGTAATCGCGATCTCGTTACCGTCATGCTTGAGCTTCAGGCTTCCCTTGGCCGCCAGTGATCTAGCCTGGTCCTTCTCCACCCTGCTCTTCCCGCACAGCACCAGAAGGCAACCACTCCCCGGCGGAGGACCGTCGCGCGGCCCCTCCATATCCGTCAGATAGCTCGGGCACGGAGGGGACCCTGCCGGAGGGAGCGAGCAAGGATTCTCCGACGGTGAAAGCAGCAACGCCGGCGGAGGCGAGGGAAGACGGCTCCAAGAGCACCGGCGCTGCCGATATCCGGCAGAACGAGGCACCAGAGGCCGCAGACAGCGGAGGACAACGGGTGGAGAGAAGGCCAGACCCAGAGACGGATGACTCCACAACATCGGGGTTGACGAAGGGGGAAGGAGGCTACGTGACAGCGAGACGGTTAGTTGAGGGCGAAGCAGAATATTATTTTTAATAATTATAAAAAATTCCATTAAACATTTAGCATGGAATAATGATTTTAAAATATATATTAAATTTTTTTAAACCTTATTAAAAACCTGAGAAAATTCGATTGCTTTGAGAGAGCTGAGATGAGATTTATTTATTTATTTATATTTCTCGTTTGACATATGATTCGGAGGATTATACACGTCAGTATCCATTTTTCTAAACATAAAAAATAATTAAATAAATACTCCCTTTTCTTGCACGTGTTTTCCTCACGTGTCTGTGACGGTCGAGATGTCTCATGTGTGCACAGCGGGGTCACTCACACGTGCAAGAAAAGGCTGCTCTTTTGTGCAACGGGCGGTGAGAGATGAGTAGGGTCACCGCCCGTGGATGTGAGCACAGCCGAGGGCGGCAAATGGACAATTTTGAAACTCGTGGTCTCCTCGAGTCGGGTTCTCTCTCCGCTGCTGGATCCCCCTCCTCCAATCCGTCGACTGCTGGTCGGAGCATGAACAATTGCCGTTGCCGTTCGAGATCGAGGCGTTTCTTTAATCAGAGGAGGTGATCTGGTTCTGCTCTGGCGCCGGCCGAGATGCCGTTGAGGTCAAGCCCTCTCGCCGCCGCCGCCGACAATGGAGAGGAAGGAGGCTAACCCTCCGCCTCCCGTCGCCAGGAGTAGGCCGTTGTCAGTGCGGGCCCTCCTCTCAACCGGGGAGCCGAATCTCACAGGCTCCACGTCTTCGTCGTCCTCTTCCTTGTCCCCGCCGGACTTCCTCCGTCATGTCCAGGCTGCCCTCAAGCGACACCGCCCTCACGGTAGTTATTTGAGCGAGTTTTAAAGTTGCATGTTGTCTGTGTAGTATTTTCGGGGTTTGTGGATTTTCGTGTTTCCGAGGTATCTAGGCTCTCGGTGTTCTCGGATTTGTGCTCATAAGACTTAGAGCTTCGTTTTTCCTATTCCTCCCTTGAAGGTATGCATCCTAACGGTCTCCGTGCGAGGAGGGTGCTGGTATCGTCCGGTCGTGCGCCCACCAATTCCATGTCCTCGACCCTGAGTTCGACGCTGATAAATCTGACTTCATCGGATGAGGGGAAGAGCGACCAACCCTTAGGTGGAGAGCTGGAGGTATCTCCTCCGCCTCTGGAGAACGCTCCATCTTCTTCTATGTTGCAGATGTTTCCCGATCAAAAGGGATCTTTCCCTATACGGGTAGAAGGTGAGACGCAGCTTGTGTCTGATCGACCGAAAGCATCATCCATGTCTCATGTAGCAGCAAAGAAGGCTCACTGCTCTTTGGCTGGAGATGAAGTTACCACTGACAATCGGAGTGAGTACTAGTTCCATTACTATCAGAATTGGTAGCGTTTATTAAAATTTGAGGCATCTGATGAAACTATGTAGTCCCACTTCTGGCATTTTCTTGTGTTTTCTTTCCCTCCTCCTATCTCTCTCTTGCTCTCAGCTTTTTTTTTTTCCACAGGTTGCGATGTCACGGGCTTGTCCTATTGTTCTAGAATGAGCGACATTTCGTCTCACATGACTTCTCTTGCTTTGGCAGAGAGGGAAGGAAGCTCAGGGTCAGTACTTGATCCAGACCTAAATCAGCATAATTTTCAGCAAATGGAAATGTCAGGTATCAGTATGAAGATGGGGGAGAGGATTGAAGCGCGGAACTGTCAACATATTGTTGATCCTATGACTCAAGGATCAGTTACTGGTTCAAGTGCCACTGCCTTCTCGCTACATTCAGGTCAGGCATTCCAGTGTACTCGTGTGACGGTTGCCGGACAGAGTGCTGCACCAACCCAAATGTCTTCCTGTGCGTTTAAGAATGAGTTCAAAGCTCCAGAAAATGTCGCTCCTGCAGGTGGAGGAATGCTTTTTGAGGAGAGTAATAAGCTTGAAAAACAAGCAAAGGGTCCTTCATTTGATGATCGGATTCATGGGCAAGTCACCACTGGTAATGGGAGTATTCTTCAGTCTCAGGCACCTACTCGGAAGGTCTCGGCTCTGGATGTTGTAGAACCTTCCCAGCCAACTAAAAGTGAAAAAACTTCGCGAAAGAAGAGATATGATGCTGACTCATTTTTCAAGGTCAATGGAAAGCTCTATCAAAAGCTCGGTAAAATAGGCAGCGGTGGAAGCAGTGAAGTTTATAAAGTAATAACGTCAGACTGTACTATTTATGCTCTGAAAAAAATCACACTCAAAGGCCGTGACTATCCTACAGCTTATGGATTTTGTCAGGAAATTGAGTATCTGAAAAATCTGAGGGGGAAGAGCAACATTATTCAGCTAATTGATTTTGAGGTACGAAATTTTGTGTCTAACAAGCCCACAACTCTAGCATTTTGTTTAGTAATCAGAAGAAATTTACGACTGGTATCTTTTGATATTAATTTTCAAAACTATTTGGCTCTAATTCATGGTATTGAAATCCACCGAGTTCATCCACCTTGTAGGAACTAAGAATTCCATTGACACGGATTGAATTCAGTTCAAAGCTTGGTAGGAACTCCAATTGATTTTATACAATTATTGGTATTACATTATAATATTGTAACATTTTTTCTGAAGAAAATGCGACTTATTAGAACTGGAGAATGAGTATAAAATAACTGGAGAATGTGGAAAGTTTATAATATATGCGGAAAAAAACCTTAGCAATCATGAGAAGTTGTGTTTAAAATACATGTAGACGCCTTTGCTACTGAAATAAATAATAATGGATAACTGCGTCAAAGAAAGCTCTGAGGATACTAATCTTCTTGCTGGAAAGACTGCTGTGAAGTGTATGCTTCCAAAGGTTGTCCTTCAAAGCATCTCATCATTGCCATTATCATCATCCACCGAATGCCTACAAGTCGCAGGACATTTATTTCGATAAGCCTGTCTTGTCTTTCAACTGTTTTCTTCTTTTTTTCTTACTGCAACGAAATTGTGAACCTTCATTTGTTTATAGGTAACAGACAAGACATTACTTGAGGAGGTCATGACCAGATCCACGAATGCCAAGAACGGTAGGATAAAGGATGACGTTTACATTTACATGGTGCTCGAATATGGAGAGATTGATTTAGCGAACATGCTTTCACTGAAGTGGAAGGATTTTGATAGATCCAATTGGAAGATGGATGAAAATTGGCTTCGGTTTTATTGGCAGGTATTTTTTAAGCCTCCCTGACTTGGTTTTGTTCTTTACTTGCTAAAGTTGGGGGAAACATAGTTTCTGAAATGTAGGCGTTGAAACAAAATTGCTCATTATATTATTTTCATTGACTTAATTCTGCTCGAGGCTCCAAAATTTGTGATTTTTTTCAATTTGAGTGGTCTTATAGAACCTCGAAGCCTTTGTGCTGAAAAAAACGTTTAAAATTGAACTGTGTTTATATAATTAAATCTTTTTATTTATTTATTCACCTAAAGAACATTTTGTGAGGAATCAACTTATGTAATTTTTTCCTGCGGTCCCTATTGTAACAGCCTTGTATTTTAAATTCAAGCTACATCCCTTTTTGGCTGGTATTCATTGTGGACTTTTATGTACATATTTTGGTTTCAACTAATTTATATGCCCGATAATCCCGGTCTATGTTGGATATTTCAAGCATCTACACAAAATTCTCACATAGTCAAGGATAGGCATAAGATCAATGGAAACCTTTTACAGATCTCTTCCCAAAGTGTTCTCCTGGACAATCTCTTTTGGGCAACTTTTCTCAACCGTAAGATAGAGGAGCAATCTCTATTGTCTCTTGGGAAACCTAAGAGGGACAAGTCAAGAATGAATGTTGTGTGCTTTCAGTGCGGTGCCCTGGGGCGTAGGTATATTGGTCCCAATGTTCCTAATCATATTGAGTTGTTGACCAGGAAAACACAAGTCACATGAAAACTTTCTCAATTTAAAGATGTACAATATGTCGGAAGGATTAATTTGTTGTTAAAGGGTGAAGTGATGACTTAATTTTTTTCTAGTGAAGATTGTAAACTTCATGTTTACTGAAGATACAGTGGACCATAAGATGTATAGCTTAGGTGTCCATTTATGTCAAGAGTTATGTGTTGATATTTATTCCAGGGATTAAAAACTAATAGCTGTGTAGGCAACCAGTCAAACAAGGAAGTTGCCTAGCTCGTTGCAAATCAACAATTTATGCTTCCCAAGTGAGGCCGTTCGTTTTGCAAATAGATCTTATAACTTAAATGTTTTTAAGTTTCTACATCTCATACTGCTTTATTTTTATCGAGAGATAATCTGATTCAGTGTTATGTATTATGAAAAACTCCACTTTTGGAGAATAAAAAATTCTTTGTCAGTACCTTTGGCAGTATGATTAGGAAAACTGTTTATTATGATTAAGTAGTCTTCTGTTGAGATTGTCATGGGGTCAACATGATTAAATGGTATGATTGTGACAGTTTTTTTGTTAATATTAGCTTCGTAGTACAATGTGTCAACTAGCCTTTTTATCAAAGGTAGATAGATGCGATGGTACTGTGAGGATGAGATGCTTTTTTATGTACTGAACAGTATGAGATAACAGCTTTTCTTCCTATTCCGCCTATTGCCTCATTGACATCTTGAAAACTACAGCCCTAACTAACATATTTTTCGAGCTGAAATGGCTGAATATTAGATACACAACATAGATGACCTACTCAATTATGTCGCCAAACGAATTTTTACACAAGCAGAAGTCATAAAGCCAGTGAGAATGGAATTTCAATACTTTTTAATCATCCTAATAATGGTTGAAGGAATTCTGTTCGTGTGTTGGCGGAGCAGAATACAGAATTACAAGAGCTATGATTTTTCCCGTAAACCCAGTGAGTTCCAGTGCGTAAAATGAAAGTTGTCTAGACATTGGAAAGGATATACACATTTTAGACGTCATGTACCATCAAATTTTCAACAAAGATCCAATCCATTGGCACAAAGTTTCCTCTTCTCCGAGCTTTCAACATCTCAATCTCGGTTCCAAAGTCATGCGTCTTTTAGTTGAGCTCTAATTGATTCATTCTGGTGTAGACATTCATAAAAAATGCAATATCCTATGTTAAAAAGATGAACAGGCGTAAAAATAGGAAGTAATAATGCGTGAAAAATCTTCTTTGGGGATGTTAATCCTCGAATTCCTATTGATAACAATGACATCATGTAATGTAGTGGGCTATTGAACGAACGGACTTCACCTTCATATTTTGTTGTCTTTCAGGGGATGACCAAAGGTGGGGAAAGATACAAATGAGCTCTCCGACATCAATACATAATTGATGAGAATCATGATCACCATTGTTATACATATTGTCTGCAGCTTGAGGAATCATAGGTAGACACTACTTGTGGAGCTGTTGACATGCTTCTTCAATTTTGGCATAGTTTGTTAATAAGAACTTAGGTACTTCAGACCCCAGACTCTGCCAGTGTCAATCATAACTTTAAGGAGGACTATATATAAGTTATTCTGGGTGCGGTGATTTCATTATTCTGATAATTCACTGTGAGGGTTTTGATTTCATCATTTGAGCTTAAATGGTACCCAAATTCATTAGTTATTTACATGGTACTCCAACCAATATCTGCAATTTTTGATGATGGGCAATGAGCATGATATGAATTTCATACTTGTTTTATCAAAAAAAAATCGTTTATTTAATTTTACAAAAAAAAAAATCAATTCGAGATAAACTGCAAGTTCTTGGATACCTGGCCTGACGTTAATTTTCAACATTCAGCAAATGCTTGAAGCTGTGAATACCATACACGAGGAGCGTATTGTGCACTCCGATTTGAAACCCGCCAACTTCCTGCTGGTCCGAGGTTCGCTGAAACTCATAGACTTCGGCATCGCCAAGGCCATCTCAAGTGATACGACGAACATTCAGCGTGATTCACAGGTTCATAACTTTGAATCCAAAACTTGTTCTTTCTTGTTTCAAAAGGCAGTTCAGCATCCTTCTTCCATCACTACTAAGAACTGCAGGTGGGCACGCTGAATTACATGTCCCCGGAGGCATACATGTGCAACGAGCACGATGCTGATGGGAACACCATCAAGTGCGGCCGGCCATCGGACATCTGGTCCCTCGGGTGCATTCTTTACCAGATGGTCTATGGGAAGACGCCGTTCGCAGATTACAAGACCGTCTGGGCCAAGTACAAGGTCGTCACCGACCGGAGCCACCGGATTGTGTACGAACCAGTCTCCAATCCATGGCTCATCGATCTGATGAAGAAATGTCTTGCGTGGGACCGCAACGAGAGGTGGCGGATACCTCAGCTGCTTCAGCACCCGTTTCTTCTTCCTCCGATACCAAGAGAGATGGATCTGAATCACGGGGATGCCTGGAAATCGCTGATCCAGAAGATTGAGACATATTCTCATGTGCCCGAAGTCTCCAGCCTACTCTCTCAGTTCCAGAAACTCATAACAGGTATGGAAGAAGGTTGAGAATCTCTGAATGCTTGCTTCCCTCTCCTGAGAAAGTGGTTGTGTGCCTTCCTTAGTGCTCTCAAGCCAATATGTGCTTGGGGAAGGATCGACCTTGACCTTGTTCTGTTGTACACAAGAAATGGGGGAACATTCTGGGTGGGTGCAATGGATGATTTCCCACTTGGATAGATGAGATTAGAAAGTATATCAGTGGATGATTAAGAATTGAGATGAAACAGGATTTCTTCATCTTGCCTGGCAGGAACTGACTCAGCCTCTGAAGAGTTGGATCCGGTCACATTTCTTTTTGGTTCTATATTATTTACTTTGCTCAATTCTAGGAGAAATTGATGCTCGTTATTTCTAGGATGTCCTGCCCTCCTCAACACTTCTACTGACTTCATAATTCACAGTGAATGTTTGAACATGGGTGAGTACTGATGGCCAATTTAGTCCTACGATTGTGGGTTTTGATCTCATCAGAGGTCAACGCAGTAATCTGTTTTCTGGATCATTTGCAAGGTCTGGGTCTCATGGAAGTCAAAAGGGTCAGCTTTGGACTTTGCAAGATCTGTCCCTGGTCCCAGTGATTTACGTCCAAATATTTATCTTTATTATGAAAAATGTTCAATAAATAAAACTGTAGTAACCGTAGAGGGGGGGAAATCTGAAAATCACATCACAAAGCTAGCATAAATGCAAATGCTTGAACACAGAAAAAGCATTTCCATTCCTTATTTGATGAATTCTCTCCATACCCAAATGTAAGAAAATATGAAGATAGGGGAACTCTGTTGCGGATTTGGTATTAGATTTAGCTTTATTATAAAGCACTAATCAACTAGGGCAGCTGTAAACGACTACAATCTGTTCAGATTTCATGCCACATTCAATTCTACATGTGTTTGTTTCATGCCACATTCAATCCTACATTCAATCTAGTCTTCATTTATAGAAAAAACTAAATATATAATTTAAAAATGAATTTACTGCATTTATCGTCAACTAAATTTTGGTTAGATAACATGGTGGGCTTATTCGTACTGTCCGTGAACAAAAGAATCTTCCATCATCCGATGATGTATTTTATAATAATCCTAAATTAATTAAGAAGGCCCACTAGTTAATACTAGTGAGATGATGGGTTTCATGGAGGATCTAGTGACAGATATTGTTAATTAAGGGACTGTTGCACCTCATTTTCATAAATTGCTAATTCTAGGAAATAATGAAATTATGGCACATTACATGTCTTTGGATAACTGTATTCACAAAATTTCACAGATAGTTTGACAACATTGAACAAGCTCAATCTGCTGACATAGTTGACTTTCCACAGAGAGCCTACTCTCCACAAAGAAACTCATAACCAAACACGTTTGTGACATGCCTTCTAAGCAGTTGACACCAGATAAGCAATCGAAATTTACCTGCCATTCAGTCGCACGCTGAGAGCCTGTAAGCAGCTTCCCGGCGTGCTTCTTGCAGGTTGCTCAGCAGCTCCCTCATGAATATTGTGTTCATCCCGTGAGTAATTCGAAGAATATCCACAGATTTTGTAAAGGATTTGAGAGCCGTCTCAGTATGCTCAAGCAGCCTGGAAATCGAAGAAGAGATGAGGATAGAAAGTAAACATGTAAGTAACTTTGGATTCAAGCACACCGATATAAATATAATTGGTTTCGAAATCATGCAGAAAGACATTTTTGCCCCCCACTAAACTATATTGCCTTGATAATAATATATGGACATATTTACCGGTTATCAAGTAGAATACGTAACACTAATTTAAGTCATGAAATAAATATATTATTTGCTGATTATGAAGAAAATGTAAACGATGATATATTAGGTGTAAGTGGATTCCTTGGCATAAAAAAGTCATTTAAATATTATCAAAGGGTAAAAGGGATAACCGAATCATATCTCTACCATTCTAACTTCCCACAGGTGTAATGCTGCAGTCCACAAAGAGGATGAATAGCTGGGTAAAGCCCTACAGCAATATAATAAAATACCATTATAAGACAATTAAAGAAACTTAATTATATCTCTTTCCATGAGAAGATACAAATATTTTCTTGCAAGAATTTCACTATATAGCAAGTACTTCAGGTCACCATTCTAAATGAAAATATTTCTAGCTTAGTTGTGATGTAAATCATTCATTAACTCAATAGCAAAGGATTATGACAAGATCAAAACTATTCATTAACTTGATAGCCGAACAACTATTATACTTTAAGAAATACATCTAGATACAAAAAAATGACAAAAAAGCCCCACCTTTCTGGCAAGTTAGTCGTTTAAAAATCATTTTCAAATCTTCATTGCGTCAACTACAGAAATACAGAATTAGGTTTCCAACGACTTCGATGGTCACCCCTGAACCATCTGATATTTTTGAACCCTGGTCTATCAGATAAGATTCAGGTTCCAGCACAGTATTTCAGAAACAGAATAAATTCCCCTTCAGGAAGATAGGTCTCTTGGACGTCTTCTCCAACTATAAATCCACGTTTACAAATGTATAGGGATTCGTGTCCAATAATTCCACAGCAAAGACGGAGTCCTGAATCCTAACTATGATTTTCCCTAAAAACTTTAATACTTAAACTGCATAACTTATTTAGATTCAATCTACAACCCCGTTTAAGCTATCAAAATTGGCCAAAAATATGTACAAGAAAGAGATATATCAATGCAATCTTTCGATATTCGAGAGAAATAAAAAGAATTCCTACCACTACTTTAGGGTTTGAAATTTAACGCATTTAAATTTAATGGCACAGTGGTTCAGAAGAGTTGTTTTGATATCCTATGAACTCGGACAATCTCCCCTAAGCCAACTCCTGTGTGCTCAGAAACATTAATCTGACCATCATATGGATAATGACTTGGTAGGTCTAGAACTGTGTCAGGTCAACAAGTCAGTCTGAGCTGACAAATCACGCTCGGAAACATTAATCAAAAGTATTCTCTTTATTTTATGTCAAAGACAATCAGATCCCCCGATAAACTGACAGCAATGTCCTTTGTTTTATTATGCAAGTTGCTTTGGTCTCGATACTTTGTCCTAGAATGTGCTGAGACGACCAGAGCACCAGCCCAAGGAAAAACTGTAGAACTTTTTGTGAATAGAGATACTACAGTTGGATGAAATAAGTCTTGACTGGCATAAACACTGGAATGTGAAGAGAAGATCGACCTACTTTCATATACAGAAATTGTTAATCGGCAATAGGTTAAAGCCTTGTTCCAGTCTTTGAGCTCCATATGTATCTGCAAAGACGGGGTGACGAATTATTGCCAACAGAAGAAAAGTAAATAAATTTGCATAGCTAACTATTACCACACAACCATATGCTTTATGGTTCTCATTAGACTATGACACAAACTACATACGTGTCAACGAGCATTTGACTCCTGCAGTGCAGCCCAATACATCCACATGATAGAGTTACTGTCCCGAATTCATGAGCCCATGTAAGTCCAATAATACATACGGGTCCTACTTCGCATCAATCTTGGAGGGAGGGAATAGAGAAGGGATTTTTTTTTAGGAAACAATTAAATGTATATCATATTTTTTTTATTTTTTTGGTAATCATTTTGAACAGCGTAATAAATAATTTTAATAGAGTACGTTCTGTTTATGACAATGTTCTGTCCCTTCTGAAATATGCTATTTCACACAGCACAAACTGCTGTCTTCAATCTTAAAAAAATAACTTTGTTAGCTTCAAAACGCAAACAATGAGAGTGTTTTCTTTTTGTTTTGAATAAACCATTGTGAAATTCAGAGGAAAAGATATCAACGCAGAAATAAAGGGAACTTACCTTAAGAAGACTTTCACGAGTTCTCAGCAAATCAATTGAAAATGAGTGGCACAGCTCAATTTGGTATTCCTCAATTTTCGTGAAGAACGTATTTGCTTCATAGTAATCTGATTCATAGTTAAATTTCGTTCTATCATCTTAGAACGAAAAAAAAGTCGCACCGAACGTTCAGTTCAGCTGAAATTGAGTTTCAACAAGATTGCAGATCATATTCATGAATCCAAAGGATTGATTGACATTTTAACACCTTCGTAAATTTGAAAGTGGTTTCTTTACACAAAGAAAACTACGTCAATTGAAAATTCTGAGTATTGCATAGAAGAGATTGAATAAATGCGATATAGATGGGTTATTATGTAGAAAAAAGTAGACTGAAAAAAAAATACATAGCATGCACCTTATGTGTCACTCTGAAACTGAACTTTTGAATTACATTTTACCGACAAAAAAATAAAATGACATGTGTACAAGTCGACCTCATTTTCTGTAGGATACTGTTAGATGACAGAGACCTGGAAGCCTTGTCTACGAGAACTTTTGTTTCTTTTTCAAGCTTCTTTATTTCTTGATTATCTCTGGAAAGACCACACAGCTGGCAAATGAAAACCCTGTTTCCTGAACAGAAAAACCACCACAAGACTTCCAAGACAATAAGTAGAATATAAATTGCTGTAAAAATCAGAGAATAACACACAAAAGCCTTGCTTAAGCCTCTGCTTGAGTCATACCGGAATCATAAAGCAAGAAACCATCGCATGTCCTATCCTTGCAACAGTAACCTTCTAAGACAGCACTTGCTTTGACGTCCTCGTCATGGTTCTTTTTCATAGGAAAGCAGAATCAGACCATAGATATCAGAAAAGCTAGAGAGAAAACTGTTGCAAAGATTGGTTTAAACTACAAGTAGATAATTTGGCATTTCGCCTACCACCTTCACACACGCAGTGCATCCGCATGTAAAAAAGTATTGTTCGTTCAAGTCCTTCTGGCGTTTCCTAGTCGTTGCAGCAGTATCTATGTAGCTTATTGATACCTTGAAACCAGAAGGAAAAATAGAATTGGAGAATAACGTTCAAATTAATCAGTTGAAAACGTGGCTAGAAACACCAATCAAAATTCGCAGCTGCAGGCAATATGAACTATAAACTAATGAATTACCTCAGTACCTTTTACTATAGGCTCTATAGCACGGACCACTGCCACCCTGCCTTCAAATACTAGAACCGCATTGGGCAGGCAACTGCAATGTACAATTTTTTAGTACCGACAATAATAGAGCTCTTTTCATCAATAATAAAATAATAATTCCAACAAAAATGGAAAAAATAATAATAAGAATACGAAGAGAACAATAACCTGTGGTTAATAATAGATATAACAGGATATAGTCCAGTCCCCAGGGGCTTTAGTTCACTATCACAAATGGTGTGAGCATTGCATGCTAGCTACGGATGCAGATCAGAATGTCAATAGATCAGCAATTCATCAGGAAATAAGGTAGATACCACAAATATATTAAAATGATAAAAAAGGCACAAAAATTACATTTTTAGAATACAAACAATATAAGAGATTATGATTTGAATACCTTGGAAAATATTTCTGTAACCTCTTTTATGTTGATCTCCAATTCAGGAAGTACCAAATTGACGAGGTTTGCAATCTGGGCGTAGAGTACTAGCTGTTTCTCATGAAGATCAGACATATCTTGGTGCGAACAAATTAATTAAACAATAACGATGTAGTTCATGAGAAATGCAAAAGGCATTGGAGGAAAAAATGGCATATGTTTGGATACGAGAAACCAGTGCTTCCACCAAGTCATAGCTATCTGTTGCTGTGCTGTGGATTACCTAACAATTGAAAATATAACATTTAAAAAAAAAAGATGTTTCAGGATAAAAGACGTACTACATTTATAGTATACCACGTATGAACTCATCTTTCTTGCATGTATCTTGCTCCTGTCAGAAAATACAACACCCACTTCTTCATGGACATCACAATTTTACACCCACTTGTCCTTTTGACCCTCCTAATGGTGGAAAACCAGGAGTGAATTTAGTGATTTGCTAATCCTACTTTGACATTTTGTTAATGAGCTTCTCTTTAGTTATTTTAGCTAGGTTTCCGGGAGCTCCATTTTTCTTGACTTATTGATTATTTGTATGAAATAGGATCTAATATATCTACGGAGTGACGAGGTAGTATCCACCGATTTTTCCTTATAGAATTTCGCATTCTCCATTCCAAAAAAACCTACATCCATGCCCAAGAAATACAAGCTCAAATACTATCTAGAGGAAAAAAATTCTGATTGCAAATGGGATGTGCATCCAGTCATAATATAATAAGCGAAGTTTCACGTCAAGGGGAGTACAATGCCAGATAACTTCCACAGAAAAACATGACAAGCAACGGACAGAAACACAAGGAGAAAACAGCCCAGTAAAAGAAACCATCACGAAAGACGCTGATTACAAAAGAAAAAACATCTCCCTTAAAAGACTTCTGAAAGAATACATAGCGGGATTTAAGGTCCATAAATATACAAATTCAACTACCTTATCTTTCTGGAGTTTTCTCTTCAGTAACAGTCTCAACATTAGACATATTGATGGCGTCAACATCTTCCTTCTCTCGTTGTTAAGTTTTGAAAGAGCTTTGCACTCGAGTTGATGTAACTTCCATTCTGATTTCTGATAATAGTTATCATCCAATGTATTACAGAATTATGTCGAAAAAAATGAAAAATAATAGCCAACTGTATTTTCGAAGAGGAGAGTCATAGTTTCAAGTAGCAAATGATAAATGAGGGGGGGGGGGGAAGTATCCATGAAGTTTACCCTAAATCTTAAAAGGAAAAGAAGGAATACATGTAATACGAAATTATCAACATTGTGAAGGGCTGCCAATTTAAAAAATGCAAAAAATTGCAAGGCTAGCATGTCCGTAACCCTAGTCATCTGTCATCAAACAGATAAAGGCCCATGAATCACTAGTTAAATCAGTAGTCCTGATCATATAAACAACTATCGAAATATCTAAAACGAGGACAAAATATGTCTCATTCGAAGCATTTTAATCAATTGAAGAAAGCGATAATGCAATACAATTTTTTACTCTAGTCTCATCTATCCGAATTTTACACCAAGATTCAAGCCTTCCTCGATCTTCCCTAACGTTTAAAGTGCTCTAACTAGAGGCAGTTGTAGCTGGTGTTGAATTTTGATATTAAGCATCTATGTGCTCTATTCCAAAGCTTCTATTCTGCTCCTATAGTCACTACATAACGAACATTTCATCTCCATTTCGTTTAATTAATCCATGCGCTGTAGTTATTACTTAACATTCCATGGCAGAAAGACAGCGGCTATTCTGGCTATCACCAGTGACTTACCATTTATCCAGAGAAGAAGTTGAAATATAAAAAAAATTGTGAGCGCCAGAGAAGCAATCAAAAGCATGTGAGATCGTTTATATAGTCTAATTCTTTGACAGAACTGTCTTCTATTTGGGATACAGCAAATAACAGAGAACTGTGAAGGAGAGTGACGAGGTAAGAGTATTTGAATATTAAGGCATTGGACGCTGGTGCATATACATTGACCTACGGAGTCAGAGAATCGTCCATGCAACCATCAAAACAGTATCATGGTCAAAAGGAGAAGAAAAATGTGACTATTAATCACGCGTGAAGCAGGGGCATGCTCTGCTACAAGACACATTTCTGTGGAGAAAAGGGTATATTTATGGTGCAGCAATTAGAAGAAATGAATGATCTACATTAACACTCCAATCATGATTTCACGGGAAATATAAGTCAAACGGTATGTTTTATTTTTTATGAATTCTTATGCCACCATGAAAACCTAGGTACATCTTGTTTGGAAGAGTACTGGAGCAGCCATTAAAAAACAATTTAGATAAACAAGAAATCGGAAGATGTGATAGAAGCTTAACGAGTATTTGCTTGACTAGTGAGTTACGCAAGAAGCTAGTTTGTAGTTAGGTTGCTCATTGATCTTCCATCCTAATCACCATCATATCTCCTACGGAATTTTTTTCAAAGCTTTTATGAGGCTTGAACGTTAAACTTATGTGCGCTATTCATTGAATAATTGACTGGTCCCACTTACCATCATGATGTGCAAGTGTGGGTCGCATCCCATTACAACAAGTTATATAGATCATAACCTGTGTGCCTAAACCCTAAGGGATATTATGGGGTACTCACCAAGATGTGTTCTTAAAGTATTATCATTTAAAAAATATTCCTTATCATTAGCTTGGAAGAAAAATTCGTGTAAACATACTAAAATCTTATGGAAATCATTACACACATAGTTGCTAGACGTTTGATGGTCATCAGTATGAGAGCAAACATTGAACAGACTACAAGCTGCAGCCGCCGCTTTCAAATGATGCCCAACTGAGGTAGATAGAATGAGTTGTCATACATAATAAGATTGTGATAAGGTTATGTTAAATTTGGGTTTACATTGTCACTGTAAATAATGCCAAATGCATCATTCTTTACAGAACTGAGGTTTGACCTATTAATTATAAGAAAATATTTTGATGATATTACATGATATACAATGCGTATTAGTATCTGTGATATGTAATATGTGACATGATTATAATGCTAGTATGTGAATATTATTTCTATGATTTATAACGCTTGCATGTGATATAAATGCAGATGATTATGCTTCTGATGCCATTTTTGACTTAAAATAACACGATGTTTTATTAATTTCAAATAAGATCATTCACAAGTATGATTTTTTATGCGTTATGTATACATGACGTGATCAGATGACTTGAAAGATTATTCCACAGAATATTACAATTGAGTGGTAATGGTCGAGCTCTATAAAGCCAGAAACCCCCGTGAAGGAGAGACAACCTACTTTTGTATGTGCATATCAGCAGCTGAAGCGTGAAGAACTAACTATGGAACTTCAGTCATCTGATTTAGCTATATATTTGTGTTTCCCTTTCATTGAACGATAGGGCAGGCATTACAGTGAGCAGAATTTATGCCGATGTGATGAGAAAAAAGAAAGAAACGACTACTAAGATTTCAGGAACCAATACCTGGCATGAGCTTCCACAGTACCATGCCATCTGGCATGCGGAACACCTTTTAAGATTATGCAAGGCAAAACATCCATCACAACTTGAGCCATTGGAAGAAAACTTTGGTTTGGAGGCATAAGGCTCTTGTTGAATGACAACCTCTCCTGTCGCACAAACTCCAACAGTTCAGGATGAAAGAAAAGAGAGTAACAACGTTTGGTTTGGAAATGCCGCTATTCACCTAGAATCATCACGTTTCACTGAGAGCACAGAACAGAAGCAACAGGAGATAGTTTTCGATTCTACACCAATATACTTTTCATCGGATTACATACTTTTGGATTATATACAATGCTAACAAAAAAAAACCTCAAAAAAAAAGGTTTAGGAAACTTTACTGATAGCTTTATAGAGATGAAGAGTAAAGGACATTTTGATCAAAAAGGAGGTCGGGATGCAACATATTTTCGAGTTATGAAACTGAAAAGAAGAGTTTGAAAGCATAAGAAGCTTGTTACACATATTGAAAAAGACACTGATTGCGATGCATATTATTTAAAGTATCCTTATCAATAACAGGAAAAAACAACACTTAAACACCCCTTTCCCAGATCGTCACCGAGCATGTGAACCAGAAGAAAACAATGGAAAGTATAAGGGGCAGAGAGAAAAAGAGCGGGGGGAAGACCTCCCCCGGTTTCCAGCAACTGCGAGGCCGAGGGGCGATTTAGAAACCAACCTAACCCGTAAAATAGAAAACAGCGACGGAAAAACTCTGCAGGCACAAATAAGGAGGACCGGAGACGGACCTGGGGAGAAGTCGCGGAGGGTGATAAGGCCACGCCCTTTGTCCGGCATTTTTACGACGGCGAGGCCGCAGGGAGCGAGAGCGGCCCCAAGCCTCTCCTCCATCAATCACGTACGCTCTGGAAAGCACAAACACGGAGCGCGAAGGGAAGCAGAAGACCGTTTCGCCTTCGTCCTCCGTTCCCCTGGACGACAACGCTTCCCCCTCTTCCGCAGTAGGCGAGGCCTCGACCTCAGCTAGAGGACTTCAACGACACCCGTTGTGAGCAAGCCTACGCAGTTCAGAAATACTCCAACGATGCCGCAGGTTTCTCATGTTTTCAATATTTTATGTAATAAAATTTTACACTTTATATTATTTAAAATTAAAAATTTAGTTAAAAAATGGATTCCAACACAAAATATCTAAAAATATATGGAAAAATAGTTTGCCTATTTTTATTTTTTAAATGGCGGTTATTAAATAATAAAAAATAAAAAAAATTGGGACACGATATATTTTTAGTTTTATTTAATTTTTCAAATGGACAAGTAGTTGGTCACCCTCTCAACTACACACGTTGATTGCTCACAAGATTCCCATTAACACACCAAATTACAGCCAAGGACCTTGATGTAAGGCCACTTTCAAACAAGAGGTAAGAAAGTTTTTGACCCATGTGACCTAAAACTGATGGGCCATATGTTCTCGAAGCTTAAAAGCTGAGCTACAAGAAATAGATGGCATAAAATCAGATTATCTATGATAAAACATGTGATAAATGCATCAAAGATTATTATTATTATTATTATTATTAATTTTGTATTTTTTAATTTTATGCAAAACCTGACCCTCATTTTTAGTCAGTGCAAGTTTTTCGATCAAGTTCCTCTCTCTTTTCTTATGGATTTGATAAGCCCCTAGTGAGTCAGATGTACCTATCATGAGGACCAAAATGGCATGACAATCCCCTATCATGAGGACTAAGTTGACTATTAGGACTGGGATTGAAGGATCGATGGGGGCATCAAGTATTTTGGAGAACGTTGAATGGTGAAGGCGAGTCATGATTTACTAAAATGATCACTTCGAGATTTAGGATTTTATTTTAATATCTCTTTCCTTTTGTTTTCGTCTTCTTTGTTTCTTGTTGACCTATCAAGATGGTGTTTCTAATAATCTGATATAAGATTGATGTTTGAGGATGACAAAACCTTATGATGAAAAACTTGAATTCCTAAGAGGGAAGATAGAGGAACTAGAAGGAGAGATATGAAGATTGTTTAATATTATGACAAATTGTAAAAACTATTGTGTTGATGCCTTTACTTTTAATTCTACAATTAAAGAATTAATTATTAATTATTTATATAATATTTAATGAATTTCATGATCACTTTTATTATAAGTTTAATATTTTAAAAAATTACTCAACATGTATAATGATGATGTTCATGTGATCTTATAGTTAACAAATGAATAGGAGAAGTCATTCTCTATGAGATTTGATAGAGTTCATATTTAAGTAAATGAAATCAAGTGACAATATATATAATAAAATATTTAAAAAAAAATCTAAATATTAGAGTCACCAGCAATATTTGAACTTAGAACTTAAACGACAAGACAATGAGTTGGAAGCCTCATCAAGAAAAACACATAGAATGTTATAGAATGTTAAGTTAGGTGCAAGTCAAACTCAAAAGTTGAACAATAACAAGTTAGAAACCTCAGTGAAGTATATGGAAAATCATGATATTAATTTTTTTAATAAAACTCAAAATTCATAATTTGTACATTAACATATTAAAAATGTTTGCAAGAAGCTATCTAAAAATCATGAAAGAGAAGAGATCATTGCCATGCATTTTGGATGATAACATGTCGACATAATAAGTGGAGTTTTAACAATAGATTAAACGAATTTATTTAAGCTTGACCCCAACATTGAAGATGTTTATTGATGAGATATAAATCTTCAGACAAAGTTTCAAATACAATAAATGTGAGAATTACGAGTTCTTAAGTGAGATACAAACCAAAGTCATTGACACATATTTTGGGCAATTGAGAGAATTTTGAATTCCTATAATTATTTTTAAGGATATAAAAAGATTGGAGAATATCAAAAAATAAAAAGAGAAAAAAAAGTAAAGAAGAAAACCCAATGAATGAACCAACAAAGACTCCAACAACTATTTACACTATAGTAAATATCATTCTTCAACGATCAAGATTCAGCTACTATGAACTTCAAGAGATAATCAAAGGTTACATCAATTCTTTCATAATTTCACCTTTTCAGAACCACTTCTAATTTATAATCATTAATTTTATACTATATAACACCATTATATCAATTAGGTACAAACTCCAAGCCTAGAGATTATTCTTGAGATAAGTCACAACAAGTCAAATCTTAATTCTTGAACACTCCTTTAATTAGTCAATAGTGAGACGAGGGCTTTACTCATCTGTGTGTGTGCGTGTGTGCGAGAGAGAGAGAGAGAGAGAGAGAGAGAGAGAGAGAGTTGACTACATGTGGCCGGCATATTAAGACTGGCCATCACAATGAGGCTAGTACAAGAAGACCTCCATTGTCCCTACCATCTTTTCTCATGCTTGGAGTTAGGTGTCCCCTCTATAGATTGGCCACGTTTCACTGAGGAGCAATTGCTCGTCTTCCCCTCCTGCATTGAGAGGCTCCAGGCGAACATGAGGGAGGGAGGGATAGAGAGAGAAAGAGAGAATAAAATGATGTTCAGTTATTCAAAAGATTATAGCGGCTGCTTAAGTAAAGGAAATTCATTGGCATCTTATTCACGTTCTCAATTACATGGAACAAAAATGCCCTTAATTTTTCCGTTCAAAATCATTTTCTTCAATGCCTTGTCCGCTTGGATCCTGTCTGGGCACGCTCAACGGAGTCAACGCCCTCTTTCTGCCTCACCAGGCATCCAAACCTGGAAACAGAAGCAATGGCAGTCAACCCATATGAATGAGATACATAAAACCGAATAACACAAGCACTTTTGACCTCTCTCTGCATAGCGTTTGAATATCTGATCTCTCGGTTGTTTTCAATCGGATTATCTGCTCACCAGGGGATCTCCAATGGGCGCCACCAAATAAAGCTGGGGGCCACTCGTAGCAGCTGCCGTTAGAAAGACCCTCATCCCTGTAAGAATCTAGGGTTCATCAAGAAGAACCCTAACTCGCAATCGATTCGACCGGGTTCTGCTCGGCCCAGACGCCCGCATCCAGATACCCGAGCTCGAACAGTTCGTCGAGAATATGGTCATCTGCAGGCTCCAGAGCCCAGCTGAACAGCTGGAATGGTCCGCAAAAGAAGATCAGTATAATGAGAATATTAGCCTCCACAAAGATTAAATGGCTGTCTCTAGAGGGGACTTTCTTCTTCGTACCTGCCGAGGGCTTGCCCTGTCTGCGGGATTGCAATCTGGGCTTATGCCAATACCTGTCAGCCCCAGTCTAGATGCCGGGAAGGCACAAATTCTGACCTGCAATGTGAAGCCAGAGCCGCGTCAAGAGAGATCATTTAGAACATTGACCTCAACGCTCCAAAAGAACCACCAAATGGTTGATCGGGTTGAGGAAATTAGTAGTCTATCGGATTTTTGACCGAATTTTTCAAGTTACTCTGGTGGTAAAAAAAATGATTTTTTTACTGCCTTTTTAAAAAGGCTTCTCTCTAGACGAGATGCAGCCAAGAACAGCTTCCAACTGTGAAAAAACCAGGTCACTGAACTCAAAAATCGATTAAGAATAAGGAAGAAAAATCGCATTATGATTTAGATTTGTTATTTTCAGTCTCTGCCACATGAACAACACAGGGGAGTATGTAATAGTTACAAAGTTCATCTCTGTTGAACCACGCCTGTCTAAGACCTTACCCAAACCACAGTCCCCTACTAGGTCAAATCAGGTAGAGATCTTATAATCTAATTGGTCAGTCATGTTCAGGTCAATCCAACGAGATTTGGCCGATCTCAGGGTGATTCAGTCCACTAAGTCAGGCTAGTCAAACCGAATCTGGGGGTTATTTTTGCTCTAGAAATAAGGGTAACTGCTATAATTGGGTAAAAAAGTGAACACCTGAATCAGAGATTAAACAAAAAGGAGAACCAAATTCCTAGTGAATTTCCTCGCTGTGATCACAAATCTACCCACTTGATGCCCATAAAAATTTCCATAAGTACGGCAAGGGTGAATGTGCTTTTAAAGAATGAGAAGATATGCGAACCGTGGCTGAAGCAGATGTTGGGGGCATGAATAATGTCAAGCCTCCGTCTATGCAGAGTCGATTACGGAAAAGAGTTGCTGGCCTTGGAGCCAAGTACCTGAAAAAAGTAACGATTTGGAACAATGTTTTAACTTGATGTGCATCAACAAATAGATGAAGCAAATGATGATTCAAAAACAGAAAATAATAAGAAACTTGAAGGATCCAGACCCCGGAATAAATGATGACGTCAAGACTGCGTTTATAAGATCTTCCTTGGAATCGAACTGGTCAACAAGCAAACCCTTTGGTCTCCAAAGTAATTGAGTTACAGCAACTGAAACAGCCAGAAGGACAAAAAAACATGAAACAGCAGATATTTCCTCTCACCGATATGGGAACCATAAATATTATTGAGGGACTATAATGCAAAACATTAAGAGAAATATAAACCTTATAGGTAGAGAAACAAGTTTAAAAGAACATAGGATTCTGAAATCGGAAAAAGTGAAAAAACAAATGAGGACCAGAATATCTCGGTTGCGCAGGATGCCACTTATGATAGCTTGCATGAGGGATGTCAAACTGAAAAGGAGAGGTAGTGACCCTTTCATCGTCCATGGCTGGAGAGAACATAAGACTAGTCTGTCAACCTCCAAGGCCACCCACCACTGCCTCTACCGTGGTGCAGCTTAGGAGAGGAAAGAGTTAGGTTTTCCGTTTACTTTTTCTAGAAACCATACCATGAGTTTTCTTAGACACATGGCAAGGATGAACTTGCATGAGATGGAAGAACAATAATGTCTTGGATGCCCTAGCTTCTTCTTCAATGTCTCACAAAAGAATCGTGAAAACTTGTTATCCACTCATCCCTCAACGAAAATGAATCCTTTCATCAACCAAGAATGGGTTTCTGAAATAAGTTTTCACCAACCAGTGCCTCCATCAGAGAGATAATTCCAATGCAACTATAACAGATACCTTTATCTTGTTCATATAATCACGCAACAAATCCCACCAACTTCAATACTCTGTCATAAAAGCTACAGTATTGATTTCTTTTCATGTGCCTCGCCCTTCTGATTGAATTTCTAGTTTCCAACAATTAAGCCTCTTCGGTTACAAGCTAAATTCCTAAGACTCAGATCTTATATGTAAGGCTTCCACCTCCTTCATGTGTTCACAATCTTATTGAAGAGAATCCCTTTTGTACCATCTTGCATCATTTCACTTCAAACTATTTCACCAATCAGCAGAAGCTGTAAAAAAAATAGCCCTTGGCTGTCATTTCTCGTCCCAACCAGAAAACCGAGTTTAAACAGAGTTTAGAACTCCTTCCCAACTCAGCTCATCCATTAGAACTCTTTTTTACGTAAACGATAAAAGAAGATTACAAATGGCTTAATAAGTTACTCAAAGCCAAGTTTTATGTAACTTTAGTATATATTCGAACCGTTACCCAATGTCGCAGTTACTTGGTCTTTCCAACAAATTCATAGTGAAATATTGCCAGCCAAGACGCACAATTTTCAGTAGACACAAAAAATAAATAAAAGGCAAGGGAAGCAATATTGCATGCAGCATAAGCATGATAGGAAAAGTGACAGAACAAAGGTCAAGAAGACATGACCAGGAAGAGTATTACATACACCATAGACATCATGGTTACACTGCACTTTAGTCACACAAGTATCATGCACAGAAATTTGGGGAAATCGGAAAATGTTCTGATAAAGTAAAGCACTTCACTTTATGTTAGTTGGAAATTTCAAAACAGCAATGGGGCAAAAGCATAATCCCATCACTGTTTAATAAAACTAACGTCAAGGGAATTGAGCTCACCACGGATTCTTCCGTTGGACCTAATATGAACATCATCAGGCAGAAACTCTTCAAGGACATCTCTGAGAACAGCCTAAAAACAAAAAAAAAAATCAAGTTAAATATCAAATAAAAATAACAGATTAAAACTCTTTTATCAAAGATCCATTGATTATTAAAGTTACACATGCTGTTGGAAACTTCGGAATGATGTTTCAACTTCATGCTTACCAAAACAAAAAAGGTCATCCAAACCATATTCAAGTTGCGTCCTTCTGTATCTTCTCTATGCAATAACAATTTTATGTCAAAAGATAACTCCTACTTCATAGCAGTAGACAGCTAAAAGGAAGATCATGCTAATTCAAATAAAATGGTAAACACCGTGATGTCATATATTTAGGTTCCAGCCTGAACTTTTGAGGGAGATACTAGATTTAATTAGATATCTTGTCGAATTAAGAAATAATAAGAGCTAAAAGTATTTTTTATAATGAAGATTATAGTTGTTCCCTCCAGATTGATGTACGCTGGCTTTTCCTCCAGCTACAGATGTCCTTCCAACGTACACTTCGCTAGTGACTAAGCAAAAGTTGGAAAACGTTCCATATTCGAAAAAAAAGTTAATTGGCATCTCATAACTTTTTTTAAACAAGAGAGATTGATGTCGAGGGAAATTTCAAGAATTGTGAAAAGCCCAACTGTGCAACCAAAATGGCCTAAAAGACCCCTCATAAAGACCAGAAATCGTAAAACATGGAAGACTCAACTAAGACTTGTATAAATAGACCAATAGTCCAGACATGTTAGGCTCAGTATCTTGGTTGTTTAACTGTAATCTGTTCGTAGATCCCTTATCATACCCTAATCTTTTAGGAACTAAAACTACATCGCCCGCCCATTTAAAGAGACACGCCATGTAGAAGAGAGAACTTATGCACCATTATTAAAAAAATTCAATTCTATTTTTAGGTTAAAGCCATTTTTATTTGGCTCCCACTGCGTCAATTGACATCAAAGCAAGCTCTGACTTCAAGACTCACTCTTGTGAAGATGCCTTGTGTACATGGAGAAACTTCTGCCAATGACATCACGCAAGTAGGCACTCTTCTGAGAGCTGATCATTTTGAGTTTAAAAATAGATGCATTAGGTGCTGTAGCAACGTTTTTCTAAGATGATTTCAATTGAAATCAAGTGCGATCCAGACATGGATACCAACGACAATGACCAAAAATGTCATGGTTTTGACTGTATCTCACATTGGTAGTCAGTGAGTAACAAGAATTCCATAAATATAAATAACCATTCCTTATTCACATATGAAAATAATGTAATAATCTTTGTTAATGAAAATTCAATGACTTTAAAATGTACATCAGCTTACCCAGTTTTTTGGGTAATCTTTAAATTGAGGAGGTTTTAAAAGTATAATGATTGCCCAAATCTATGAGAATCGTGAAGGAAAATCAAGTTAAAATCGTTTACATACAAGTTGAAAGGTGTTACGTTGACTTGATAGGTGTAACTACAAGACACCTGTGAGAGCAGGAAAAGAGCCAACATGTATGTGAATAAAAATATAAAAAATAACTAAATCTTTATCTCTACTACTTGATTGTGAACATATTTGATATCAACCACTTTAGAATTGTAAGAACGGGGCTAAATCTGTTATAGATTACGCAACCATTCAGATGGGATATTGAAAGGAAGGCAGCGCTACAACCCTTTATTAATTTTCCATATGTCATGATATTATTGTCTCGGTGATTTGAAAAATCAGCAGAAAAGGTAGATGTCATGCAAACAACAAACTCTTACTGAAAAACAAGGCATCCATACCCCAAGGCGAAATGCTGTCCCTTTTATCCGGCAATCTTCTGCCAGTATCTTTGTAAATTTTAAGGCATCTTGCATGGAGCTTCCGGAGGCGATTACTGCACAAACTATTGCGCCAGCTGATGAACCCGCCAATGGTGTTGTTTCCTGAGACACAGAGGAAATTAAAGTTAGACAGTAGTGGAGGATCATGTCAATGAGCAATGATCAGTGCTGAATGGGACCATCGCCCATCAGCTTGAAAGATGCAAGGGATCAATTAGCGATAATTAACAAAGAGAAATATAGGATAATTCGCCATAATTTAAGGTAAGCTTTCCTCTGAAAGTGCAGGCCAGTTAATAGAGAGGTCCACAATGAAGGCATGCTCTTATCACCTTGATATAGCCTTTTTCCAGAAGAAACTGGGAGACACCTAGATGGTAAGGAAAGAGGAGACCAGCCGCGGAGAAGCTAAACCCGGGGCTTGTCACCTTCCGCTTCTTCTCAGCCTCCACATCCGCTAAACGCTGCTCCCAGATCACCTCCTGAGCTGCAATATCCTCGACAGGCTTGTCCGTCGGAGCTATCTCTTCCTCCCTTGTTAGAACCGGGGAGACCCTGGCGGTCCTCTTGATTAGAAGCGACGAGAGGCCGAGGAAGAGCTCTCCTGTGGCGACAGCGAAGGACTTGTTCTCGGAGACAGACGGCAATGGCAAGGGCCCTCGCCCGACTTCTTCACGCTCTGCCCGGGCACATAACACGACGCCCCTCGGCCGCGAAGGGCCGAGCACCCGTCCTGACGAAGGCAAGAGGGTACAGAGGCTCGACATGAGAAGGCGCGGCGAGGGAGGCGCCCGCAAAAGCGGCGACAACGCCGTCGGCCTCCCGAGGGGTAATAGCATCATTCCCTCACCCCTCTTCCTCCAATCAGTTTGGTCTACTCCTTCCCTCTACCAAAATTTAGAATTCAAACCCTAAAAATCGCCCAGACCTCGAGATCACTCCGACGGCTTCCAGGATCGAAAACACAACACAAAATTCAGAGCCAGAGAAATCGAAATGGATGGCAGGAAACTGAGAAGGCGGCGCGTCGAGCAGAGGCTCTGCGGCTCGGCCGTTCACTCTGCAAACGCCGCTGCTTCTGCCTGGTCAAAGCGAACTAACCAGTCCACCTTCATGATTTCGCCTCCTCATCTTCAACTGCCGCGGCTACGACGTGCCGTGCTCAACGCTCGCCCATCTGCATGACCGGAATCCTCGGCGCAGAAGACGACGCGTCGCATGGCGGGGGCAACCGCCAACGGGTCTGCCACGTCATCTGGTGACTGGATATTAAGATCATTTTTAAAACAACTTTGATTTTCAAAATGATTTAAAGAAAATTAAATTCAGATATATGCGACGGTCACCGAGGCCTGCTTCGGATCATTGAGACCCGACTAGGATCCATAAAGAAAAAGGGATAAAATAATAATTGTGTGAAATATTTGCCCTAGTAGAGCAATCCGACGAGGACATATGTAAAAATAAGCCATTTTAATTAAAAGGGCGTATTTGTAAATTATCATGAAATGGAGGTTAATTGATGAACGGATGGGAGATTTATCTTTACTCCATGCCAGCATATTACGGTATGGTCCTTGAATTCGTACATAATGTCGTTATTCAACCAAAAAAAAATGTCTTAAACTTCCCATAGAGGTCACCGGGGCTCGCCAACCGTCTAATCTGGTCCGGCCGGTCCGTCCCGGTCCGGTCCGGTCCGTTGAGCCGCATTAGATGCCGCCTTCTGTGAGACGGTGGTGTAGAAGGTCTAAACAAAAAGTATTTTTCTAATTCGCATAAATTATCATTTTAAAACAAATTAAACATTACAAGGGGCCCCCAGTTCATCATTGTTTCGAGCCCGGAAACAGAGAAAAGTCAACAGTCCAGCCGTTAGAGAGAGGGCGAGAGAGTGAGAAAGAGAGGGGGGAGCTCAGTTACCCAGCAAAACGATATTTTTTTCTCTTCCTGTTTGACCGGAACGTACGTGGGCGACCCCGAACTCCCGGAGAATCTAATCTGATCTATCGAGCGACAGAGAGACCAAATGGCGTGGAAAAAGCGGAGACCGGGGGGGTCAAGGCGATGAATGTGGTGGTTGACTTCTCGTGCCTCTGCCCGCTGTCTGTGACCACTGTCGAACTCCGCTCCTCTCTCCTCCGTGAGTTAATTTAAGAGCACACACAGTAGCTACGTAGGTCCGCAGGGACCCCCCAGATTTACAAGTTAGAGAGAGAACCTGAGAGAGAAAGAGAGAGCTATGGCCATCACGAGGAGGGCCGCCCCAATTAAGGGAGGCCTAGAGAGGGGCTACGCCGTGGAGGGTAGCAGTAGCCGGGTCACGGGCGGCACGGGAGGCAGCTGCCGCTGCAGGGCTCCGCCGGGCAGCGGTCCCCGGCGGCGGAATGTACCGCCGCAACGGTAGAGTGAGAGAAGAGAGAGAAATAGAGAGAGAGAGAGAGAGAGGGTGTGGATTCTTTTAAAAGTAAAGCAGAGGGGAGGGGGGGAGGGGGAGAAGGGGGCGGTCTGACAAGGACTTTGACCTGTGTGGGAACGACAACCAATATGCTCCGGCGTGCTCCCATAATGGGCATCGCCTCCGAGAAGCCGTCCCGTCAAACGCCGCCACGTGTTCAGAGCCCCGCCACCAGCGGTCAAAAGAGGGTCAGACCCTCCTTCCCATCCCCTACAGACGTACTCTTTTCCACTTTCCGTCATATGCTCCCTCTCACCTTCTCTCTCTGCCACCTAGAGAGAGAAAGATAGAGAGAGGGACAGAATGCCAAAGGGAAGAGCGGACAACGTGAGGAACAAGGCAAGCAAGAGATCCAAGCCGCATCTTCGTTGTTCTTACTGCATCCTCTCCGGCCGCAGTGCACCACCACCTTTCTCCCCTTTTAATGAGATCACAACACGCCCCCACTCACCCCTCTCTCCCTCTCCCTCTCTCTCTCTCTCTCTCTCTCTCTTCGGAACCGGCTCGTCCCCTTCCTCCCCTGTTGAATTCTGCAAGATGAGACTGAAGCACCTGCATCATAACCAATGACAAGAAGCTGTATGATTTCTTCCAAGAGACAAAATCCTTGCTTTCTCTCTCTCTCTCTCTCTCTCTCTCTAACCCCATTATATAAACAAGGCCGCTCTGTATCCCTCCCTCTTCCTGTACATCAAATGAGACCTCCCTCTTTCCCGGCGGCCATTGAAGATTCCGCCGCCCGACTCCTCGTCCGGCCTGGTGAGCCTGAACCCACAAAGAATGGTGTAAAAAAGAAAAAAGGAGAAAGGATAGAATGTGCAGAGGCTTAACGAAAATGAGACAGCCAGCCTTCTTGCTTCGGAACCGCCGCCGCCGCCACCACTCGCCGCCGGCGAGGTGGCTTTCTCTCTCTCTATCTCTGTTTTATCCATCTTCCACGAAGGTTCTTCTGACGAAGTCACGGAATCTCTTCGAGTAGAGCTTCGGGTCAACGGCGGAGATGGAGGCGGGATCGACTTGCAGAGACTTGTAGGCGTGCTCCAGCCTCTTGCTGATGTCGTAGCCCTGGAGAATGTCGATGATCCCGAAGTAGAGGACGGCGTCACGGGCCTTCCCCTGCTGGGACAGCAGGTACTCGCTGTAGGAAGCGCTCCGGGATATTTGGATCGCCCTCGCCGGCATGTTCGAACCCAGACGGGTCACCGGCCGTCTGAATTGACGTCAGAGAAGCAGAATCAATGAAAGGAAGAGCACGAAGAACACGAAGACGTGGAGTAATGTGGAAGCACTTACAGCCCATGAGGCGGCTTCAAGTCTCCATCTTCGGCCGGCCGTCCAACTCGAGATGGATTCATGCCACCTGAAGCATGACATTATGATTACTTTCAGTTAAGAATAATTTCTCAAACCTAATCTATAATCATGGCCCAGAAAGGAAAGAAAGAAAGACTAATCAGTAGTCATACCCGGCGATGGAGCATGCTGCAAGGAGCCCAATGCGTCGTCTCGGAAATGAACACCCACTAAGAGGCTGTAGTCCATGATGCCTTCAGCCTCCAAGAACTCACAGTCTCTGTCGATTTGCCTGGTCATGCACAAAGCTGTCATCAGAACGGAAAGAACAACGCCATAGCAGCGTCGATTGGGGTCCTGGGGAGAGGAGACTTACTCCAGAAGCTCCAGAAACCAGGACCGCTGTAGGCGGAACACGAAATTGAGATCAAGATCCTTGAGAGTGGTCGTCTCGTCGATCTCCCCTTCCGCCTTGTCTGTCGTTCGACCATGGGAAGAACCTTTCAGGTCGAATCTCCTGTGGATGCGGTGCTCTGAGCAGAACAAGTTGCCCATTACTATGAAACGGACCTGGTTCCAATGGAGAAAAGGAGAGTGCAAATCTATCAAAATCTGGGCGCAATCGAGAGCACCAAGCAATCGAGATGTATGCATACCTTCTGCCCCCCAATGGGTTTAACACAGTGGACGCCATAGAATCTTGTGACAAGCGAGTTCTTGTACGTATTAACATGATGAAAGTAGCTGGGAAGCATCCTGACCAGCACCTGCGAGAACCAGATTCCAGAGAAGTCAGCAGGGTAGAAGACGATGCAACAGAGGAGAGGGAGTATGAGCAGAGATGAATGAACAGGGGTGTGGAGACTGACCTTGACTTCTGATTTTCTGACGGTTTTTATCATGAAGCGATCATCTTGAGTCAGATAGAAGAAACTCCCGCTCTTCCCAGGGGAGGACAGCTCCCTCAAAGCGTCGTTCCCGCAAATGGCCAGCATGTAATCAGCGGGATCCACAGCGAATAGTTTCCGGAGATGTCTGCCATGACGGCGGGGAAGGATCTCAGCATGGGAGACGCAGGCAAGACTGCGGGTGAGTTATCGGCAGTGGGAGGAGAGCACGTACCTGAAGACCATGGGGCAGTAGTCCTTCCACCTGAACTCAACAGACTGGTGCGGTGGGGTAATCTTCGATCCTTCCGGAGGGAACCTGGTCCAGAACTTCTCCCTTGGATCGAAGTCCCCATGTCTGAGTTCCCTCATCTGGGTCGATGAAGCAAGCTTGCCAACCGAATACCTGAGAAGGTTTAGAAGAAGGAGAATCGACCGACTGTTGAGCGAAGGATAACCTCTAGCAGCAAGCAATATGCAAGATGGAGATCTCAGAAGGCCGAGGAGGTCAGTCACCTGATACCCACTTGCAGGTTCAGCATCAGGTCATAATTCTTGTGGCCCTTGGAGATGGTCTGCCCCGGCTTCTTCGCCTCAGACACAGTGCCACAGCGGGGACTGCGCTGCGACTGTGGGTTCCTTTCTGCTCTTGCTTCCGCTTCTGCGCTAATCTTCTTCTCAACGGAGCTCCCATCACGGTACAGTATGGAAGCCTCGAGCGCGTCAACGATGTCGCAGGTGATTTCCCCAGCTTCGTCGTCAGATTCCCAAATGCAGATCCGGGGAAGGCTTTTCTCCGCGAGGCTAGACCTTCCCAGAGAGCCGTCCACTGAGAACCGCTTCCCGGAACAGAGAAGACGGCGGTGGCCCTCATCCCCGGAGGAAGAGGGAGAAGAGAAGAAGAGCGAGCTAGAATTAGGGTTGGGAATGCTCTTCCATGGCGGATGAGGCGAGCAGCTTTGGTGGGCAGGGGTGTCGCCGGGGTAGAAATGACCGCGAAGCTGGCTCTGGTTCTTGGGGTCCTTCGTCCAGCTCCCGACGTAGCAGCTGCCGTCGGGCCAGGTGAAGACGCCGCCGCCCTTGGGGACCCCGTTCTCCCATTGGCCTTCGTACCGATTGCCGTTCGCCCACATCAGAACTCCCCTGCCGGAGATCACGCCACCGCGCCACTCGCCGGCGTACTGGCTCCCGTTCCTCCAGACGTATCTTCCATGCCCTTCCTGGAGGTTGCGCCGCCAGTTGCCCTCGTAGTAGTCGCCATTGGCGTAGCACTTCTTCCCGAATCCGTGCTTCCGGTCGGAGCTCCAGTATCCATGGTAGGTGTCCCCGTCGGCGCCGGTGAAGGTGCCGAAGCCCTCCATCCGACCGGACTTGAACTGCCCCTCGTAGGTGGCGCCTGATGGCCATGAGAACTTGCCGGCGCCGGCTGCCTTGCCCCGCCGCCACTCCCCCTCGTACATGCAGCCATCGGACCAGAGGTACTTCCCCACGCCGTGCGGCACGTTGCCGGAGAAGCTCCCCAGGTACAGATCCCCGTTGGGCAGCGCCTTCTCGACCACCGTCGCCTCCGCCGCCTCCTTCTCCGTCGTCGGCGCCACCCTGCGCGCAGCAGCGAGAGATCTGGAGCGAGGAGGAGCGGAGGGCGCCAGAGGACGAGAAGACGCCGAAATGGGAGGAGCAACCACGAGGAGGTCCGAGCTTCTCTGCTGTCGCAGGTTCTCCTCCTCCTCCTCCTCCTCCTCCGCCACCGCCGGCACTGCAACGACAACTACACCATCCTCCCCTTCTTTCTTCTTCTTCTTGATTCTGACTCCACTGCTGCGGTGGGGAGCGGGATCGGCGACTCTTCCTACTCCCGCCGCCATAATCGCTCCCGCTGCTCCACCCCCTCGGCCGCCATCACCCGCTCCCCGACGCATTCTCCCGTCCTAATCCGCCGGCCCCCGTCCCGCATTTCACAAAAGCCTTCCCTCCGGTTCACCTCCCTCTGAACATCATCGTCCCATCCCCCCGGGCTTCATCTTGCCACCGCCGACCTTCCCCGTCCAATGCCCCCTCTACACACACCTACGGAGCTCTCTCGCTGCAATGGGGAAGAGGGCAGCAGAACAGGGGAAGAGACAAATTGGAGAGGTTGGGACTGAGCAGAAGGTGAGTAAAAGCAGAGGTGGGAGGACGAGCAGAGGGGACCTAGAGAGAGAAAGGTAGAGAGAGAGAGAGGTAGAGAGCTTCGGAGGCGACGGTCTTTGGTATTTTTATTGTTATTCGCAGAGATTTGCTTCCTTTTCTCGTCGCTTTAAACCGGCTTTGGCTACCTCGGAAGTAGGGAGGGGGCGCCGCCTCGGGAACACTGCCTCGCCCGGTCTCCGGCGGACCATCGCCGCCGGGAAATCCCCAGATTGGCCAGTCCTCCCCCTTCTTCTCCCCAATTTCACAAAAGAACCATTCTCTCTCTCTCTCTCGCTGATTATGCCTGGTAATTTCGGGATGAACTCATAGAGAGAGAATACTTTCGTTCTTCCCATCCGACACCCCGACCCTCTCTTTCGCCGTCGTAAACATGACAGGGCCGTCCCCGTGCTGTTCTCCGGCTAATTGTACAAAGTACCCCCTCATAAATCACTAATTATAGAAGCTCCCATAACGTACTGTATAGCCCCGATATCCGTATCTTCCCACCTCTCTCCGACGTCCAATGAGGCCAGCTTCATAATTAACCTCCCTTCCAGGGGGAATATGTGAACAAAATATTCGCTTTTTGTTAAAGTACCCCGCGACAGCGGCAACGACGGGGCGCTATCGACTCTGGTGAAGACAAATTGGCCCCCCAACCGCCCACATGACTATGTTGTTTCGCGGATCTACATAAATCTAAGAAAATGAGGTTTATATTTAAATACGCGACAATAATAATAATGTTATTATAAAATATAATTAGCGGTTACCATTTTTTATTGAATAAAATATTACTATCCTTTTACAAAATTATCATTACCCTTTTTATTAATAATAATTAAATAAATTCAAAGATGCCCAATGTGACATATATCCAGGCCGGGATACGCTCTTACAATTTTTCACTTATAATTCAAAAAAAAATTATGCTATAAAATAAGTTTCGCAACCGTTTAATAAAGCGCGGCACTTTATACCACTAGACCAAATGCCCTTGATGACAAGATAAGGCTCAAGTCAACCATCAAATCCACCGGGCTTTCTCACGTTACGAGGAACAAATGGTCAAAGGCACGCGCTCCATTGCCATTGAAGCTCTGGGAGAGTTCTGGTACATATCTTTTAGTTAGCTTATTTCTGAAGGGTGCTCCATTATTCTTTATGGGATGCTGACCTTGCAGTGGTATGAAACCCATTAAATCTTCTATTTTCCAATTTGCCCCCCTCTCAAGTCAAATAGGTAGCCAATTCAGAATTAAAATTCCATATCAAGTTAATGATCGTTTTTATTTTGTGCTGAAGCAATTTATAAAGCACAAGCTGAAACAGGTGAAATTAAAGGGCATTACTTAAACGGTACTGCATGTATTTAGGCAATTATTTTTATTGGACCCGAGTGAACCGGACCGGACAATACCAGACCAGAACAGACGGTCGGCCCGAACTTCAGTCATTGGTTTCTTAGGCTCACCAAACGATCCTGATCGTGGATTGGGTGGGCCTAGAACACTTGTCGGCTAAGTAACTATCTCGGCGATGCGGGGCCGCGGGATTATCCTATGGGCCATATATCTGTTCATCTCCCAATAACCGCCAATTTATTAGCTTTATTTTTAAAAAGAGATTTATTTTTTTTAACGTACCAGTGAGAAAAGGCAATAACTGAAATCAGTAATTAATTCGGAGGAGGGTCATCTGTCCCTCAATTCCATTACTATAATTGGCCACGACCTCGGTAGCTAATATGTTAATATATTTTTATATACATTAAGATCTGATAATATTTGTTATTATCAATATAGATATGAACGATTTCTTCATACCGTCCAACATATTGTCTAATTAAATAGAATATTCATTAAAAATAGTAGTTTAATGAACGCCGTGTGTACCTACTTAAAATAGTAAAAAAATAATTGATTTATTTTTTTAATAAAATCGAATCTATCAATCAATCACTCCATTCGGACGTCTCATCTCTTCGATTAGACCGGACACCAATTTAGATCCGGTTAGGGGTACGTAAAAGGAGCCAGCCCGAACTCGGGTTGACCCGAACATGATCCGATAGAGCGGCCAAGGGATCCGTACAGCCTGCCTTCGACGTGGCAATGCGGTGACAGGATTGCGATTTCTTAACTAAAAAGGTTTTTACGTGATTTTTAAGATCCTTTTTGGAATTGATATTTTTAAATCCACGAAATAGATTTATTTATATTAATTATGGATGGTTTATATGTAAATAAGTATTTTATCCTGCGCCTTGTAGGGTTTTAGAGAGGGAGTGGGTGGGGGAGGTCGGAGAGGTCGAAGCCCCTTGCTCGGCGGCGGGAGACCGACACGCCGGCGAGCTTTCGCAGGGAGAGATGGCTTCCTCGCAGCAGTCCCTGGAGTTGCTGCTGCTGCAATTCTTAATGCCGGACAACGAGGCAAGGCGGCAGGCGGAGGAGCAGATAAAGCGACTGGCAAAGGACCCGCAGGTGGTTCCGTCTCTTGTCCATCACTTGAGAACCGCGAAGACTCCGAACGTCCGGCAACTCTCGGCGGTCCTCCTCCGTAAGAAGATCACCGGGCACTGGGCCAAGCTGCCGCCGCAGGTTAAACAGTCCGTTAAATCTGCCCTCATTGAAAGCATCACCCTCGAACATAGGTGTGGATTCCCTTCTCTTCTAGCGTAAAAATATATTTTTTCTCATACAATGGCGAATTTCCACGCATCTTTTTTTGTTTTGGGTGAGGATAATTGGTCTCTTTTCCTTGGCTCGTCAATCCGATAAAATTTCATACCTTCGTGTGTTTACCATTTATACGTATATCACTTACTCCGCTCGGTCACAGAAGTTCTTGAATGTATCCACTTTTTTTAAAAAAATGGTACCGTTTATTTTGCTGATGGACCATACTTGTGTTTATGTTGCTTGCTGACTATGAATATTGAATGGAAGCTAGACGTTTATGAAAACATGGTTTTCTCTTAAAAAATCATAGACTTTGGGCGAGTTAATTTTATTTATTGAGAGGTTACTCGCATGCTTTTTATAGGAATTAGTTCCTTTTGTAACTCCCCTGCCTCTTGATTAAGTTCAAAAGGTGGAATCCGGTTCTCACCCTAGCCAACTTGTGGGCATGCTCTATGTCTCATATTGATGGAACATTTGCTTTCATAATAAAATATATATTTTAAATTATTTCTTTCACAATAACCAGAGAATTAACTTATTAGCAGTATGAACATGAGAATTTTAGCTGACATTTTCTCAATCAAGGCCGTACTATGTGGTATGTCCTAGAAGAGGAGAAGGGAAATATTTTAGAAGATTTGGGTGATTTTTTCACAGGGATACTGCCAGAAGAAAGACACGTATTGAAGAGACCCTAACCTGTCATGTAGGAAGGGTGAAGAAAATAATTCAAGAGCCCGTCAAGGCTGGGCTCACCTGAATTTTCCCTTGGTTGCTATTCTGCTGTTCCCATAGACTATGATACAATTAGATGTCTCTGTCTTAGTGTATACTGGATTAGAAGGTCGGGTTGCGACTTACGGTGAACCTTTTAACCCCTCGTATCAGTGCTACACTAAAACTATCCCTCGTGAGTCTACTATTTACATTGGGTTGCAAGTTTAGTTGATGATGTGTATCACATCCCACTGGGGAATCCAGGGGATGACGGCAGCAACTTCAAAAACAATGACTGTAGTGTCAGCCCGCCAGTAACTCCTGATAGCCTGACCCTGCGATCCATTAGTGCGGGAAGAATTATCTCCACGATTTGCCACTTCCTTCACGTAAATATTTCGCATCCTTCAGTTGTCGAGCCCTTTAGAATATGTGCTCCCATTATATAAATATCGATTTCTAATACTGCTACCTTACAAAAAAGTGGAAAATGTGAAATGTTGTCCCTTCAAAATATGGCTAATACTGCTACTCTTGTTTGTATGCCATTGCCCTGTCTGGATGGGCTCAATCCTACTACCCAGAAGTTTCAAAATATTTCCATCAGTATTCCATTCATGCTGAATTTAATGCAGTTAACCATTTAAAATTTGAAGGCTTTATGATTCTAGAAAATGGTTCGAATGTAAAAAAAATCCCTCCACTTGAAGTATTCTTGGATTTTTTCTGCTTGGTTTTCCTGTTCAAACAAGAGCTGTGGGCATGCCCAGAAATGCTGCATTATCTTTTTTCTCTAGCATTGCTGCTTTGCACTCTTCTTGTTGTGTTTTTATGAGATATTTTACATAACTTGACAAGGCTCGTTGGAAGAGTCTCTTTCATATGCCATTTTACATGCCGTGGCAAAGGATTTAACGAGTATATTGTTTTCGATTGGCATTCATGACTGATAAGCATTCTAGTCCTTGATCTTGAATTTTTCCCATGTCGCAGAAGCTTTAACCACCTCTAAGTATGAATCTTATATTTTTGATATTTCCATTTTGTACGTATAACTTATTCAGAGGTTACGTTCTATGCTTCTTTTACAGTCCTCCTGTTAGGCGTGCAAGCGCAAACGTTGTAAGCATAGTTGCTAAGTATGCTGTTCCTGCTGGAGAATGGCCCGAATTATTGCCATTTCTTTTTCAGTGCAGCCAGAGTCCACAGGAGGACCATAGGGAGGTAAGTATTTGTTCACAGCCTTCAATTGATATGCCTTAGCGGTCTATACAACCGGTTTTTGCTCCTTTTTACTCTTGAATCGAATTGTTTCCAATCAATTGTCTATGAATGTTCAGGATACTGCAGAAAGGTATGAATCACAATAGAAAATGAAATGCAAAAAAAAATATAAACTAACGAATCGATTTCATTCGAGGTTAAATTTCTTCCAATTCCATAGGAGCATGTTGATGCTAATGTCTTCCCTGTTTGTTTGCTGAGTCCATGAAAGGAGATGAGCTGAAAACTATATTTTCCTTGAACTTGTACGATAAGCATCAATTCATGCCAAAATCTATTGGTTGCCAGTGTTTTAATGTGGTAGGCTTCTGCGTTTGGACAATGTATGTTTTAAGGAACGTTTAAAACTATTCACATGGATAAAAAATATTGGGACTGCTGTTGAAAGGCATCACAGAAAGTCAAGCCACGCATGGTTTGACGTGTAGGTCGCTGTGAGTTGACCTGAGTCACAAGAATTGTGTCTGAAATGAAGAAAAGTTGGGATAGTTGTATGTTTCGATTTTCATAGACTTGGAAATGTTTTCCCCATGATGGAGTCATCGTTAGCAGTGTGGAAGGGGAGCAGGCCTGAAAATTAATCTCCGCATTGGTGAATTCGTGGTATTGGGAATTACAGAAAGTTAGGCCTTAAGTTTTTCGTGATCTTTATTTTCCTAGACATTTTCCTTGGAGTTACTGACGTGAATGTATTGTATATAATTCTGAATCTACACTCACGGGATTGAAGAAGCAGATGAATTTATTTTCAGAAGTGTCTCCACGGTCCACAGGCAAAGGCTGTTCTTTTGAAGTTCGGAAAGTACAGTGAGATGACTAGAAACGGTAGGAAGCCCAATTTTATAATCTGCTCAGCATATTGGTTATTATCCATATTCATAATGGCTGTAGCCATTGAGACAATAATTGGAGGTATAAGATATTCTGGATAGTTAATGGTGAAGGAGCAGAGGTAGAGATTGTGTAGCTACGAGTGAACCTTTAAGAAGGTGATTGTAAGTCGGGGAAGTATGTAAACACTCTATATATTAATATCATCACGAGGTAGTCAAGGGCTAGTAATAATGGAGCATATAGCATTGTATCAATGAATGTGTTTATATTCTATTTGGATGTCGGTTATTGAGAGTTCTCAGTCCATAAGTAACATTGTGGTCTTCAACCTGCGAAATGAAAAGATAATCGATTTCTTGTATTGCTGGATTTTTTAGTGTAGCGTCTTTTAAAAGCCTAACGTTCATTTTGTCTACTGGTTTTTCTTCTATAAAGTGAGAGAAAACGTCCTGGGATGCTTGGATCCTTGATTTATAACGTGAGGATGTACCCATAATCAGAGGACAACAGCGTCTGGAAATGGAAACCACGGAAATTTACTGCCTAAGTTCATTTTTTAAGTGAGGACGTGAGATTGGTGGAGTAAAACGCTTGAGGGGTGGGGGGAGGGAGGGAGGGTTATTGTGTTGACTGTTTTCCCTTCTTATTTTAGTTGGTTACTTTCCGTTTTTCTATGGCTATGATATATCTTTTAATCTGTTTTTATTTTGTGCCAGGTCGCATTGATCCTTTTCAGTTCTTTAACTGAGACGATCGGGTCTACATTTCAATCTAATTTAGCAGAGTTACAGCCTATTCTACTTAAAAGTTTACAAGATGAAACTAGTACTCGTGTCCGTGTGGCCGCTCTTAAGTGAGTAGTACACTTTCTGAAATTCTTAGAATACAATGTTGATCCATTTGGTATATGTTGTTCAACTCAATTCTGATTTATGATATTGAGACTATTTATTCATGTTTTCAGGGCTGTTGGGTCTTTGATAGAGTTCATCAATGAAGGAAATGATATTGTAAGCCACTTTCTGATGTTATTATATTTTGCCCTTTTGTTGGTCACGTCATTGACTCTAATGATACATTTTTATCGATTAAGATTTTGTTTTCTCTCAGAGAATTGTGTCATCGACATCTCAATGTATTTCAGTGAAGCATGGAAAAAGATCTCATATAAACTGTCGATTTAAGTGATCTTGTTTTCGACTTATGAGTCATGCATTAGTTACTCAGTTGGTCAATTCAGCTCGAAATTAGATGTCCACTATCCTGTTCAGATGTATACTCAAATCCCACTTGGACTGGAATCTGCTGATCCAAACCTTTCTGATAGCAACAACTAATGATGAAAAAAACAAGAAAAATAGAAAACGAGAAAACTAGGTTGGAAAAAAAGGGTCCTTATCTCACTGTTACTCGTTGTTGGTCATCATTGACAGCTACTGCAGGGCATTAGCTATGGCTACCTGCTACCACACTGATCCAGCTTTCTTGGAATTTCACTGTAGGATTCTGTCTTCCACATCCCTGCATAGAATGGGGAGAGGGATTCATAGGATGTGTTGCCCGTTTGTTAGAGTATGTGCAAGGGAAGAATGTAAGAAAAATAAGAAAATAAAACTGTGACAACCAGTGGGAAGACTGCTATTACTGGTCATCTGGTGTGGCCACCCACTGCTACATTGCAGCAATTTGCTTTTATGGTTGTCACCATAGGCCTCTTTCCTTTGCCTTGCTAAGCGTGGTTGGTTTGGCTATTTGTATGGAGGTGCGGAGACTTTGTTTTTGCGTATCAGAATATTTTGGATGCATTAATACTTTCGTTAACCGTGCAATTCGTTTCATGGGTGAAATCAGCCTTCGTGTGAATCTATTTATTTGGATCTATTGTGTACTTCCACTTTTCTTGTGGTTTCTCTATTGTTTTTAATTTGGCATGCCACTCCACTGCATCTCCTGGGGATGTATAGCCTCTTTTCATTAGTCAGTGAAATTTACGATGCAGTTTCTACAGCTGAAAAGAACTCCAATGATACATTTTTGTATTATCTTCAATTTCTATATTGTAATCTTATGATGTTAGGAGTAATAATCAGGCAGTAGGAATATCGTTTATAACTGAGTCTGTAAAATTTTAGCCATTTGAACGTATTTACCGGCATGATGAAGTGCTGGTGATGAATAATTAGAATGCAACTAGTTTCGTTGTATTCTGAATCCTTTATGTTGAAAAAGTGACTTGTGTCTCAATTATGTGAGTACTTGTGAGCCTGGTGATTAATTTCAGATAAATGCAATCCCACTGACAGGGAAATTCGATAGTGCAACAAGTGTCAAATATAATTGTCCTATAGATAAGTAGATTAATGTGAAATCACGGCATTTTGTTTGATCTCAGAATGTGCTCGAAAATAAGCAAGTGTTCAGTGACTCTGATTACACCTGTATAGACTGGTTAGTATTCAGTGGATGAAAAAGGTGGTGGTTAATTCGTGAAATGTACTGTCACTCCTATTATGTTTATAAAGTGAAATAAATGAGCGGAAAACTTGGCATGTTGTGAAATACCGTAATTACCATGCGGGATCATTAAATGTTCACAAGTGCACATGGCTTTTTTGTGCAGGTGAAACTTTTTCGGGAGTTTATTCCCAGTATTTTGAGCGTATCACGTCAGTGCCTTGCAAATGGTGAGGATGATGTTGCAGCAATCGCCTTTGAAATTTTTGATGAGCTTATTGAGTCACCTGCTCCTCTTCTTAGTGATTCTGTAAGATCTATCGTGCAGTTTTCCCTTGAAGTTTGTTCCAGTCAAAACTTGGAAATGAATATTCGACATCAGGTACTACGGGGAATCGAAAAAGAATGCAGTTTCATTTTCTTAACTTTGAGAAATGTATCTTAGCTTGTCATTCTTGATCTTATCAGGCTATTCAGATAATTTCGTGGCTTGTGAAATACAAGGCTAATTTTCTGAGAAAGCACAAGCTGGTTGTTCCCATTCTCCAAGTAATCTGTCCTTTGCTTACAGAAACAATTGATAATGATGAAGAAGTTGATCTTGCGGCTGATAGATCGGCTGCAGAAGTGATTGACACAATGGCTGTTAATCTACCTAAGCATGTTTTTCCTCCGGTTTTTGAGTTTGCTTCAGTAAATAGTCAACATGTGAACCCCAAATATCGGGAGGCATCTGTAACAGCGTTAGGTGTCATTTCAGAGGGTTGTTCGGACCCTTTGAAAGATAAGCTGAATCATGCTTTACACATTGTTCTGGGAGCCTTGAGGGATCAAGAGCAAATGGTGAGGGGAGCTGCGTCATTTGCATTGGGCCAGTTTGCTGAACATCTGCAACCTGAAATCATATCTCACTATGACGCCGTTCTTCCGTCTATTCTGTGTGCCCTTGATGATGCATCTGATGAAGTGAAGGTAAATTGGTGATTCTAGTGTTGATGTCAGATACATAATATATTCACATGCTTATGCGTGCCTATTCATCTTTTCCAGGAAAAATCATACTATGCATTGGCAGCATTTTGTGAAGATATGGGTACAGAGATTCTTCCCTATTTGGATTCTTTGATGGGAAGATTGATTACAGCACTCGAAAATAGTCCTCGTAATCTTCAGGAAACATGCATGGTAGGATGACATCTATATTTCAATGTTGATGTCAGTATAACACTTTTTGATGAAAAGAGACTAAATGGTTATTCCTTATTCTCTGCAGTCTGCGATTGCTGCGATAGCAGCTGCAGCAGAGCAGGCATTCACACCCTATGCTGAAAGGGTCCTGGAATTGATGAAAGTTTTCATGGTACTCACAAAAGATGAAGATCTGCGGTCACGAGCGAGAGCTACCGAGCTAGTTGGAATAATTTCATTAGCTGTTGGACGGATGAGGATGGAGTCAATAGTACCTCCTTTCATTGAAGCTGCCATATCTGTAATACTTCATTCACATCTTTTCTAACACAATTTACATTGAAGGGTTTGATTTATGAAAATAATGCTTTCAGGGTTTTGCATTGGACTATACCGAACTTCGCGAGTACACCCATGGATTCTTTAGCAATCTTGCAGAAATGTTGGATGATGGGTTCTCACAGGTCCGTTGGCTGATGCATTCGTTTCTAGTATATTTTATTTATGATGTTTGTTAACTCAGTAACATTGTGCTGCGTGTTTTATGATCAGTATCTACCCCATGTTGTTCCCTTGGTGTTTTCCTCATGCAACCTGGATGATGGATCTGCTGTACAAATTGACGAGTCTGATGATAAGGACCACATTAATGGGTTTGGGGGTGTATCTTCTGATGATGATACATATGACGAGCCCAGGGTCCGCAATATTAGTGTTAGAACAGGAGTATTGGACGAGAAAGCTGCAGCAACCCAAGCTATTGGATTTTTTGCTCTTCATACAAAAAGTTCTTATGCACCGTATCCTTCCATCTGAAGTACTTCTCCTAGGTTTTGGCAATTGAATTAAAAATAATTTTCTATTATATACTGTATCCTTGATAACTGCAAGCTATCTGGAGGAGTCACTGAGGATCTTGGTCAGACACTCTACATATTTTCATGAAGATGTCCGGCTTCAAGCTATTCTTTCCTTGAAACGTGAGTATCGAATCCTTATAATATGGGAAGTGATAGATCAAATAAGCTCAGAGAGTCTGGGCTATTGCAAAAACTCGATGACAGTTCTTACTAGAAGTGAAAAGAATGAAAAAGCTAATGATAGCTTAATTTAGCTAATGATGAATTATTTTGGGTCTAAAACATATTTCAATGTTTAAGCAGACTATGCAAGAGTTTTTTTGTATTTCCTGTAGATCTTCCACTCTATACGCATGTTTCTTTAAATTCTATTTTTTTCTTATACTTGCCAAATTATGTTTACCGACAGGCTGTTAACCTAGGGAATGAGAAGCGTAATAGCTAAACAGAAGGCGCTCTATCTTCCTTTCAGTGGCCATGGTGTCTTCTTTCCGTTTTATTTCTTCCATGTGGATTCAAAGTTGAAATGACCACTTTGAAATGCCAATAAATTGATGGTGTTTGAATGTCAATCTGCTGTTTCCTATATCTGCATGAGAACGATGCTTCATAGTTATGGGCTGTGCATGTCTAATTTAGCATGCAAAACATGGTGGACAATATGTAGAATCTTTATTTGTTATCTTAGTCATCTTTCAAAGGTCTATGCATACCTTCTACTGCTTAGACTTCTGTAAAAGCAGAGAAGTTTCAAAGCAAAGACTTTTTTTTATTGTTCTTTATGAATTCATTTGGCTCAGGTAATAGTGGAAGTATTACTTTTGTCTTTAAAAGGTTTTAGTTTCTGTTGCTTGTTACCGAGCTCAACCATGATTCAATTAGTTTTGCAACACCTACTTTCCCCCTTAAAATCCTCATCTTTGTTGATATCTTTATCGCAGATGTTTTCACAGCACTGCAGGCACTTACCACAGTAAACAGTGTGAGTCATATGTGCCTTAATCCTCAGATTTTTATTTTTTTTGTGGTAATACACAGTGGTTTGATGTAATTTACTTTTTGTGATCCACTGATTGGAAATCTATAAAGATTGCAAGTTATTCCACGAACCACCATTTGATGTCAAACATAAATCTTCGTATTTCTTCTTGTATAAATGTATACTGTCTGTTCTACTTCCTGTGTGCAATTCTAGAAGCATCATTTTGATATTTATGCATCATGCAGTAATTTATTTTTACTTCCATTGGAATTCTCAGATAAATTATTACTTTCAGTGATAGGAAAATATTCTCAAGTAAGCTTTTTTGTATGTTCTAATTTCGAGATACAGCTAATTTTTCTATTTTTGACTATTGTTATGCAGGGAATGCTGGAAAAACAGAAGGAAGTTATTCGTAGGACGTCTAACATATGCTTATTGGTTTTGTCTTCTCCATTGTAAGAGATATAATCGAGTTGGTAATGATATGCAGATACAGTGATGAATATCTTCATCAAGACAGCGATGGAAGATGACGACAAAGAAGTTGTTGCCCAAGCATGTATGTGCACCGCGGACTTGGTGAAGGACTGCGATTATGTGCTTTTAGCCCCATGTAAGCTACCAAGTTTTAGCTTCTCAATTTTGAATAGATCAAAATCGACTGGTTAATGTCTTCTGATGGTTTTATTTTCATATTAGTCATTCCACAGCTTGCTGAAGCAACTTTGACTCTCTTGCGGGAAGATTCTGCATGTCAACAAATCGAGTCTGATAGTGAAATTGACGAGAATGACATTGACCATGATGAGGTTCTTATGGATGCTGTTTGCGACCTTCTTCCTGCTCTTGCAAAGGCTATGGGTTCTAACTTTGAGCCTGTTTTTGCAAATCTATTTGAACATCTAATGAAATTTGCTGTAAGTTTCCCACTACACTCTCTCTCTCTCTCTCTCCCCTTAATTTGCCTCCCTTTTTCTAACACTTGGGCTATTTTTATGGTGCTAAATGGCAGAAACCTCGACGGCCTCCACAAGATCGGACGATGGTTGTTGCATGTCTGGCAGAAGTTGCACAGGAAATGGGCATCCCAATAGCTGGCTATGTTGATGTATGTAGGTTTCTCTGCTGCCTCATGAATCGCATTATCCTCCCCTCCTGATTAGACATTTTATATCGTTCTCGAGTATCCTTGCAGAGAGTGATGCCATTGGTGCTGAAGGAGTTAACATCATCAGACGCCACTAATAGGAGGAATGCTGCCTTTTGTGCCGGGGAGTTCTGCAAAAATGGAGGCCTCCCCGTTCTCAAGTATCCTTGTCAAAAGCTCCAATGCATCCTTTATTACCACAAACCCCGCCCAATACAGTAACATTCTGAGTAGATCCATTTCGGAGTTTCAGCCAGAGTTTTGCCTGACCAAACATGCTGCTTTCCCTGTTCAAAGTCCGAATTATTGCGTTTCCCCTTTCCCAAGTGGAAAACTTCTCCTTGACCCAGCCAAGATATTATGGGGAGATACTCCGATCCCTCTACCCACTGTTTGGGGGTTCAGAGCCTGATGCTGCTGTAAGAGACAATGCAGCTGGGGCAGTTGCTAGGATGATAATGGCTGCGCCTCAGTCTCTCCCGCTGGACCAGGTGGGAAACCAGAAGCTCCATTGCATGAACTTCACTTGCTGAGGAAAATTCTTCCCCGTATTTCAGGTTCTTCCTGTTTTCCTGAAAGCTTTGCCGCTTAAGGAGGATCTCGTGGAGTCCATGACTGTGTACAGCTGTGTTTGCGAGCTGGTGTTGTCATCGAGTCCCCAGGTAAACCATCTTCTCTTGCCGTGCTATTAGAAATCTATGTCTTACACTGTGTTCTTGTTGAGGAACAGATCCTCCCTCTGGTTCCGGTCGTGGTCAGTGTGTTTGCTCAGGTCCTCTTGTCCCCAGATGAGTCCCCCGAGATCAAGGCCCGAGTTGGGATGGCTTTCTCGCACATGGTCACCCTCTTTGGCAACCAGCTGCATCCCGTTTTGGCCAGTCTCCCTCCTGCGCAAGCCAATGCTCTAGCCCCATTTGCAGGCAAAAGCTGACAGGTAAGTAGACCAGATCCCATCTCTCTCTCTCTCTCTCTCTCTCTCTCTCTCTCTCTCTCTCATTATTCATCATACTGAGTGAGTCCGCCATTGATATTTCTTCCAGGAATAACAACATGTATTTTAAAACATTTTCTTCCAACTATTCTTTTATTGAATTATTGGTCTTGTTCCTGTGAGTTTTTTTTTTCTAAGGGAGAAGGATTCAGTTTCTTTGAAGCAATCTGGTTTTGTGAGGGGTCCATTTATCTATCCTTCGTAGGAATATAAGCTTGTCAACTAGTTTTCTCATTGTTCCTTGCTGTTCTAGTGAAAGCTCCAACCCCCAAAAGGTGTTTTTATGCTCTTTATCTCCTCAGAAATACTGTGAATTGGACCTCTATTCTGCATAGTATGTGCCAAGATATTGCCCCTCGACTTAGACCTTCCATGAATGTAGAACCATAGAGCGTCGTCAGTGAAACCTTCAGAGCCGTTGCTTCGCTGGGCTTTCTAGTATGCAGGAGAGGGGCGTCTCAGGTTGTGGAAGAAGGGAGGCACTGGGCCAGGCCCAAGCTGAAGCCTTGAAAACTATGCCGGGCCATGCCCTGACTTACTGAATTGAGTAGAAATTGTGTCATAGATTCTTCTCCTGATTATGAAGACCCCTTGGTTTATTTCACATCAGGTTCAAGCAACCATTTAGTGGGTGTAGATGGCTCCTAAACTGCTGCACCAGTTCTCGCTCTAACCTGAACGTTCATCAATCAGACCCTCTAGTTTCAAATGGAGCCAGTCTGCTGTCGGAAAATCCCAAGCCGAGAGGAAGGTCTGCATCTTTCCCGGTAGCCCAGAGAAATAGGGCATCAGCCCGGAGGAGATATTTCCAGTGACTCGATCAAAGTGGTTTATTTTTCACATGGTACAAGCCCTTTTCTGGTTTAATTAAATGGGCTAATAGATTATGTCGTCAACAGGCACAATCAGCCTGGGTCAAAAAATGTCAACGCTTTTTTTTTTTAATCGGATTTTCACTCCCATCCGGACAGAATCCAGGCCTTTCCACAAGGTCAGGCGTTGACTTCTCGCACAACATTCCATCTCTCAATCACACGCACTATACATCCTAAAGGAATGAATCCGCTACATACCAAGAGATTTAATTTACATGGTTCAAGAATTTCCGACGGTTTGAGACGAACAGAAGAGAGGAGCATATAGAAAATTTCCTAAGGAAAGGATCTACCGACTGTGTGATCTACTTCACTTGTTCACGCTGGCAATCAGCTCAAATGAGTATTAGCTAGCTTTGACGACACCCATCTAGACCCAGTTTCAGCTATCTTATGTACGCTGACCAACAGAAGAGAAGCATATATAGAAAATGTCCAAGGAAAAGGTCAACCAACCGAATGACGTATACTTTGTATGCCCATAATTAGCTCAAATGAGTACTAGCTAGCTTCGATGATGGCAACTGCTCATAGATTACCATTTAGATCTAGTTTTAGCTATTTATGTACGCTGATCATTTTAATGCTTTCTAATGCTAATCATAATCAAAGAACAAAAAGGTGGGGGTGGGGGTAGGGTGGTACAGGAGAAGATCGGAGGGTTCAAGGATCTACTGAGGTTGATCAGCAGATGGCGGGTTTCTGCACAATGATACTTTGTCTGGCATCTTTATCGTCCATTAGGAACCTCCAGTAGTCGACCAGCTTATGGTCGTTGGGTTTCACATCCTTCCACCTCCCCGAGCAGAAGATCGCATATGCATCAGCTGCATACCTGCAAGCCAAATTTAATAATTAATCAAGAGAAGAAAAAAAAAACCCATCAGAATTCTGTGCTCATAGATTGAAAAACACCAGTGATTGTTGAAGCCCGAGGGCAGGGGAGAAAATGAAACAGGGTAAGATGATGAGATCCCTTCAAAACTATGGAATTACTCAGCCAAATCAATAGATTCTCACTTGCCAATGCCATGCAACTGCGTTACGTGAGTCCAGTCAGAGGACAAGTATTCCTCTGACATCCGATTGATCATCTTCGAACGTTTGTTCTGGAGCCCGAGAGGTCTGATGAGCTCCTCAATCTCCTCCTCTGGGACCTTGATTGTTGCCTCGGCGTCTGGGCACAGGAGGAAGAGTCTCGGTAGTACCTTGCGCACCTGCATCCATGGATTTCTTTCTCTGTTACTTGTTACAACCATGTGCTAGAAGCTTCTTTCTAGATATTCCATTCATGGAGGAAGAGGAGGCGAAGCATCTGAAATCAAAACTATATTTCAAGTAATTTGGGCATTCTCACTTTCCATGATTTAAATACAAAACCTTCCAAGAAAAGAAAAGAACCCATTCAATTGAATTGCTGCAGTATGAAAAACCACGCAGTCAGATGTCATTTTTAGATCGCTTTCTTCCCGTGGATGTTGCATAGCAGCAACAGATGAAGACTTTGAAGCCTTAATTTCTGAGGTGTAACATAATTCCCACCTTTAGAACACATTCTAAAATCTGCAAACCATCAAAGCAGAAGAATATGTAACGTCGTAGCATATAAGATTGGTTGCAATTGATGATTTTCTGTATTGATTATGAGCGAGGACCAGCTCAGAAGATTTCCTGGGCCAAGCTACCAAGACATATAAAACTTGGGCTTCTTTAGAGATCTTTCTGTATTTAGAAAGGCAACCAAGAGAAACTCATTTTAGTGGATTCAGAGAGTAATATCCTTCCATATGGTCAACCTTTTTTTTTTAGAATTTAAAACAGTTGAGAAGCCTACCATTTGGACGTGAAAAATGCTGAGCACTATGAACCCATATGCATATGAAACTTATCTCTTCCAATGTCTATTCTTTGAATTGGTGGACAAGGTAATGAAATTTATTTCACAAAGATAAAGTCTTTGAACAATCTTTCAAAAGCTGTCTACGTTGTCACTTTCTCCTTTGTTTGCAAGGATTCCTCCCCTATATATTATGGAAATTTTTCATCAAAGATTGGTGGTATGGTACGTCCGACCAAGATCTTGAAGGCATAGAAAGAATTAGTAGGATACTGAGGAAACAGATAGCAAGGTACCCATGAGATGCATTCAACGAAAATAAAACAACAAAGGAGCAAGAAGCAATCAAACCTTTTGCCCTGTTGTCCGGTTAAGGAGCATGCATATGACCAAAACTCTCCAATGGTCAAAGAAGTGAAATTCTTGGAGGAGCTCGTGATCAGAGAAAGGGGGAACCCAGAGATTCTCATCAGGTACCCTCTTGTAAGCATCTGCCATACGTTCGGCAGCAGTCAGCTGAGATGAATCCCGTTTCTCCTTCTTCTTCTTTTTCTTCTTCTTCCTCCTTTCGGCATCTTCCGGTTTCAGATGACTTGAGTGGCGATCAATTGATGTTTGCACCTCGGCATCCTCTTCTGTGGCTTTACGGGTCCTCTTCCTCCGGGTCCTTCTCTGCACAACCACCTCCACCAAGCTCCTGACGCCTGCTTTCCCTTCTGGTGTCTGTTGCTCAGCAGAGGAGGCGAAATAGGGGGAGACTACCACAACTTTCCTTTCTCTTGACCTCTTCCGTTTATCTCCCTTGATCTTATCCTTCTCCGACGGCTGCGAGGTACTTCTGCGGGACCTCTTCTTCGTCTTACTGGAGCCATTTACCTGATTTCTCCTATTCTCATCGTCCTCAGCAACGGCCGCAAGACAACAGCGGTCGTCCTTAACCGATTCCCCCTTCTTCTTCCTCTTCGCAGTAGTAACGATCACATTACTTCCATCTCCCCCTTCCTGCTCCCTGAGCTCAATATGCTCGACCTTGCAGCCGGTGGACACGGAACTATGACAGCGGGAGAAGCGGGAGGGAAAATATGGCCTCCCCTCTTCATTCCTCCTCAGGCACAACGGGGAGGATTCATAACTCCATCGCCCGCTCTTACCCCTAGGCTGAATACGAGGATTGCCAGAAACACCAGAGGATACAAACCCCTGATGCTGTTGCCGCAGAAGCTCGTCTTCCGCTGCAGGGGAGGTACAAGCAACAGGTTGACCTTCCGTCATCTCTCTTGGCGCCATCGCTACCAAATCCGCTGCCCTCGTTCCATCTCGAGCAGCAGGACCCCCACTCGACAGAGGCAGCCTCGACTGTCTTTCTCCCCTTCTGAGCGAACGCGGCGGCGTCGGCGGGGCCGCTGGGCTCCTGCTCTCCCTCTCTTCCATTGCCTCCTCCCTCGTCGTCCTCTGCTTCTTCCTGCTCCTCCCCCCATCACCACCGTCGCCGCCGGCCGTCGCGCCGTAAGCCAAGGACGTGAGCATCTGCTCGAACGGAGACTGTGCCTCCGGCGACATTGCCCGTCGTCTCTCTCTTCCCCTCTCTCTCTGGGTTTTTCTTTTTCTTTTTGCATAAATATTATTGACAATTACAGGCACAATTATGTAAAAGTAGGGAGTTAATTGAATGTGCTATGAAATAATGGGTATATGGGAAATTTCTTCAATATGGGCTGAACCACGACCAGCCCATATTAAGTTGGGCTGGGCTGACTTTTTCGGACTTTTTTATGGGCTGGGCTAGTTTCGGATTCTCTCTCTGGTTTTTTTCACATAATTATTATATAAATTTACTATGCACAAATTATTTAAATACAAGGGGAATAATTGCATTTATTTAAAATAAGGGGCCTAATGGAAACTTCTTCCATATGGGCCGATCCACTACTGGCTCATATTGAGCTGGGCTGGGCTGTTTATGGGTTCGGTCCAGATTATTTTCTTGTTATTTTTATTAAACATATTTTTTATAAATACACATAAAACTAATAAACATATTAACTATTTTTTGGGGGGCTGAATTGCAATTTTCCCCTCACCCGCAACCCATCTACAAACGATAAGGCCGGGCGGAGCTCAAGCAGCGGCGGAAATAGTTGCAGCTGCAGCAGCGGGAGGGAAGTCGCCGGCGGCGGAGGGAGAGGTAGAGAGCGAAAGAGATGGCCCAGATGTTGGCAACGCCCGTCGCTTCTTCGCTGTCCATCGTGAGCAAGGGCGGAGCGGCGGCAGGTGTCGCTGCTTTTCTCCCCGACGCCGTCTCCTTCTCGAAATCCTCCGCCCCCAAGGTTTGCTCCCTCTCTCACTCTCTCCCTCTCCCTCTCTCTCTATCTCTCTGTACTCGCTTCCGGAATTCTTTTCTTTGACTTCTCCGCCCGTCGGGGTGTGAGCGATGGCAGTACGGGGGGCTGAGCATCCGGTGCGTCCGTGTGGGAGGTGTGGAAATCCCTAACAACAAAAGGGTGGAGTACTCTATTCAGTACATCCACGGCATTGGGCGGACGAGGGCGCGACAAATCCTGTGCGACCTCAGCTTGGAGAACAAAGTGATCAAGGATCTCACCGAGGAGGAACTGATCACCCTCAGGGATGAGGTCACCAAGTACTTGATCGAAGGCGACCTGGTTATTTCCTGCACTCATCTGCATTTCCCATGGCCATGGAGAGTTTATTTCCTTATCGCAGAAGAGAATAATCGCTATACATTGAACCCCGGTTCCTTTTTCTCGCCACTTCTGTGGACAGAAACGGTTCAACAGGATGGCCATCGAGAGGATGAGGGAGATCAGGTGTTACCGGGGAGTTCGTCACGAGCTCGGACTCCCTTGCAGGGGCCAGCGCACCAAGAACAATTGCCGCACACTGAAGGGCAAGAAGGTCGCTGTTGCCGGCAAGAAGAAGGCATCCCGTTAATCTTCACAACCGTCGACGTAAGCTCCCTTCGTGTAGTGAATGGAAACCTGTACCACTTTTGGGGCGGTCTACTTCTCTACTTCCTTCCTCTGCGTCTGTAATTGTAATGATTTTATAACTACAACTTCATCATTCCCTCTTCAGGGTTGACATTGGGTGAGGATATTTTTGGTTTCTGAATCAACAAGTTCTATTAAAGGAATTATTTTCGTTGCTCCTGGATTTTTCTTGTTCTTTTTTTTTTAATGGCCTCATTTAATATATATATATATATATATATATATATCTGCTCAAATCGTCCGATCAATCTGTTCATGGGCCCAACTGTTGAGGAATTTACCCATTGTGATGAGTCATTGCATGCAGCAGGTGGATGACTAAGAAATGCAGCTTCTCTCTTCTTGTTCCATGGCTTGCTTCTTCTCTGCCTTGAAGATTTACCCACTGTGATGGCTCTGATACCACGTTGAATTGCATGCGAGTTACCTCGGAATCGTTTCGTGGTACTAATTTGGCTACAAGACTCATGGAGATCATCACTCTCTCTCTTCTAATATTGAATGTTCATATAGTTTTTGTACAGGATTTCTACTCACGACTGTCATTCTAAACGCATTCTATTATGTCGGCGTGTTGGGGTGTGAATGGTAAAAATCAGGAATGAAGATCATCTATAGAGACCTCAGTCTTCAACCAGTTTTCTATCAAATTTCTGCTCACTACTAACATTCTGAGTACATTCAGCATTTTTGTTTGCTAGCATGAGACGGAGAAATGAAGATCGCTCTACCGACAATGATGATGATGATCATTCGTCTCTTTTTAATATCCGATTTCCAACTTGTTTCCTATCAAACTGCACATTTTGGATTGCCAGCATGTGAATTAAGATATGAAGACTGGTTTTACCCATTTCCGCTTTCTGACTGGTTCTCTTCCTGCTATTTTTCATCCTGTAAAAGATAAGTTGGCAATGTATCAATCCGCAAATTTCCTGTATACATTGTTTCTGAATTGATTAACAACGATAAAAGAGTTTTTAGGCGAGTCATGTGTACATACTTAGTTAACTATCGATTGATATTCATTTCTTTTTAGCTGACTGAACATCATATCAAGGTGACAGGATTCGAACCTATGGCCTTCTGTACCCAAAATAGATGCGCTGATATTGCATCATCAGGGGTTCTTACTCTCATGCAGTAGTATCTACAGGCACAGATTTTGTTGTAATCTAATGTTTGCATGTCAATTAATTTTTAGATGGCTTGAATAGTTAGTCTGCTGTGCATTTCATCGTCCATTCTCTGAACCCTTCTCGGTATTTTCTTGCTTTTCTATCATCTGTTTTGTGTGCACTTTCCTAATGTTTATAATATTTATAATATTTTCCGGCTGTTAAAAAAATAGTTTATCTGATGCTCTGCCTTTCGATGGTAGATCTGGTTAACAGAATACTCCTTTTAAAGTGGAAAAAATAAAAAAAATGTCTGCTCAAGTACATAAGCTTGTTCCACTTAATGTCGGTTAATTCTTAGTAAATAATTGATTTTTATAGGAATATACGTCCAAACATATTATATTTAATAGATTACAAAATACGTTAGATTTCCTAATTATGGACCCAAAAACTAATTGTTGAAATCAAATTTATTACGGTTATTGAGTCGATATGGAAAAAAAAATTATAAGATATTTTTTTTTATTTTTACAATTATTTGGACAAGTACTATTTTTTTTAATATTTAATTAAAGACATGTAGTGATATCCTCAAAGACCTTTATGATGTCCCTATATTATGAGAGTAATTATAAATATTTATATAAGGTTAATAGACGACCTAGTGATAACTGGGAATATGTTCCATATCCTATGTAAGACCTTAGTATGAAAAATAAATTGTAGCCTTTTTACGAAAACATTTTTTAGATATTTAAATAAAAAAATAAAATAAAAATTAAAGACATCTAGTGATATCCTCAAAGACCCATATGATGATGTCCCTAACTTATGAGAGTAATTATGACTTTTTTTTTTTTTAATAGATGACCTATTTATGAGTAGGAATATGTTCCATGCCCTATGTAAAATATTTTTAGTAGGAAACATTTTTTCTGGGTTTTTTTATGAAATCATTTTAATTGGGGTTATCGAGTCAATATGGATAAGAAAGTTATAAGATAACCTTTCATTTTTTTTACTTTGAGTTTAATGGCGTCCTATTGGTCGTAGATCCAACTATTTGGACTTGTATTAATTTATTTTTTTAATATATAAATTAAACATATGTAGTGATATCCTCAAAGATCTTTCTGATGTCCGTATATTATGAGTGTAATTATAAATATTTAAATAAATTTAATAGACGACCTATTTATGAGTAGGAATATGTTCCATATTCTATGTGAAAATATTTTTATTATGAACAAATATTTTTGGGGTTTTTATGAAAATAATTTTTTTAATTGGGTTGGCCTCAATATTGACCTCACCCACCGCGCGTCATTCCAACCACCCGAATAGACCAACGGTCATCCAGAGACTACTGGAATTTCTGAACAGAAGGGCAAAAAGGAAATAGCTTTTATTTTCAAGTGATGCCGCAGGAGCAAGCGTGATCCTCTTCTGCTCGTCGATGGCGCTGGCCACGCCTTCATCCTCTTCGCTGGTTTCTTTCTGCCCCCTCAGAACTCACTCGGCAGGCCCATCTCTTTGTTTTGCGAGTCTGCGGTTGCCCTCCCGGCGGAACAGTCGGGATGTGGAAGCTTCTTGGAGTGGCGGCGCTCACCGGCTCTCGAGCACAGCAGGCGCCGCGGAGAGGTGGAGATTGGGGGTCTCCTTCTTCACCTCCTTGAACAGCAAGAAGAGGGGAAACCCTGAGGAGATAAAGGAGGAACTCCTCGAGGCAATCGCTCCCCTCGATCGTGGCGCAGAAGCCACTGAAGAGGACAGGGAGCGGATCGACCAGGTATGGCTTGCGGTTCCCACATCTGTGGCGAGTTGGGCTTTGATTCTCTCCCTCTCTCTCCCTCTCTCTCTCTATCTCTCTCTATCTCTCTACATATATATATATATATATATATATATATATATCTTTTGTTGATCGTGTATGTGAACATTGATATAAACTTGGGTTATGCTATGAATGGGACGAAACCACTGATGAACAAAGTGCACGGAATCATGTTTGGCCAGGAAACAGTGTTGGAATTAGTGATGATGAGAAAATTAGCTGCTACCTTCAGGTTTTCCCGTTTATACCCCAAACCTAGATTGTTGTCATAAGAGCAGGCAGAGTCTACAATTGGATATAGTGAGCTTGCTAGCTCCAGGGTGATTGTTGTTCTCATTGTGAGTCTAGTGGCTCTTCTAACTTCTGTTATGTATGAGTCTTCAAGGTTTGATAAAATGCTGAAAAATGATACAACCCTCTTGGGAAGGTTATTCACATGGAAAGATCAGTGGATGATGGATGCGATATTTTATATATTCTCAAAGTCCATTAAACATTTTTCTAACGTTATGCCAGATTTCATCATCAGATTGCACAGAAACTGGAAGCAGTTAACTCAGTAAAAGAGCCATTCAAGTCTGGTTTGCTGGATGGAAAATGGGAGCTTATATACACTACTTCAAGATCAATTTTGGCGACCAAGGTGTGGTGAATAGAAGTAGCCTCTAATGGCCCAGCTTTATTTTATTAATATTCGGCACTAATTCATTATATCAACTTCATGCTCATTGCTACCTCCTGTTTTATATTTTATTATTATATACTTGTTTTATGCTGTTTTTGCGTTTTTGAATGTTGCGGTTTTATTAAATCTCAAATTCACAGAAATCTACTTGTTTTTCTGAGTAAATTTATTTTAGTCATGAACCGTTGTCCAAACAACATCATTTAGAATTAGTGATGTCATTTTGAATCATCATTCATACTGAAGGGGAAAGGTGCTGTGAATGTGAAGTGACTCTATTCAAGAGTGCTTTCAAAATTGTCATGGACCAGCAATGGTGCTGCTGCTGAGAGTTATTGAAAGTATTTTTATTTTTATTTTTTTATGGACTTTCAATAAGGCTTCTTTGACGCCATTTCCTGACACAATCTTCTGTTGGACGCTGGTTTCGATGAGAGAAGCAGTGTAGTAACTGTATTTGGTTTGACAAGGTTGAGCCCTATTTTTGATGTGGCATGTGTTTGTGCCAACTTCACATTGAAGATAACATATGCTTTTGAGAAATTCATTTGTTCACAATTATTGTAAAAAAATTGATATATTTCAGCAAAAATATTTTATTTTTATGTAATTTTCCTGATAGAACCTTGCTGTGTCATGGCAGAGGCCAAAGATTTTACGTCCAAATGGGAAGATCTACCAGTCTATCAACTGTGACACGCTTAGAGCCCAGAACATGGAGACATGGCCGTTTTTTAATCAGGTACTGAGTCCAATGTGAGATTACCTTATGATGGCTTTGTAAAATTCCGGCGCTATTAGATTTGACTAGAAATCCCAACTGTTCCTATAAATAGTGGGCTGGAATTTCTGCCTTAAATGACCATAGAAAGAAGTGAAGACGGTTGGGGTGCCCTAGGGTCTTTAATAAACCTTACATACTTTGAGAAACATTCAAAATAGACAGTTAAAATTGGATCTAATGGCCTACGAAAAATCAGCCAAAGAAATCCGTATTACACTATTCGTCAAGTCCAGCCATGTGCTTCTTTTGAGGGTAGACCTTGACTGGTGCATGGTTGACTCCATTGTCCTCATCAGAATGTTTTTTGAACATTTGAAATAATGTATCTAATAAACAGGCGTTCGGGGTTCATTATTTAAATTTAGATCAATCTCACAGAATACAATTAATAGTTCCTATTTCTATAAATAATAAATAACTTTGATTGATTATAAGTACATGATACTTTTCCCTGAAATGTTGAACTTGAATAATATCTCGCCTGATTTAAATTTTATAATTTATGTTTAAGTTTTTTATCCCTAAAACTAAATATTAACATTCCAACAACTATGGAAATATAGATGTTATATTCACTTGTTGGGTAGCCTTCATCCAATATGAGCAGGAGTTCTAAGCAAATTCCTACATTCACTTCACTGCCTGCATGGGCTTCGCCCAATTTATGCAAGATATTTAACTCATTTTTCATTAAATATTTGTACCATAACTACAATTTATGAAATGATATTTAACTCTTTTTTCATTAAAGATTTTTATAATATTTAGGTTTGGGGCAAAGGAAAGTCATTTTAAACAAGAAAAAAATTAAATAAAAAGATAATATCCCCAGGGTGAAAACTAAGATCAAGAAGTCTCACTTGTTTATCTACCTTCTTCTCTGAAATATGCTATATGATATGCATATATCTTTGTGTATATTAGAGCTTAAACTTTCCAGCGCAAGTTCTTTTCCAGATTGAAGCAGTGCTTTGGCGTCTTTCTTTTTATGATTCATAACTATATACATTTCTATTTTCAGTTCTCCATGAGATATTTCCTGGATCATTCAAATAAGATCTTCCATTTTATTTTGACCAGAGCCAGGGGTTCTTATCTTCATAATTATTTTCCTAGGTAACTGCCAATTTGGTACCTCTGAACGCAAGAAGGGTGGCTGTTAAATTTGATACATTCAAAATTCTTGGTTTGGTAAGTGATTACAGCTTCTGATCAATTATTCACACTGCTGCAAGATTAAATCAGCATGGTATCATCATTAGATATTTTCACAACCACCAATATGCAGCAAACTTATGATGTTAGTCGAGGGTTTTATTTCCTTTCATTTTGTCAAAATGTCTTCCTCATAATCCATCTGATTGGGCAACTTTTTCTCATTTCACAAGAAACTATGTAGATAACAGAGTACGACATGCTGAGGATTGCAAAGGCTACGTACATTTAAGTGTTACTTTTCTGAGAGATTAGGATATTATTGGGGTTTCTAGTGTGGTGTTCTTGTACTTACTGTAGAGAAATAAAGTTGAATGATCATCAACGAATTATGAGTTATACGACTGGAACTATCTCTGATGTCAGGCGTAGCTCTGCATGCAAACCAAGAACTCCTTTTTTCTCATAAAAACTAATTTCTGAAATTAAAGGTAAATCTTATTTTCAGAAAAGAGTGTGTGGTTTATACTTCAAATTGATCAATCAATCAGCAGTTTACACATAATCTATCGTTATCACCGTTTGATTTTTCGATCAGATATGACACTCTTGGAGTCATCTAGCTTTGGATAATCGATTATACATGGTGGGCATTTATTTGGGGGGTATCCACCATTTTGCAATGCAAAGCTTTATCGATTTGCACATTTTTTTTTGGTAATCTAGATGTCTAACCAGTAAAGCCCATGATTTTTCACACATGTTTGTGTGGAATGTAATCATCAGTGGAGAATTTAAATTTAGCCCTCTTAGAGATTTTTCATTCACCTGTTTTGTATACCATGGATATTTTTGGTGCTGCTCACTCCGACTTTGGTGACGGTGAGATGCATAGAAAGACACCCCATTTATTGATCATGCATGATAGTTATAGCTTTGCTCATTGATCATCTACAATACACGTACCGCAATTTGATTTAATATTTTTTTTCTATGAATAGATGCAGAGCTTTATCATATATTTGGAATTATCTCTCGTAAATCTTCTCTTAATGAGAATTGTCTCGCTTTCATCATCTGTGTTTAGATACCCATAAAAGCACCAGGACGAGCTCGTGGAGAGCTGGAAATCACATATGTCGATGAAGAAATAAGGTGACTAATCACGACTGATCATCACATTGTTCTAATATATATCCGAGAGTCAACTCTTTTGATTATTTCTTGTTATGTCTTTTCTACACTCGAATGGGTTATCTGTAAGAGAGCATTCAGACTCTTATTCCTACCTGTGAGGGATTGAGAGACTGTCATGGAGCCCGTAATGTGGACGAACTGATGAACTGGATTAACCAGATTAATTTCTCATTGAATTTATCTTTTCCCAGACATTTATTGGGACTATTCTGCGTCACCTCCTCTTTTTTTTCCCCAAGAAGGCTGGAGTTATTCACGCCTTTGTGCCTTTAAGGTTTGGAAAATATGGCCACCGTTTGATAGTCAACAGTAATTCTTGGCGTTGACCTTTTTTATTTTTATAAAGGCTAGTCATGAGCATGGTCAAGGGACATGATTTCCTGAAGAGGTCAAAGAGAGCATCATAAATCACCATGGGCACATTAAACCGTCTCCTTAACAGTTGACCTTGGAAATTCTTGATCTTCCTCTAATATTTTTGTGATTTTACCGAAAGGATATACATAAAGAATGACTAACTATGTTGCAACGATCTGTAGAAAGTGCAGTCAACAATTTTAGTGGTCAAAACGACGTGGTCAACTCTCCCTTTGTTCATACATCAGTCTCTCTCTTTCTCTCTCTCTCTCTCACTCTCTCTCCTACTTGTGGAAGCTTGCTGGTGCTGACCCTGGTTATTCTCCGGGCCTGCAGGGTCTCCAGAGGTGATAGAGGCAACCTGTTCATCTTGACAATGGTGGACCGGTCCTACAGAGTCCCTACCTAAACTGTACAGTGTTCATTCCTCGCCCACACATCTGCTCTTCACTCGCGTTTGCCTTCTCGATCTATTGAAGAAGAAAGCTCAAAGCTCACCGCCTGCCATGCTCTCAGAGATGACTTCTGCCCAGCTCATGCTTCATCAGCCATTGACGAGGTGCCCATCTCTCTGTCTGTCTGTCTGTCTCTCTCTCTATATGCTCTAGCTATATGTGATGTATATTATGCATGGATGGGTTGAAGCAAGAGGGTCGGATAGAATGGAAATATACGAGGAATAACTTTATAGATGGGGCCTTTATATCATGTGTCCGAACCGTAAATTCCTCGTTTGACTTTTGGAGCTGTCTTTGGAACGACGACTCTTCTTCCGCCAGGTCTCCTAGGATTCCTGGGTGCGACTGATCGAGAATTCCTCTGTTTTAATCGGACTGCAAGATCTGTGCTCGCTCGGCGTTTGATCAGCTCATCTTGAGACTTTTATGCATCCGGAGAACCAGACCCAGATGTTTTCTCTCGCTTGGGTGATTATGCCAGCAGGGTGAAGAAGATCACCTGCTTGGGAAACAAGATGCCAGCCGCAGAAGAGGAGATAGAGAGAGAAACAAGATACCACTCTTTGTTCCTCCTTCCCTCTCTGGCTTCATCCCTTCCTCTCTCTCTCTCTCTACCAAACCAGGTTTTGACCGGGTCTCTGGCCCTCTGCGCGACGGCGGTGGAAGAGAAGCCGCTTTCCTTCCTCTTCTTTCCCCGCAGCCGCACCAGAGGCTTCCATACCCTGCCGGTTTCCATCTTCGTAGATTTCAAACGTACGATGATGAGCTAGCTGTCTGTCTGTCTCTCTCTTAACCCTTATTCCCTTGGACCGGCGGATGTCCCGCGGCGGCGCCACCACCTCTCAGTGGAAGGGGTACATTAAATGCGGCGGCGCTTCCGCCGGAGATGGCCAATCTGGGGCGGCGCTTTTTCCCGGCGGCCGCCTGCTGGGTAGCATGGAAGGGGAAGGGCCGCCCCGGTTCCCACCTGAGCCGCAGGCAGCTGGGCGGGTTCACCGAGAGATCGCGTCGACTGGTCGGCCACTTCGAGGGGAGGAGGACGGCCGCCTTTTCCGGTGGGGGGCAGCTGAATGGGAACGGTCAACCCTCCTTCCTTGCGCTTCTCCCTGAAAAACCCTGTTAGAGAAAGAAAGAGAGAGAGAGAGCAGCAGCAGCAGCAGCAAGCAGCAGCAACACAACGCAGAGGCTCAGGGAATTGCACAGCTCGAGGAAGATGGTCTCTTCTATAAGTATATACTCTCTCTCTCTCCTCTCTCTCTCTCTCTCTCTCTCTCTCTCTCTCTCAATCGGTATTTACAGTAAGAGAGAGAGAGAGAGACGGACACGATCATGTGAAGCGACGCTGGCGTCTACGCGAATCGTCGCAAAAGTAAGATGGTGTCGTCGCCCGCCCACGACGGCGTCTTCTGATCCAATCGTCCGCCGCCACGTGCTCGTGTGAAAGAGGGGCCGTATTTCTCGCAAGCCGCATGCATTTCCAGTTAACATTTTTTTAATAAAAAAACTGCACATATTCCTTTTTTTAATTAACAACGTATTTTTATTTTTATTTTTATTTTTATTTTCCGAACGGGGGAAGGAAAAAGGAGAAATAAATCTCTAGTGAGAAACTTATGAAATTAAACGTGGGAATTATATTTTAGTGAAAACCATGATTATCTGCCCGCTTACTATTCTGATTTATCGATTTTAATTTGAGTTATTAATTATTATATATATTAGATATGCAAAATTTATATTAAAGAGACTTTCGTTGGTGAAGCTAGTGGTATATAAATAGCGTCCGCTTCGTTTTCCCTCGTCGCTGCATCCCCCCCCCCCCCCCGACCACTTCGCCGGCGCCGGCGCAGTAGCCATGTCGTCGATCCACGGGCAACCTCAACCCTTCCTCTTCCGCGGCTACCGCAACCAGCTGCAGTCGTCGCCGCCGCCGCTTCCCTGTTCCCCCTCTCCGGCGACGATAACCGAGAAAATGGCGCACGCCCCTCCCTACGTTCCTCACGGCGGCTCCTCTCTGCCCTGTGCGCAGGGGGCGCTCCGGTGTCTTCTCCTGCCGGCGGCGCCGGCCTCGGTCGTCCTCGACTGCCCGTTTCTCTCCCAAGCGCCGCCGCCGCCGCAGCCACCAGCTCCGCTGCCACCGCTGCCGCCGGCTCCGCTGCAGCAGATTCTAGGATTCCATCACATCCCGGACCCTCTCCGTCAGAGTTGCTTCCTCTACTGGCCCCTCCCTATGGTACCGAAGGCGGCGCCACGACCTCCTCCTTGCCTTCTCCGTGCTCCTCCTGTTTGTTCCTCGGGCGGCGCAGGCGGATCGACGGCGAAGGCGGAGAAGCTCGCTGGAGAGGGTGACGGCTATGGGAGAGCATCGGCGGGGGAGAGGGAACCTTGCTATGGCAAGCCGAGGAAGGGTACCTGGTTTTGGATGACCAAGGAGGAGGCCGAGAGGAGGCGGCAGAATCTGGAGAGCCTCAATCTCAGCCGTTCCTCCGCCACTTCCTCTTCCCCCTTCTCGTCCCCCCCGTCCTCCACCGCATCGCCGTCTTCGTCCTCCGCGGCTTCCTCCCCCCACCTCGAGTTCGACGAGTCCCACCCTCAGCGGGGAACCAGAACCACCGTGATGATCAAGAACATCCCCAACAAGTACAGGTCCTCTCCTCTTCCTCTCTCCCCTCCTGAATCTTCTCTGTTTCGGAGAAGAACTCAGCCTGTTCTGGCTCTCTCTCTACTTTGTGCTGTATATCTGAAACAGAAGGGAACTACTGGTAAAACTGCTCGACGATCACTGCGTGGAGGAGAACAAGAAGCTGAGCTCGAGCTCGGATACGCCGCCGGTGGACGCGCCTCCGTCGGAGTACGACTTCGTCTACCTACCGATTGACTTCAGGTGACCTCAAACAGCGCTCCCGACCGTTCGTCTTTCCCGGCGGCCCTGGTTAAACCTTTGGTTTCTCACGGTCGCCATTATTTACTGCAATCATTTGCGTACACTTACTGCTCGGAAGAGGAAGAAGAGCAGTCGCATTTATTTATCGTCGTCTTCCTCCTCCCTCGGCTTCGTATTTATTCATCTCTGGAGATCCGGGTGCCCTAATTCAGGAGCAACTGCTGCCTCGGCTACGCCTTCGTCAACTTCACCACACCCGAGGCGGCGTGGCGGTTCCGCCGGGCCATGGACAAGCACAGATGGGGCTTGTTCGGGACTAAGAAGATCAGCCATATCTGCTACGCTCGAATCCAGGTGGGGTTGGAGCTCTATCTTTCTCTCTCTGTCTCTCTCTCTCTCTGCACCGGACAACGCCGGCGGACGAGAGCTTTGGAGGTGTGGGCTCATAAGCTCTGTGCGTGGCAGGGAAAGGACGCGATGGTTGCGAACTTCTGGGGGTCGTACTTCATGTGCGACTCCGACGAGTTCCTGCCGGCGACGTTCTCGCCGCCGCGAGACGGGGCCCCCCCCTGCCCGCCGCCGACCGTCGTCGGCAGGCGCTGGCCTCGCTTCCCGTCATCAGCCGCGGCAGAAGAAGGAACAGAAGAAACAGAACCAGAAGCGATAGCAGAGGCCGAGGGCGGCAGCGCCGCCGGCGTCCCAGCCTGACTCGTCCTTTCATTCCGTCCCTGACTGGCAGATCCGGCAGAATCCACCTCCCTGTGGTTTTTTCGGCGGCAGGGCGAGGAGATGGATAGGGGCAGAGTAGGAAGAAGAAGAAGAAGAAAACTACACAGCAGCAATCTCCATCCCTTCAACGTCCTTCTCGTAGCAGTCTCCCTCCCTCTCTCTCCGCTACCGGCGGCGCTGTAATCTTCTCCGGCGATGCTCCGGTCGTCTCTCCGTCTTATCCCCGGGCGACAGCTCAGAACAGGAAGGCGACTCGAGTATTTATTGGGCGTCTGCCAGCTCTCGCCGGCGCAGGCCTCCTTGGGAAAGATCATGGTCGTCCATCATAGCTCTCTCTCTCTCTGTGCCTCTCTCTTCCAAGATGATAGCGGTCTCCCAGTCGCCGGCGATGTCGAGCAGCCGCGCCGTGATCTGTGGAGTTCGACGGCGGCGGACAAATAATCAGGATCATCAGTTCTCTGGGCATCGAAGGGTTGGAGGAGATTCAGAGAAGATGAAAGAAAAACAAAGAAATGATCATATAGGAGATTGAAGGCCCGTCACATCTCTAAATCTCTGAGCTTCAGCGTCACCGAGACGGAGAGAGAGAGAGAGAGAGAGAGAGAGAGAGAGAGAATCGTTCAAAACGTGGACTCCCCGCCTCTTGCGTTGGCCATGCATTGGCAGAGCCGTCCCTCTGTCGGGGGTAGACAGAAGGGATACGAGGCACAGGGAGAGAGAGAGAGACGAAGAGACAGCGAGGGAGCGAACGAGAGAGACACAGCGAGGAGAGTGGGAGCGGCTCGGCGAGAGATAGAGGCACAGCGAGAGAGAGAGAGAGAGAGACAGACAGACGCAGAGAGAGAGAGATAAAGAGACGCAGAGAGAGAGACAGGGAGAGGCGTAGAGAAAAGACAGAGGGAGAGGCGTAGAGAAAAGAGAGAGATGCAGAGAGAGAGAGAGAGAGAGAGAGGGGCTTCCATTAGCGTTGCCTTCTGAACTCCCCCATCAAGCAATCAATCGCTGTGTACTGTACTCGAAACAATACAGCGCAGAATACGAGAGTATAAAAGTAATAGCGAAATATTATGCTTCTGCACTCTCCTGCCCCTCTTACCCCAGCTAAACAGCCCTGAGAAGACCGGTGTTGTGGGGTGAAGCACAATTTTTGTTTCTTCAGGGTTCCAAAGCCCATTTTGAGAAATCTGCGGCTCTGTGGGTAATCGCCCCCCTTTTTTGGAGCCGAACTGTAATACATTTCAATTATATATAATTATTTCTGTTTATTCCCAATAAAAGGTGCGATAAAAGCCAAATCATTATAAATAAATAAATAAATTCGGCTGAGAAAGAAAAAAGAGCCCGAGTGTTTATGCGAAGAGGTAATTACTTTTTGATAGCGGATTATTTATTCTCCGAAATAAATTATTAAATCGAGACGGCAGGAAGAGGCACCCTTACTCTTTCTAATCAGGAAATATGCACATTTTCTGGGATAAAATAGAGAAATAAATTATTTTTTTGGTAATCTGGGATAATTTACGACGAGGGTTTTTTTTCTGTTTTTTTAATGGAAAATGGATTTTGTTGCAACAAAAAACCAGAATATTAATCCATCTGGCCACCTCTCGACGTGGTTCGACGGCGCCGCCGGGGTGCTGACGTTCTTCGTAATGTTCGTGGAGCCCTCAAGGAGGTTGCAGAGGCGGACGACAACCTCCGCCATTTACCTCGCCGATGGGGCTCCGAAGGTCGTAGACGCCTCTCCGGTCGACAGCCTCTGCGGAGGAGGCAAGACAGGGTTGCCGACCGTTCCTTCTCCTCCGATCAGGAGAGCGGCAGCTGTGTTCTACGTCTTCCGGCATTGCTTGTAATCCAAGATGAAGTCATTTCCCCGGCTGCCTTACCCCGTCCGCCATCTCTGTCACATATTCTGGTCGGTGTCGGCTTGCGGGGCTCTGTGATGCTGGTAGTAACCATTGCTTATAATCTAGGGGCTTTGTGTTGTTCGGTTTCCCATCTACGTACGCTTTTGTTTGATTGTCCCTGTTGTTCTTCAAGTTCGGAAATGTTATATCACTCTTCGCGGTATAAGATCCTTGTAATTCGTGCGCATTCGGTTGTAACAGTGATCAATGTTGAGGAACGAAAACATTGACTTTACAAATCTAAGAGCGCGAAGGAACCAAAAGCAATTTTTTTTTTTTTTTGGGTGTTGTAGGATAGAGCAAAAGCAATTTTTCCTTCATTGAAACGGTTTGAACCGCATGTTGTTCTCATTAAATGATTGTTTCGGCCGCACAAAATTCTTATAAACTGATATATTTTTGTTCACATAATGCGATATTGTGTAATGTACGCAAATTGGCTACGACTGGTGCTAACCTTCTGGAATTAGCCATGAAAAATCTCTGTTGCAAGACGGAAGGGATAATTGAAGAGTCCACTGCCAAATCTAATATCAATCTGAGACCAGCACGACGTCGGTGGAGGAGTCTTTTTAACAGAGCGTTTGTCCTGGATCCGCATAGTTTGGTTTTTCATCTGATAAACATGATATGCTAAACTAAGCTGGAGAAATCGTTCCTTGCTTTGATGCTGAGTTACGAGAAAATAGTAGCAGTTGAGAAGGTCTAGATTACTGTCATTAGCAGCTTCGTGCAAGAGAAGAAATCACACGAAAGATGACTCTTCCCTGGTTTGGTCACTGTAGCTTACGACAGGAATCACGTCACAAGTGTCTGAAAAATTTCAGTTGAATTTCGCCAATATGGTTACTGTTTTTTTTTATCATGAAGATAACTCTTTAAAGCCAATATTACGCTTCAATATGTGGAAGTAAAGCTATAAGGGAGTCTAGGACCTTCGAATTTTCCCTTGCCTTTTTTTTCTCTCTGTGTGCTTGCATGGTGTATAATTTTGTGCTGAAGAAGTTTCCAAATTAGCTATCACCCTCCGACATTTAGTTAGTATCCATTTTATCCACAAACGAATTATTTTTCATTTTCATAATGAGTTATTCTCAATTCTTTGCTCAATTCTTCCCTGTTTCTCAGTGGGAACCCTGCCTCTGATCGCCGCCATGCTCCTGGTTCAGCACCTCCGATTTACCGGCCATCTCTAGTAATGCCCGAGAACAAGAGTTGTGCCATCATCTCTGAAGATAGATGATGATGTTTCTTAAGCTTGAGAGGTGGCTCTAGGCTCTTATTTCTGGTTTTTTTTAATGCTTTTGTATCATTCTGTCTTTCATTTCTCATTATCTTTTGGTTGTAATTTTCGTGGGAATCTATTTCTGGGAGTTCTTTTGATGTGCTTTAGAGTTGTACTACCAAAAATCTATCCCAGATGATGATTGGATTTTAGTTCTTCAAGTAGTTTTTCATGATGGAGAAGCTCATGGAAATCGAAAATAATTATTTCGGAAGATTTGACCAGTAAGGAAAGGAGTACATAGAATGGAATGTGAATTAGGTGGGGAACAACCGGCAACTTGAACTTTTATTAAAAACGTGTTCATAAAAACCACAAATTCCGGGATAGATTGGTAACTTGATCATTGATCTTACTCGGAAAATGTAGCATTTTTGGATATTTTCCCTGACTTACTGTCATCACGGTTGTCATAAATCCCTCATTCCTTCCTGAAACTGTTGGAAGTTCCAATTTCTTCATCCGATATTTTCACCTGAGATTATCACCTTGTCCCATATCCAGAATCTGTCACGCATATTTGAAATTGGTTGCAGTGAATTGATCCTTTATCATACTGCCATCTTTTTAATTTTTTTTGTTGGGCCTACAGTAGGATAGGATCATAGATATTATTGTCTTCAGGGTTTCCCCACTAACAATTCATTCTCCACTATTCTTTGGAATTATTCGTTTTCTTTTTCTACGGATGACTGAAAAGGTATACATTGTGAAGGGTGTAGAACTGAAGTTTCACTGTGAGTTGTTAAAGATTGGTGTTAGAGATACATACATTCAAGGAGAGGAATCACATGTGAGTAGTTCATAATACAAGGTTTAAAGAGAGAACCAAATTTAGTCCTGACTGGTGGGGGGCTGAACCATCGACAGCTAGATGTAACTGCTGTAAGCCTGGGCTTTTATTGTAGTTAAATATATTACAGCATTGCCAATCTTATACAGTCATAGGTATATGCTTGTCTTAATTTCCTTTTACACTGCCTAGTGTTATATTCAAACTTGGCAGCGATGACCATTCTCATTCTGTTGAAGGTTTATTTGAAACGACCAGGCTGTGGAGAGATTGCCATTAAGTTTTGATTAGACCTATACCAGGTCAGCTGAATCAAATTACCTTTGCTGAGGTCTGGCACTCTCTGCACATGCTGTGCAATTTGCCCACAGCTATGTTTATTTCTATTGCACCTGACTTCTAAAATAGACGTCAGCAGAGTAGTTGAATGTAGTTGTCCAGCATTCAGAAGGAGACTTCTAGATGATAAAAATTGACAAAGATTATCTGGGTTTATTTTTGTATGATCATTGTAGATGTCAAAGACGGACTTGTGAAAATGGAAATGGCGAACACAAGATAGGTCTATAGTTGGATTAACTCATCTGATCATCGCAGGAGTATTGAAGCACAAGGTGCCACCAAATTTAATGGGCTATACCATCTCCTTTGAAAGTGAAGATTTGATGTTGAAAATTTTGCATGATATCTCCCTTGATGTGATTGCCGAGCTCTTCCTTGAGATGGCACAAACACTCAAGTAGTTTTTGGTAGTAGGAGACATCATTGATTTCTTAGATGCTCCTCATGCCAGACCTGAAAAAGGGCCTCAATTGTGACAGACACTGGTTAGTGCCTTCTAGTAACTATGGTAGACATGGAGAATTTAGAAGCATAGATCTTTAAGAATATCGAAAAACATGATTTCTCATCTTCCATGCGATTCTTTGGGCCATTACTGAGCTGAACCATACTATATTTGAACATGAGACTTTCTTTTTGTTCCTCAGTTGTA